CTAGTAAATTCATATTATTATTCTAACAATAAAATATTGTTCATTCTATATAATCTTAATTTTCATATGTAATTATATACTAAAGTACATTTCTATGTAATTTTTTTCTTTCTAAATTCTTAATATTATTTATTATGTGTACCGCTATGATGTTTCCAATCAGAGTAAATTTTTAAAATTTATTCTGCATTATTTTTTTGTACAGCTTTCGTGTTTTATTCTTTTGTACAGCTTTACACTATTCCCTAACAGCTAACAGCTCCAGCTAACCGCTCCAGCTAACAGCTAACAGCTTGTTACCAATCAGACCCGTTAACTTTTTCTGTTCAACGTAGACTTTTATCATTCAATAGACGTATAATTGTTTGATACTATTACCTAATACCTATGCTATTATTATGCATTCAAGTTGTTTACACAATAACAACAGAGAAATTAATGTGTGAAAATTGTATTTGAAGTCAATTACTTTGAATTTCAGGAATGTTGTTTTCTTTGAATATTATAAACACGCCATTGATCAATGAAAGTTGTGAGTCCAATATCAATTATAACATACGTACAAAAAAAAACCCCGGAATTTCTTGATCCAGATGGTTTCAGAAAACTACACAATCGGTTTTTCAGAAGTAACAAAATAAAATAAATAAATTGTTGAAAATAAAGAACAATTGAACATAGCAACTAAGTTTGGAGTGTATATCGAGTTTGATGGAGGCGTGTGAGGCCGTACATATTGCAAAATTCTCAAGGTACACATAAGGGAAATTTCCAAATTGGGGTAGGTAATGTTTTTTTTCAAATGAAAATTAAATCATAAACTGAGACTACTGTACATATGTTTGACAAAATATGTTTTAAATAAAAAAAGTTCTTATCACATAAGTCGAGAGCAGGGCCGTGCCATAGTGCAAGAATTTGAAACATTGGCCTATGGCATCCATTTTTTAAAAACAAATTAAGGGCATAATATTTTATCAACTTTGAAAGTTTTAAGGGCATCCATTGCTTCTAAATATAATTAAGCAATTATATATATATTAAATGTTGTAGATACTGTAATTATTAATTAGGATAGAAAGAGAGGTTTGTTCGGTTTATCTCTAGTTACGGCTTACGATGATTCAAGTTGATTTTAGTGACAAAGCTTTTTTCTCTATAGTTTTTCTATCAAATTTTTCTGCTTAGATAAAATTATTTATGTTTCTCTTTTTTTTTATATATACTCTGTTTGTTTTAAAAAAAAAATTACACTCAATTTTTTAATTAATTAGGGCATTCTAGTTTTTATTGCTTCTGCTATCTGTTAATGTTAGCACGGCTCTGGTCGAGAGAAATACAACACATGTTCAACTTACGGTGCAACATATTTGTTTGTTTATTCACACAGATCTATATTAATGTTACTCGTTAATCCGTTTGTATTTGTGTTCGATTTTATAATTTTACAACTATTCTAAACATATGTCTAAGTTATTTTTGCTAGTGTTTTTTTTTTTTTTGTTGTTGTTGTTGTTGTTGTTGTGTTTTCTAGTTGATTTAGTAGATTTTAGTTATAGACTTTGGTCTTTCTGTTTTTTTTTTAATTTTTATTTTTATAATAGCTGTCGCACTTCCGAAAATTGTATAAATACTTAACATTGATACAAACAAATATATTTATGTTTAAATTGAAATATATCTTTTGGATTTGCAGGATGGTTAATTCTTGGAAATAGTTGTTCGTAAAATAACATTTGTTGTTGAGTTTCAATGAGTAAATTTATGTACCAACTTGACTAACATGTTCGTTTAGTTTTCAATGAAGTGTTAATTTTATTTTAATATTTTAATACTACACATACATGAGTCTTAAATAATTTTTTTTTAAGTAATATACATATAATTTAGTTGATAACAAAACAAACAATAATTAAAATGGGTTGTTTGTTGGTCGTTAGTGTTAAAGAAACGAATAATAAAACACGTTGCTTATTGTGTATCGGTAGTCATTTTCGTTAGCAAAACAAACAATACCTAAATATAACTCTTCCCATTACCTCTTCCAAAAAAAAGAATATATAAGATTACTTTTCCTGATAACGATATAACGCAAGTATCATTAGGTTCAGTGGCAGAGAGATACTTTATATTTTTGATTCATATTTGTTAATTTGAGATTCAGTTATGAAATCGTGCTGGGTCCTAAAAAGAGAAGAATCGTGTTGTTTTCACATGTATATAAAATGGAAATACAGTACTAAATTTGTTTTAATACTGACCAATGATCTAATCACAAGCGTAGTTGAAAACTCATCGCCCTCGCTATATTGATATTTTAATATTTGATATCAGTTTTTTAACAAAATTATCACTTTACTAACAAGTTATAATTTTGTTAGTACTTATGATTATATGAATAAATAATAAACACTTGTTGGATTCTAATATGTTCGCATGAGGATGAAAGTAAACTTTTATGAAAGATTGGTGTTTTATAATTAAGTATAGTGTTAAGATAACTCTATACTTAGCGACAATGTATAGATTAATCCGCAATTTATGCTAGCATAACTTTTTTCTTAAATATAAAACATAGTTATTTTGTTCACTTAACTTTATTATCTACGTGAATAGTTTCAAAAGTGTTTTTCTGAACAGACCTATGTAAAATTTTAATTAGCGACCTATTCAATGCTAAAATATTTTTAATGGGAAGAGTTATTTGATGGCAGGAAATCTGATGATTCTTATTTTGTAATTATTTTTAATCTTTTCCATTATTATTTTGCTAATTAACTCAGCTAAAAATGTTTCAAAAAAATTGATATTTGCAGAGAATCTAATGATTATTTAAATCTTTTGACCAAAAATAAATAAATGATTATTTGGATTTTTATTTTATTCTTCCTTGTTATAAAAACAAAGAATATGACGATTAATTTTAAAATTTTGAAATCTTAAAAGATAAACAACTTAAGAAATATAAAAAAATATTTTTATGAATTTACCTATAAAATTGGGTAAAAAGTGTGATTTTTCCATCCAATATAATAAATGATAAAAACCTGCCCATATGTGCCGATATTTTTCCAGTTGAACTAAAACCATCATCTTCTTGTTTCTTTGTTTTAAAAATTCTCTTATGAAATCGATCTCCTTAGATAAAATACAATCGAATTTATGGAAGCAAGAAAAAAAATTACGTAGGGGAGGTGTATTATTGGGGGACCCAGCACGATCAAAAAGTCAATCTTCATCCGCCAATTTGCTGAATAAATAAATAAATAACCTTGAAAACAAATTTTGGTTAAATTATAAAAATAATGATATCCACAACATGTGAATTGTTCCAGCAATTGCTGACCTTGCCATGAGGCACCTTGGAAGAGCCATTGCTTCATTACAATCCTTTAAAGCCATAAATATGAGATTAGGATTACCAAAATTTCACATATAACAAAATATATATTTGTATATATAGTTTTAGACTGACGTCATCTGAAATCTGTATTTTGTACCTAATTTTTATATTTCAAAACATTACTTTTTTCTTCAAGATATTTGTCCCTCAATTTCCTTTGGAGACTAAATCAAGTTAATTTAGTTTACTCTCTACCTTTAGAAAGGTCAAGTAAATCCTCATTAAATTGTTTTAACATCGGTAACAATTTTATGAACATCTCTTCTCAACATCGGTAATCTTAAATAGGGTTTTAGAATTGTCGTTGTAACTTTCTGTTCCAAAAATTAGAAAATATTTAGTTTTCATATCAATTAGTAATTATCTTTCAAATTTTTATTTTTCCAATTGTTGCCATTTTCTTAGCAATAAACTACAAAGTATCATCATTTTTTAGATAGTGTAAGTTAAGTCCAAATGTCCAATAAACTGATACACAAATTGTCCCGATGACTAATTCGCCACTATTATTCAAAATATTAAATAAATTAGTATCAAAATGTGTTGATTTTAATTTTCTAATTACAAATTAATTAAAATCCAACTTTTTGATTGGTTGTATAATCCGGAGGAAAAGTATTAACAAATATATTTTTTGAAGAATTTTGATTTAAAATCGGACCTAAACAGTCGGTATGAAAATTAAACTTATGAGCAAATTAGGTTGATTTATAAATAACTTTTGCACGTTTTTCATAGAAAAATTAAATTTAGTATTTACACACATATATGAAATATACATCTTAGATCTATATATATATATGTATGTATATGCACACATCCATGTATGTATTTTAAATTTTGATTTTTCCTTCAAAATGAGTAACTTATATAGAAGTATCAATTAAGTTTAGCTTTGCACTACTCTTTGGGAACAAATAAACAAAGAACCCAATTTTTAAGCATTATACAGTGTTCATATAATTATTATGTATATGACTTTTTCTTATTGATTAATCAATTTTATATACACAAAAAGATATCAGTTAAGAACTTGAGATTGTGCATATTGTATGTCCATACATAACAACAATATTAATCATAAACTTAAATATATCTTAGATAATTTTCTTATACTCAGTAAAAATCTATACATTACAATGTTGTCTTTTTAATCATCTTCTAATATGTAGAAATATCTAGAAAAATACAAAAACCATAAAATTAAATTTCTGATGTTAAATTTGTGTTAATGTTAAGATTTCTATAACATTTTGATACTCAAAAGTAAAGAAGTTTCTCTTTATAGAAAAAAGAATATAGATTCTCATACATTAAACTACAGGATCAGAATACAATACCAGTTTAAGTAATCAATTTTTCAAAAAACAGTATAATATCTGAAATTTTAATTATAAAACCAAAATCCAAAGTCAAATATACGTTTTCCAAGTGAGAAAGGACCCATAAAAAATTAACAACCATTGATGATCACCAAATCATAATCAACGGTGGAAATGAAAATAATAAAACAAAACAGAAAAAAGTCTAAAACGATGGAGAGTTTCGTCGTTTTAAGTGGTTATAAAAAGAGGAGGCGTATCTCCTTTGCAACAGAAGCTCGCTTTCTCTCTCTCTCTGGTGTGTGTGATCGAGTGGTGAAACGACAGAGAGAGACGTCGTTTTGTTGATTTCTCCTGGGTGAAGATGTCAGGTCTCGAAGATATCAAGAACGAGACCGTTGATCTGGTATTATTTTGATTCTCTTCTCTCTTAATTCTTCGATTTTTTTTTCATTTTTAGTGTTTGTTCTTCATGCCCACAAAGTGTTCGATGATTTGCTTGAATGAGAATAGATCTGTTTCGTTGTTTCTCTTTGCATGGTTTCGCGTTTGATTCTTTTACCCTTTTCGTTCAAATCATTTCCAGATGATTCTTCTCCTTTTTTCTTGGATCGGATACTGAATCTTAAAGCTTAAAATCCCAGATTTTTCTCCGCTAAAAAATTGAATTTTTTCTATCCCAATTATAGTTGCCTCAATTTCCGATGATTATATCATGGATCCGATACAAAACCCAAAACCCAAATCAAGATTTCAACTTTATTAAATTTGGTCTAAAATTAGGGTAAAATAACAGAAGTCTTTTAAAGCTTTTAGGTATTAAGCCAAAAATAAGTAGAGTTTTATACTGTTCATCAGAAAAAGTAGATCTACCCAAAAACTACACATGTGAAAGTGTGAAACGCTGAAAAAAAGATAAGAAAATAGATTTAGTGGTGGAGCTAAGTTAAGCTACGTCTCAATAAAAGTCTTTTTCACATATTTATTAAAAGAGAAAAAAATCACAAAAAGTTTGATTTTTGCTTGTGAGCTATATAGTCTTCTTTCCTTTTAAAAAAAGATCATCTTTTTTTTGTAAAGATAACGTTTTTGCTGTTAAAGCAGTTCATAATATTCTTCTATCTTCCACCCATAATAATACAAGAGTTTAATTTCAAATATAAAAAGTATAGATTTTTTTTTAAAATTGTTGGTGAAGTTAGAATTTTTTTGATGTACCTTTCCGTAGTACGTTTTTTTTTTTTGGCTTCTTTGTCCTTTTGTAAAACATCTATCAATAGACGTAACTTGTGAATTTCTCGTTGATTGTAAAAATTTTGTTTTTTTTTTTGTGAAATTGTTTTTGACCGAAATACCCTTAACCGGACCTTGGCTTTCACGCCGGAAAGTTGCCACCTTTCATGGAGGGAATCCCGCAGGCGCGTGTGTTACACGTTCGTTAACACGTGCATTGTTGTAGTAGTAGTGGTGGTGGTGGTGGTCCCTGTCTCCTCCACTGCCAGATTCTTTTCACCTTTCGTTGTCACAACTTGAGTCAACGCCACTCTTCATCTTCCGAGTCGCCGAGTTGGATCGTTTCTGACATTTGTAAAAAGATTGCAAAACTAAAAAAGTTTTTATCTTTATTACTCTTTTTGTTGTTTGAAGATGCATGAGTTTACTATTGTTAGGGTTCTGATCAAAACTTTTGCTTTGATTCTCAGGAAAAAATTCCGATTGAGGAAGTTTTCCAGAGTCTAAAATGTACAAGGGAAGGATTGACGACGCAGGAAGGGGAAGAGAGGATTCAGCTTTTTGGCCCCAACAAGCTCGAAGAGAAGAAGGTTTGAGTTTGACTTAGCATTGTTGTTTTATAATAATAGAAAGCTTTTGTTTTGTGGAACTCACGAGGTTGATCTTTCGTTAAAAAAAAACAGGAAAGCAAAATTCTGAAGTTTCTGGGGTTCATGTGGAATCCGCTTTCATGGGTCATGGAAGCCGCAGCTATCATGGCCATTGCTTTGGCTAATGGTGATGGTAGACCTCCGGATTGGCAAGATTTTGTGGGTATCATCTGTCTGCTTGTTATCAACTCCACAATCAGTTTCATTGAAGAAAACAATGCTGGAAATGCTGCAGCTGCTCTCATGGCTGGTCTTGCTCCTAAAACCAAGGTAATATATTGGTGAATGTTGTGACGTTATTGTTCAAGACATTTTCAAGACTTCTCGAGAGCTTAACCTGTTTCTCTGTTTTTTAGGTTCTTAGGGATGGAAAATGGAGTGAACAAGAAGCTGCTATCCTTGTCCCAGGTGATATTGTTAGCATTAAACTTGGAGACATTATCCCAGCCGATGCCCGTCTTCTTGAAGGAGATCCTTTAAAGGTTGATCAGTCTGCTCTAACTGGAGAGTCCCTTCCTGTGACCAAGCACCCTGGTCAAGAAGTTTTCTCTGGTTCAACTTGTAAACAAGGAGAAATCGAAGCGGTTGTTATAGCCACAGGAGTTCACACCTTCTTCGGTAAAGCTGCTCACCTTGTGGACAGCACTAACCAAGTTGGGCACTTCCAGAAAGTTCTTACATCCATTGGAAACTTCTGTATTTGTTCTATTGCTATTGGTATAGTGATTGAAATAATCGTCATGTACCCTATCCAACGCCGAAAGTACAGAGATGGAATTGACAATCTCTTGGTCCTCTTGATCGGTGGTATCCCCATTGCTATGCCCACGGTCTTGTCTGTGACTATGGCTATCGGGTCTCACAGGTTGTCTCAGCAAGGTGCCATCACCAAACGTATGACAGCCATTGAAGAAATGGCGGGAATGGATGTCCTGTGCAGTGACAAAACCGGGACACTAACCCTCAATAAATTGAGTGTGGATAAAAACTTGGTTGAGGTTTTCTGCAAGGGTGTGGAGAAAGATCAAGTTCTACTATTTGCAGCTATGGCTTCTAGGGTGGAGAACCAGGACGCTATTGATGCAGCCATGGTTGGAATGCTTGCTGATCCGAAAGAGGTATAACCCTATTCATTGTGAATTACTTCTGTAGTTAAGTGAAAATTCCAGAAAACAAGTTCTTATGTTTCACTTGGATTTTCGTAGGCCCGAGCTGGAATCAGGGAGGTTCACTTCCTTCCATTCAACCCGGTGGACAAGAGAACTGCTTTGACTTACATCGACTCTGATGGTAACTGGCACAGAGTCAGCAAAGGTGCTCCCGAGCAGGTGATGAATCTTCAGCTTTCACCTACAGATGTTAGTTTTTTCCTTAATTCGGTCTACTAATTCGTTTCTCCCACACAGATCCTTGACCTTGCCAATGCCAGGCCTGACCTTAGGAAGAAGGTACTCTCTTGTATTGACAAGTACGCTGAGCGCGGTCTTAGGTCATTGGCAGTAGCTCGTCAGGTATATACCAGTGGTCTTATTTGGCTTTTATTTTTGGCCTGGAAACAACCGTTTAATTTGCCTATTCCTTTTTAGGTGGTCCCCGAGAAAACAAAAGAAAGCCCAGGTGGGCCATGGGAATTTGTTGGCTTGTTACCTCTTTTTGACCCTCCAAGACATGACAGTGCCGAAACCATTCGTAGGGCGTTGAATCTCGGTGTTAATGTTAAGATGATCACTGGTAACTACACTTATTCATCATTTTTTTTTTAAATTCATGGTTATTTAGATGTTTTCCCCTAACTTGCGTTCTAACTGCGTTGGCAGGTGATCAACTTGCTATTGGTAAGGAAACCGGTCGCAGGCTTGGAATGGGAACCAATATGTATCCATCTGCGGCTCTTCTCGGTACCGACAAGGACTCGAACATTGCATCCATCCCTGTTGAGGAGTTGATCGAAAAGGCTGATGGGTTTGCCGGCGTCTTTCCAGGTTATAACTTGCTTTCAGTTTTAAACCTCATCATATGTTCATTACAAAGGTTTGTTTTATTGATCCAAGCTTCTTATGTTTTCTGATTGCAGAGCACAAATATGAAATTGTGAAAAAGCTGCAGGAGAGGAAGCACATTGTTGGTATGACCGGTGATGGTGTTAATGATGCACCCGCTTTGAAGAAAGCAGATATTGGTATTGCTGTGGCCGATGCTACAGATGCTGCTCGTGGTGCTTCCGATATCGTTCTCACGGAACCTGGGCTGAGTGTCATCATCAGTGCCGTTCTCACTAGCAGAGCTATCTTCCAGAGAATGAAGAACTACACTGTGCGTATTCTATAATCGTATTCTTATATTATGCCCACCAGTTGTGTTCGTTTGTGCTGGAAACTAATAATTCTATTTTCTTGCTTGTGACAGATTTATGCAGTCTCAATCACAATCCGTATTGTGGTAAGTAAAAACCCCGTTTAAAAATATATCACTTGTTTTGCATGATTTTTCTTTTTGTGTACTGATCATATTGCGTTGTAACTCTTGCAGTTTGGTTTCATGCTTATTGCTCTGATATGGGAATTTGACTTCTCGGCGTTCATGGTTCTGATTATTGCCATCCTTAATGACGGTGAGCAAATAACATCCTACTTTTCTAGACAGCGTCCTTACACTTTAGCAGCTATATCTTATGGTATTATGTGTGTTACTATCTCTTAGGTACTATCATGACAATCTCAAAGGACAGAGTCAAGCCATCTCCCACACCTGATAGCTGGAAGCTCAAAGAAATTTTCGCCACTGGAATTGTGCTGGGAGGATATCAAGCCATCATGAGTGTTATTTTCTTCTGGGCTGCTCACAAGACCGACTTTTTCTCGGTACATCATCAGTTTATTTTTATTTCTTTTGCTTTTTTCGTACAGGTGCTTTAGATATATGGCCAGGCCTTTTGCTCTGAGTCCTAAAAAATTATCTCACCTTTGATTTGCAGGACAAGTTTGGTGTGAGGTCAATCAGGGACAATAACGATGAACTAATGGGTGCTGTGTATCTACAAGTTAGTATCATCAGTCAAGCTCTAATCTTTGTCACCAGGTCAAGGAGTTGGTCATTTGTCGAACGTCCTGGGGCACTTCTGATGGTTGCATTCGTCATTGCACAACTGGTAAGAACATCAAGTACACACATTTTCTGAACCTCAATTAGGTTAAAGAAACCCATTGAATTCATTCACTCTTCCTCCCAAATGCAGGTTGCGACATTGATTGCTGTCTATGCCGACTGGACATTTGCAAAGGTGAAGGGTATCGGTTGGGGATGGGCAGGTGTGATTTGGATTTACAGTATCGTAACATACTTCCCACAGGACATTTTGAAGTTTGCCATTCGATATATCTTGAGTGGAAAGGCTTGGACCAGCTTGTTTGACAACAGGGTACATACAACTAACTCATCTATCTACCACTATAGAGATCTCTTCTACAGGCTGATGGTAACATACTAATCATATCTTCTGTTATGTTAACAGACTGCTTTCACGACCAAGAAAGATTACGGTATTGGAGAAAGAGAAGCTCAATGGGCACAAGCTCAAAGGACATTGCACGGTCTGCAGCCAAAAGAAGATGTTAACATCTTCCCAGAGAAAGGAAGTTACAGAGAGCTGTCTGAGATCGCAGAGCAAGCCAAGAGAAGGGCTGAGATAGCTAGGTAAGTAGTGTGATTAAATCGATCTCAACCGAAAGATGCCATTTATAGAGATTCTGATTGGTGAATGCTTTAATACTATGTTGTGACAGGCTTAGGGAGCTTCACACATTGAAGGGACATGTGGAATCAGTGGCAAAGCTAAAGGGATTGGACATTGATACAGCAGGACATCACTACACTGTGTAGTTGCAGTTGCACAACAACACAAACATTTACCGACCCCATCATGACTCTTCTTTTGTTTTGTCATCACAAATCTCTCTTTTAAAGTCATTACAGTAGAGGGAAGAGAACTCTTGTGTATTGCCATAACTCTTCCAAAACTCTTTCTTTTTTTTTCTTCTGTTATTGTTAGTCATTGTTCTAAAACTTGTACTCGATATGAGCTTTGCAAATTTGCCTTTGAAGAAACAAGGTCTTTGCCGTGTTTGGCACTTTGGCTACCACCACCCTTTTTAATGGCCTAAGGTGATCTTATCACTCTTTTGTTTGATCAATTTCATCTTGAAGATAATATTTAATCTAAAAATTATCGATTCAATTTCTAAATGAAACCTTAAATAAATAAAAACTAGGTAAATAAATCTTATAATATTATAATATGTTTTAAACAGAGCCGGTCCTAAATTTAACAAGGTTACAAAGCAAGAAAAAATAAATGGCCAGCCACTCTTTTATTTATTTCAGTACATTTTGTTGGAAAAAGAAAGAAAAAACGCTTTGGAATAACTTAAGTCTCGAACCCTTGAAAACTGCTTAAGTGCAGCCACTATAATTAACCACTAGAGTAAACAAAGTTTTAGTAAAAGGTAGCGAAATTACATCATATTTTTATCGGACCGCAAACGGGAAAAGGGTATTTTCTGACCGGATCGGTACAATTCGCAAAGTGTATTTTCTACCCGTACAATTATGCAGTGCTAGTTTATACTCAAAATGCATAAAAATTTCAAATTTTATCCAAACTTCATATTCCGTACGTAATTCAGAATCCACGTTAACGGATGTTAGTCAACTCTAACGGATGCTGACTCAGATAACACATGTATAATGAGATGGCATCCTCTTCAATTAAACGACGTCGTTTTGGTACTTGGTGTTTCAATTTTAATATTGTGACATCTGAGCATCAAACTCGAGTCTCTAGTCCATACAAACCATACCATTACCGGTTGTGCCGCAGTCATATTCTAAATAAGCACAAGCTGAAACTTTTTTTATTTGTTGTTTGTTCTCAATAATATCATATAATTTTTTTGTACAACGATGATATTTATCACATATGAAATAAAAAATATATGCAAATGACACAAAAAAAATCTTGATGTTCAGATGTTTTTGACTCACGAGTCACGAGTACAGCAATGCAAAGAATAATAATATAAAGTCAGTCGGCGTGAAATGACAAAATTTATCCAAAAATTTGTTTTTTTTTTTGGTATACTCTTACATATTAACTAAAATAAAATAATGAACTTTCTTAAGGAAAAAGAAACAAGACAAAACAAAGGATCTGGGTAACACATGCTATCTTTTGGATGCATCACAAGTTCACAACCAACAGCTACTTCAAATCAAAATGTGTAAACATTAACAAATAAATAAATATTATTGACCACACTTTCACACTTTATTCACATGTTTAACTTGATTACATTATATTGTTGGGCAAAAGTCAGCTTCTAAAAATTTCAACTTTCAACCAATTTCTTTTGACGTCAATATAACCCATTTAAATTCATAGTTTTTGCTTTGTGATTGTATCCTTATCATATTTAAGAGAAGAAACAAAAACCTCTTAACTTTATTAAAAACCCCATAAAAATATATCTTTCTTGAGAATTTTTTTTTTTGGTTGTTCTAAGAAAAAATTATCTTAAGTAAGAGAAAACCTCATTGTAAATTTGTAATATAAGTTCATTTTCTTAAGAACTACGTAGCTAACTTTCTTTCTTCTTTTTCTGATGTAAAAGACAACACACAACAAATAAAAAAAAATGAATTATATTATTTTCAAGAAGTATTATCTTGTACAATAGATTTTAGAACAATCATCTGCAACTCAAGACATACAATGTAGCTTCCAATCTCACTCAGAATCTCCTCCATGTTCATCTCTTCTCCACCTGGCAAAAGCTTCTGCAATTCCTTCAATCTCTTCTTGATCTCTCCTCCTTCTTCGTCGCGGTCTTGGTGTTTTTCTCCACCTTGTTTTTTGCTCGATCTTTCTAGAATCTCGGAAGGATAACTACTAGTGCTTATTAGATCATCATGAGGGGAAGATAATAGCTTCTGTTGCAAGAAACGGCTCCACGCGAATTCTTGAGCAGACAAGGCGAAAGCCATGTCTACTTCATGTTTCACGGTTTTTTCAAAACTTTGGTGGTTTGTTTTTGAAGAGGATTTGTTCATGTTGATCTTTTTGAGAGCTGGAACCAAGTGGCTCACGTATCTTCTTGCGAAGAGCTCATTAGGGTTCTTGTTTGGTTGGAGAGAAAAGACTCGTTTTCTCTTGTTTATAATTTGCCTCTCCATGTAGAATTTGTTTGCTTCGTAGAAATTCTACAAAGGATATACTTATATAGAGCAAAAACTCACGAGAAAGAGAAAGAGAGAGAGAGATGGTTTGATAATGTATGTGAAAGGAGTAATGCTATTGGTAGAACTCATGTGATATGACACGATCGATCACACTTTATGAAGTTATTTCTTTTGACATAAATGACTAATATGTGTGTGGGCATTTCACAATTGTATATGTAAAAAGGTAAAACAGAAATATAGAAAATATAGTTCAATAGGGTTTTTAATTTATAGTAATCTATATATGTTGGCAAGTACTCTCTTGTAACAAGTGAAATTCTGATATGATTCATGAGATTTTTCTCTTTATAAGCAAACAATTCTTAAAACTCTGAGATAAACTCTGATATGAATTACATGCGTTTAATCTCTAGTTCATATTTTACATGACGGTTGTAAATCTTTAATGAACAAAAAAACCTTGATCAATAACCAAATTTCGATCTAATATGTGAGAAAAATTTATATAGCTCTTTTCAGACAACGTTTGAAATTAGATAGATGTTAATCAAAACCAGAAGCATACAAATGTAATAAAATGAGATGCCATTAGTTCCATACCCGTAGTTCAAGCTCTACCTAATTATGTTTAAATTCTTTTAAATCCTCTCAAATAGAAGACGCACTTATTCTAACAAACGTTTTCTTTTGTGAATAAATTTTACATTCATACAAAAAAAAGAAAAAAAAACATCAACAATATTTGGTATAAGATTTTGGAAGCGAATCGAGCAAGATTGAAATTAAAAAGAGGAAAAAAAAGTGAATAATGGGTGATGGAAGAAAAAAACACATGGAGTCACATGGAAGAGGTCTAAATTTGGATGAATCATACCTACCCTAAAAGAGAGGGGGCTTGAGTTCCCTCTTTACCATGTGGCTCCATTGCAAGAATATGAAGACATCAACACTCAAACCCCACCTCCTATTAATGCCTTCACATGCCCGATCTCTCTCTCTATACACATCATCCACACATACTTGTATATTGTATGAGAATATGAATGCATGTCATGTATGTATGCATGTGTGCATGTGTTTGTGTCCTTGATTTTACCCATTTGTTCTATCTTTGTCCTTTACCTCTACTTTACCCTCCTCATCAATTATTCTCCTTTTGATCATTCTCTTTGGCCGCACTTGTGATGACTTTGGAATTATTAGTTTCACCACCCACTTAAAAAAAGAAAATACACAACAAACTACATAAAACTTTATAACTAATGTTTAAAAAAAACACAAAAAAAAAACACAACTAGATAAAACTTTGTTCGTATTGATAAAGTGACAAAGATTTGTAGCCGTTATCCTGAGAATTACACAAAATCGAATACAAATTTTACCCCTCACAGATCGATCAATTCTCACACCTCTCACAAAATTCGTTTGAACTCGTGAATTTTACCTAGATATATACTTATATGTATGTCTCATTGGCCAGGTAGATCCTTTGCTTTTCCCTTCAACCATCTTTACATGAAGATAATTCCCTCTTTTTCCTCACTTAATTTTATCTATAACTAATATATGTATGATGTAAAGAATTTTTAGATCTTAGACAATGCACTTAGATAGTCTAATTTTTTGGTAATTTTCTTTATACACAAAATAAGATTGGGGTGGGTTCCTTTATTCCGATGACAATATAATGTTCTTTCGTGCATTAACCATTCAAATAAACCCCCAAAAAATACACTTGGCCAGTACACACATCTTTTTAATTTTATTTTTTCTGTCACATAAGCGCCAAATACAAGACAAATGAAAGAAAAAAATACGGATCAAGCAGCATAAATATGATTAGTGGAGATTAACTAAAACATATAAGTACAGTAAATTAGAGTAGAACAAGTGTTAACTGATAACTATAAGTTTGATCGGCTAAAATACTCAAAAGTTCCACTAAGTTTTTCTAAAACATTTCGAGTAACTCATATTTATTTAAAAGAAAAACTGTATAATTAATTTGTAGATAAAATTAACTACTATGATACTATGTTTAGAATCTTTTTTAGCTTTTCAATTTAAATCTTTTTTTTTTGGTAAGGAATTTAACTCTTTTTTTTGTTTGTAAAGGCACATAACCACCCTAATTTGACTATTTAAGTGTAACAAAAAATAATAATGACAAAAATGATTAAACATACCGTATACGAACCACACCGTATATAAATAACACTTTTGTGAAAATTGACATCACATTTTCTTCATACCACACACTGCACTTTTTCGGCTCATCATTCACAAGAAAATTATAAGGGATTAGTAGTTTCCAATTAATTACAAAGTGTTCTTTTTTTCCTTGTTTGTCTTGATAATTTAATGTTTCTGTTGTCTTTTAATGCAGAAGGTTCAATGTTTCTCTATTACATTCCAAAATAATATGTATTATGGTATTTAATTTACAAAAGAATTTACTATTTTGCTAAGTTGTATTAACTGTCCATTTTTTGGTTAGTGCCAATAAACTGTCCAATTTCAAGGTCAGACACACTGAGCTAAATGGGATTTAAACCTGATATATTATCAAGGGAAATATCAAGCGATATGCATAGAGGAAGCGATAATTAAGTCCCTCCTTTTTACACTGTTCACTCGCTTCTGTTCAATTTTTTTTTACGCATGTACCCCTATAGCATCAAAGGAGTAGTATTTAGATTATAGGGCTGTATCATTGCAGAAGGTAGCAGAAGATTTTGCGAGATATTGTTTTGGGGAGATGTGCTATTTAAATTTTATTTTTTTTAATTTTTTCTTCTCCAGTTTCCGAACAGTCGTGTTTGTTCTCATCATATATGGAGGAGAGACGGTGTGTTCAGTCAGAGAGATAAAGAACCGAAAACTGTCCGCTCGTATTCTTTCTCTCTGGTTCTTTTTTTCTAGCAAAGGGTTATCTCTCAGATCTGGGTTTTGTTCTTCTTCTCTTTTCTTGTAAGTGAAATAGTTTTTTTTTCTGTTTGATTTTGCTTTGGTCGCCATGTTTATTGTTCTTTAACTGGATTTTATCTTTTTTTCTCAGAACCGATGCCTCCGATTCTGCTTCCTCCCCGGTTGATTGCGTTTGGTCACGAGCCTCGCGGCGATAGGGTTAATGTGTATCATAAGATGAAAACCCTTTGCGCTATCTTCAACTCTCTCGACGATGGTGAACGGCAGTTCCTTTCTCGATCTACATTCGGTCAACTATTGGAGTTTCCTAACAAACCCGCCTGGTCTGCGAGCTTTGGGATTTTTATATTGGGTAGACAGTTGGAGGTGGCGAAGCCGAACGAGATTTGGGTGCTCTTTGCCGGAATTCCTATTCGTTTTTCTTTGAGAGAGTTCAAGATTGTTACGGGTTTACCTTGTGGGAAGTATCCGAATTTGAAGAAGAAAAAGAAGAAAGGCACTGCGGGGAAGACGATTCCATTTTACAGTAAGTTGTTTGGCCTTGAAGAAGATGTAACTGTAGACCGGGCTATTACGATGTTGAAGAAAAGGATTATCTCCGATGCCGATATGAGGATCCGACTTGCTTGCTTAGCTATTGTCGATGGTTTCCTTGTCCCTACCTCTCATTATCCTAAGATTGTTAAAGCTCACGCCGAAATGGTTGAGGACGTGGATGCATTTCTTGCATACCCTTGGGGCCGTCTCTCTTTCGAGATGATGATTAAGTCGATTAAAGAGAGGGAAATTGAACAATTAGCAATTACTTGTTTTAGCGTTCAGGGGTTGTTATACGCTCTGCAATTGGTTGTCTTACAGGCAGCTCCATCTATTCAAGATGGACCTGTAATTGATGAGATCATTGAGTCTGAAGCTGAAGCCGGCGATGTCGATGTTGAAGATGCCCCTCGAGAGTCTGTCCCTTTCAAGCTAGGGAATGCTAAAGTGTTGGATAAAAAATGCTCGGTAATATCCTTATCTCTTTAACTTTGTTAACATTTATCAACATTGTTATCAGTATATATTGAACAAGTCACCGATAATTATGTTGTTAATTATAACGCCTTTTTCTCTTAAGCAAGTTAACGCCATCTGGTATTATTATCTTGGTTGTTTTGCAGATTTTTGTTGATACCATTATTTGTCCTGATTATGCGTTGAATCCGGAGGAAGATTTGTCTTGGTCTGATGATGAGGAAGATGAGAAGGTCGATAATATTCTGATGTTTGTAGGTGAGGGTCTGATTTTCAAGAATGACATGTTTGATGGTGGAGTTATCCCATCCCAGTTGAAATTGGCTTCAAAAAAACAAAAGCGAGGTGGTAAATCCAATGGTTGTCGCACTAGGAAAGCTGCCAAACTAACTAAGAACGGTGGTGTTAGGAGCAGACAAGAAAGACCTATCCCTGAGGAAGGCGGGAGTTCAGGAGGTCCTTCGTTGGAGTCTATTTCCCTTTTGTTGGATGCCAAACTTGAAGGGCAGGCGAAAAAAATCATTGCCGCGGTGACAGATTGGTTCACTAAAAACACTGTTATTGAAGGCGAAACCTCGAAAGAGCCTGTCAGTGGGTCTACTCGTCATAAGAAGGCTGCCAACAATGGTAACGATGGTGTTGCTAATTCTGATGGTCTGGGTTCCAATGGTGGTGATGATGATATTGGATTTGATTCTCTCCGCCACTCCCGTGGCCATGCTCGGTCTCATTGCCGCGAAGGAACTTCTAATGTCGAGGCCACTGTGGATGAAATTTTATCTTTCTACTCTGAGAAGGTTCCAACTGGTGTTGGTTGCAAGGAGGCGGGGGTAAATTTTTTTTGTCTTATTAATTTTTGTTTTTTTGGGTTGGTGGATATTTTCTTGATTATGGCTTTCTTCTTTGTTTTTAGCGGGAGAATGCTGTTCCAATGGGTGAAGATATTCTCCATGCTGGCGATGTGGTCCATAATTCTCAGGTGGGCGAGTTTTCAATGGTGTTTTTTGGCTAAGTTATTTCATTGATTAGGTGTTATTTTAGTTAGATGCTAACTGTTATTCTATCATCAAATATTCATTGAGGCTTTTTGTGTGTTTATTGTTTTTTTACATTGTTTGTTACATTTTGTTTTAGGGCGTTAACAATGTTACAGCTGATGTTCTCCCCCCTTCAGAATGTGTTGATGAAGATAACCCCGAGGTTAGTTGTTATGGTTTTTATGGGGTAACTATTAGGAAAATGTGGGCGAGTTGTATATGGTGGTATTTGGCTAAGTTATTTCAGATATTTGGTGTTATCTTAGGTAGATGCTAACACTTACTTTTACCATCAAACATACAATGACGCTATGACGGTGTTTTATTGTTGTTTAAGTAATTTTTTTTAATTTTTTTAGGACGGTAACAATGTTACAGGTGATGTTGCCCCATCCACAGAGGCTGTGGTTGAAGATAACGCAGAGGTTAGTTGTTATTTTTTAGTGGGATAACTGTTACTAAAATGTTTAATCTATATATTTGTTATTAATGGAGTTTTGTTAACCATGTTTGCATTTCCCCCCACTGGAGTTTAACTTTTTTGCTAATTTTTTTTTTTCTTTTTCTCTTTAGCGCGTTGAGAATGTTCCAGTGAATGAAGCATTTATAACTCCCAACGAGTCGATCGTTAACGAAGAGGTTATCTGTCATTATCTAATTAGTGCAGTTATTTGTTTGTTGCCTGTTTCTTAGCATTTGTTATTGTTTGAATGGACAGGTTCAATGCTCTCAGCCGACAGGTGGCGTTGTGGCCCCCCCGCGTAATGCTTTAGAGGAAAGCCAGGTAATAGATCTATTTTATAATAGTATAATACAAGATAGAATATGTCTGTCTTTTGCAATTCTGTTTTTGCTTCTGGTTTAAATTCATTTCAATTCTTCGTTGCCCAGGGTGTTCCTGCGTCGGATGATGGTACTGTTGGCGAGGAGACGCATGTGGGTATCCCGGATATCTCGGTTAGCAGCTAAATTACAAACCATATTGTTCCCATTTCGTTAGGCTTTTCTTTCCTATTCTGTTCTACTCTCTTTGTAAAGATTAATTTTCGGGTGATAACGCTATTAGGCACTAAACTATATATTTATTTTGGTTTTTGGAATTATTTTTAAGAGTTTTGGTGTTTTAAAATTTCAATTTTAGTTGAATTCAGGTACTTATATGTATCAATGTATCCCTCCATGCTAGCCAACTTTAATTTAAATATGAAAGGTTAACGTACTAAGAGTCTTTTTAATGTCTATGTTCTTTACTTTCAAAGTCTATTTTTACTTAGTCTAGCCCTCAATCTGTTTGTGGTCTTCATGATGATGGGAAGATTAGTTGTTAACCTCCCAATGACCCTGTTCGTGTGAAAACTATTAAAAATTTAGTCATCCTGTAAAACCGGTTCTGTACTCATATTGTCTGTTTTTTCTTAAAATTTTTTGTGAATAAGGCTTCTCTGCCTTCTGATGGTGGGGTTGTGTGTGATGGAGAGGCGGTTGATACCCCTGAGGCTGTTTCTATTGATATGACAGCAACTAATGATCTGGTTGGTATTATCAGGGCCCTGACTTGTCATTTAGCTGATATTTTTTTAATTATATATCTCGTTTAGCCTTTAACTTTTTTATTACTCCCATTTTTTGTAGGGTGCTGGCCGGGCTGCCCCTTCTGTTGTTTCCTCCCCACGCGAGGTTTTATTGTATTTTCTATGTGTTTGTTTTGGTTGCTAACTAATTCTTTAGCCCTTATTAATCATTCGTTGTTGCTGTTTTCTCAGGATTCTGATGAGGTATTATCTAATTGGTTAAATGCTATTGTTTTTGTTAGCAGTTAGTTCGTTTTTAATTATTTTCCCATTTCAGGATTTCACCACTCCCCCCCCTTCTAAAGTAGGGAAGGCTCCCTTCCAGGTTTTTTTGATATAATTTAGTATCTTTGGTAGGTAAATCTCAAATTTCGCTCCTTTTCTAATTTAGTCCCCTTTTCCTGCAGGGTGATTGTCATCTCCTTCGTAATCAGCATCCTTTAGGGCTCGTTGGAGAGCATCTGAGAAAGAGAGGAACGAAGCAGCTGACATTATTAATAAATTCAGTCTTTAATTACTTTGTTATACTGATATCGTAGTTACTTCAATAACTTCTTACTTATCACAATTGGATATACTATTATTTAGCGCTCTAAACCTACTGTTACCTTCCTCCCCTGGATCGTCGAAATATGGGGGTGCATCGCTGTCATAGAATACCGTTGGAACGGGTGTATCCTTCACGATCATCTCATTCCTCTGTACATCGGATACTCTTGTGTTAGTTGATGGCATCCCTATTTCTTTAGTTGATAATCCGTCCTCTATCATGATACTTTTGCCTTTATCTATCATTGTGATAGGTTGAGGATCCATAATCAGAGGGCCATCAGCATCAGAGTAAAAGTGTGCCAGTGTTTCGTCACCTACAGTTTAAAGCATTTTATGGTTGTTTTAGTGTGCATAAACAAAATAGCGGATAATATATTGATTATTCATTAACATACCTAATAGCGATAAGCTGTTGTTGTTCGACGACTCACTATCCTCCATTAGGTCTTCGGTACTGAAAGAAATGCTTCTCGAAAGCGAGGTTGGCGTTCCGAAGGTTGAATCGCTTGACGATAAAGCGACCACCGGCGGCCCAACAGCTGGTGCTTTTGAACTCGCTAGAGTTAGACGCAAATCCGCATTTGGATCTCGCTTTGACTGGTCGCTACTTCCGAAATCTAGGACCCTCGCTGTTTTCTCTTTGTCGCTCACTTTTGTTGCATTAGTTTGAGTTCCTCCTAGGGTCATTTGGGTTGCACACATCTCTCGCCACATTTCTTCCTGTTGGTTTTTTCGCCACATTTCAAATAAACGGTCCCTCTCCCTCTCCTCGTCTTCAACAACTTTCTCTTTTCCCTTTAAGCTTGTAATTGCTCCGGGGTGTGTTACTTTTTGTGGCATCCCGCTAGTTCCGCCTGTAATTTCCATGTTGTCTCTTATGGTTACCCCTTCATACGTGTTGCGATGCTCACCGCCTTTACTTATGTTCACCTCGTTCTCCTTCCCCATGGTTGTCATACTTTCTGCGTCACCTGAAACAGGTTTACAATTAGTAGATAACAAATTTAGCAACTAATTTAATTATCCGCCAATATTGTCGATTTACAGCTGAAAATATATTCTTGATTCAATTGTAATAAAGCCTGTTAATATCATTAGCTTCTAATTCTTACTGCAATATATTTAGGAATTTAGTTATCAGTTGTTCACCTGAAATGTTACGCAGTAACATTCGTGTTAGCGCGGATCCCCAGACAGCCCTGGTTTCTGCGTTATTCCAGTATTTATCGGATATTTCTTTTGAACTTAGGCCGCTTAGATCCATGTTACTCCGATAACTATTAACGTTTCGCTCAGTCCCACCTCGTATAATCCTCACCCGCAGATGGACTTCATCTAGATCGGCCCTTATCGCCATGAACAGAGTCATGTCCTCATCGTCTAATATGTCGATCGGGTTTGCACGTTTCCAATCAGGGCCCATCATCCACTGTGGCCACTGGTACGTTAACTCGATATCGTCTTCAGGACGCAGTGCTAACTTTTCTTTTACCGCCATAACCACTTTCGCAAACCCATCTTGCTCTCGCAGGCGTACTCCTAGTGCAAACCCATCCATATGTGAGACGTGTTCGAAAAAGCCGTTTTCATCTTTTTTCCATTCCCCAGGGACCAATCTCACCACGAACGCCATTTTTACCTGCTAGAGTTTTCAGCAATAAAAAATTTGTTAGCGTTCTTGTTATTCTTAACTATCAAACCCTAAATCTAAAAAAATTCGCTTTTCTGAACATCTACAATAAAGTACGTAATACCCAAATCTTTTTACTTTTACCTTTAAGCTTTGATGTCTCTGTGTGCTTAACTTTCTCTTGCATTAAAGATGTCGGAAGCTAAGCTATTTAGAGTGATAGAACTGGGTTGTTGCAGCAAAGAGGATAAGTGCTAATAAATAGACAAACGTCTATATTCGATATACCCGCAACCCAACATATATCAGCTGCAATATTTATCGTATCTTTATGTTTCCAAAGCCGGCGGCGATATCTTGCAAGATATCCTCAGCATTTAATGCCGCACCTACGCTATAACTGTTTTCGTTTTTCGGTTTTGTAGGGGCTTTTTCGTCATAACTTATGTCGGGGAAGAGAGAGGTTTAATTACCTCATTTGCATGCATAGAAACTTAATATTTTCATCCTCTGTGCATAGATATTAATATAGCCCATATATCAAAGTGTCACTTAAAAATCTAAACCACTTTTGACTATTTTTAGATATGAACATGTTCAGAGTTAGAATATTTAGCTTGTTTCTTTAAGCACAACTGTAACTCTTTCCGTACATTCTTCTAAACAAACGAATAAATATTTATATCATAAAGTATAAATCTCATGAAAATCTAATTCCGCTCATTCAACTATAACCAGTATAATAAGATACATTGAACTATTTTTGTCGGTTTGAATGATGAAAAATCGTACAATGCTGTCAGAAAATTTGTACAAAAGTCTGTGATTGGTGAATGTCATGTTATGATTTTATATATTTTGTCACGATTTTATTACTGAATAACATTTGATTAAATATAATTTGGAAAAATGGGGACCCAAATATATGGTTTTGGATTGAAGAGGAGCATGTGGATTGAATTAAGTACATTGTTTTTCTCCTTAATTTGGATGCATTTCCACAAATGTCTCCACGTGCACTTACATTACAAGTTTTTATATTCCTAAACCCCATATGATTCGTTAATTATCAAAAAACATTAGTTAAGAATTTATTAAAAAAATTTGAATAATGATTAGTAGTATAATTTAATAGTTAAAAAAGATCTCACTACTAAAAAATGTATTCAAGATATCAACAATGTTAAAGAGGTCAACAATGCAGTTTTAGAATGTTATTTTAAGTTGTAGATCAATTTTGGATTTAGTGCAAATATCTAATTATTTTAGTTTAGATTTGGATATGTTAAAGGTTGGTGTCTATCAAAGAATGAATGATGTTATTTTCCATGCCAAAAAGCCATTAATGTTTTTAATACTTTAGGGAGACTGAAGAGTTTGACCAGATTTCCAAAGAAAAGTTATTGGTTAGAATTACAAAGACGAGGCTCATTCTCCTTCACATATATTTTTTCTTCTTTATTTTTCCTCTTTTTTTGGTTTTGATAATTCAAAATCTTTTATTAAAAAAAAAGAAAGAAAGTCTAAATAGTCCGTAGAAAAATAATTGAGTTTCCAAGAAAGTAATATAATCGAGAATTGTTTTCAATAAATTTGTAACATACATTAGTGGGCTTAAAAGTTTATATAGACAAAATGGATCAAATATACGTTTTGACTTTTGAGGTTACGCCTAAAATTAGTTTTTAGCCCAGACCATATTTTCCTGAGTTTTATTTTGATTTTTCTTTTTTTTTCTAGGCTATTACTAAACAATTTTTTTGGGTTAGTTATAATAGATTCATACATAGGTTTAGGGCTTTAAGGGTTAGTCAATGAAGTAAAAATTATAAATGAGTCTGCTTTTTTCTTTTGTAAGCAGTAAAAAAAATACATTTGAATGAGATCGAAGGAGAAAATGTTAACATTCATTGTCTCCATATTTTTTTATTTAAAACATGTAGATGAGAAAGAAAAAGTATTAACATTCATTGTCTCCATACTTTTGATTTGATGTATATATTACTGAAATTTTCAATATTAATATTTTGACAAACAAGATATTATCATAATTTTTAACAAAAAATAAATCCTACTATGATTTTAGGTAATACTTTGAAAAGTTATAAATGCGAGGTCAATATTAATTTTTAAAGTCAAAATATATTTCTTATTTAGTCCATTCGAACAATATATAAAATTTTGGCACATTATTTATTTTGTGAATAAGTTATTTTGGCGTGTTATTTATCTCTATATTTTGGTTCATATAAAAGTCTTCTTACTGTGAATTAGTTATTTTTAGCATTGAGTTTTAAAGTCTAAGACACAAATAAACGTAATTTCCCAAATAGCTATATGCATTATCAAAAACTTCTTTACTTTTCATAGTTTAATGATTCTCTGATAGAGCTTGAGTCTATTTTTCCAGCATAATCAACTCATTCATAGCTGCAATAACAATATACAATAGCCTTGATCTCTCGTCATCGTCGTATATATTTCTATTGTGATCTCTAATTCAAGAAAAAAAAACCACGACAACGTTAGTTGGGTGGTGGAATCACGACAACGAATAAGAGATCAATATTGTTGGATATTGCCATTGAGGCTATGCATGAATTGATTATGTTAGGAAAAATGGATAAGCCCATTTTGGAAAATATACTCAAAACTCTGAAAAAGAATCACTAAACTATGAGAAGTACAAAACTTTGAGACCTTGATGTGGACATCAGAACGAAACCAGACCCGGAGTTAACTAGACCAGCCGATTCAATCCTCAACCAAACCCAACCGGACCAAAAAGGAGAATTTTGGCGCAAACGAAATTCCGATCAAGAAAATGGCCGAGGACTGGATATCTACAAATAAATCCATCCTAAGAAGAGTAATGATTCAGCTGGAATCTTAAATCACCATGTCGAATTGAAGTTGGTCCACGATGACTCACCCGGAGCACACAAAACTCAAATCCACCGACCCAATGAAGACTTTACCCGTCCCAAACTGAAGATTCACCAGCAAGTTACATATATAAAGACATTTGGTCGAGACGGAATCAAAAGCTACCGACCCAACCAACTCGAGCGCCAAAAAGACCCACCTGTAGTAAGCCAACTACAAGATCATCGACCCGAAGTCACTTTTCCTCGACCTATCTTTGATATTAGCCGTTATTATGCACATTTTATGAAGAATGGTCGAGCCACACTTGACGATTACCGATCCAAATCACCTAAGTGCCACGAGACCCTTCCCGGAGAGCTCCAAGTTCAAGTTCACCGATCAAAAATCATATTTACTCGACCCATATTGAAGATTCACCGACCAGAATACAATTTTATAAAGATTTGGCGAGATACATATGGAAACCTGGGGATCCACTACACCTTCTAGAAGCTGCCCCACAAGACCTATGGTGCACCTTTCCCCACTTGATCATGAGAAGACCAAACTTACCATATTCGGATCCAAGGAGCTTTAATTCTCAACGGCTCGTTTCTTATCAATGATGCTGCGTTTTAAAGACCCTACACACGTCCCAGAGTGTCCCAAGAATTCGCACCTACCTCCCCAAGCTTTCAAGATACAAGATCAAGACACTTGCCTCATTTGGACCGATTTTCCCTTTAATGTTCCAACGGCTCTTTGTATTTATTTTAGCGATTCTTTTCTTGTTTTAGCACCTTAGGACCGTTGCCTATGAGCCTATAAAAGCTCAGCTCTTAGTTCATTGTAATTCACCCATTATCATTGATTTAATAAAAGTTTGTTTTCTTTCAAAGAGAGTCTTTGAATTGTTCTTGTTCTTGTCTTTAAAATCTAAGTGTGGAATCACGTCTTTTCTATTGATTTACGGATCAGATTGCTTGTGGAATCAAGTCTTCTTGTTCGTGTGTGATTGTGGAATCAATCGCAAACTCCATCTCCATCTCTACCAACGCCCATTTCCGCGTGAAAGCTTGTCAACTCTTGACATCTTGTGATCAATAAGATTTGGTGGATTCCAATCTTATATCAGACCTCATTTGGGCCCAAAAACTCTTGGCCATTTTTCTCTCAGCGTTAGTACTTTCCAGCTTTTCAAAATTCTTTGTCTTGTTTTCACTAAACTATCGTCTCCTAAATTCATTCACTTTGAAAAGATTTAACATTGTTTTTTTCTTTGCTAAATATTTAACATTGTTTCATTGTATCATTATCCAAATTGTGTGGTATGTTGTAAATTGTGGTAGCAACTAGCAAGCAATATTTAACAAATATTGAGAAATGGTGTTCCAAACTAAATAAGAATAAGGGTGGTAAAACAATTCTTACTTTTTTTTCATCAAAGAACCATGAAACTCAAAAAAGAAGAAGCAAATTTCTTAAATATTTAAAGAAACAACAAATCACTAATTAGCACGTGAACAATCCCGTCTTATCTCACCGGCGTTACCGGTTTTAACTCCAACCCGACCCAATTTCGTTATAGCCGAAATAAAAGCTTGTCTAAAAGTTGCTTCATTAGAAGCAAATGAATTGACAGTTGATCTAGACCGTTGATCAGAAAACAAAACTTGATCTGACGTGAATAAACCCATCCCCTTTTGGAGGTTTTTGAAATAAGCATTGTCAAAGGTATTTGGAGAAGTTGGATCCATATTAATCGCGATCCTCGGGTCAACCCGAATGGGACACATTTGTCTTAATTGTAATGCGTATCGAAAATTTAAAGTCGGATCGATCGGACGTTTAGGACTAAAGTTGTAAATTCTCTTTGAAAACTTTCCACAATGTGCGAATCCGATAGTATGTGCTCCTATATATCATAAAATTTAACTGTTAGACTTGGTTATAATATATATGAAATTAAAATCGGTCTAAACCGGTTTGCTTCGGTTTAAATACCTGACAGTGCGATCATATCGGTTTGGGATAGACCGTGACGAGCGAACATAGTGTTAAGTTGGTCCAATTTGAAACTAGGCTGGGGTAGACTGTGTTGAACGCTAGCTACTGTTGATAGTCTGCCGTCTCTCCTCCCTAGCTCTACCGGATAGTTTGGTCCGCCAGTCTACAATATATTATTATCTTTAATTTCACCGTCTTTTAGTAACAATGACACAAAATGAAAAAAAATATAATCACACAAAGAGAGAATAATAACCAAAGCGTTGGTGATTCTTTAAGGATAAATTAGCTAAGTAATCCTATTATTTTCACTTAATTAATTAGGTAATTAACATTAATACATACGTTTTCGTAATTCGTAGTCGTGCGTAATTATAATCATGATTTTGTTTTTTTCATATAAACGAAACAGTAATGTATTAATGTTACTTAGTGTCACAAAAGAAAGAATACACGAATTGTTTTTCCTTTTAGCCTAGGTTTTTCTTGTTTTTTTGACATTTCCTTTTAGCCTAGATTAGTAATAGAATTTTGAGTAGATTAATAAAAGATGTCAAAGAAATTAGAAAAAGATCAATATAAGAGGTTGAAATTAGGCATGACCAAAAGCTAACCGTAACCGTATTTCGGACCGTAACCGGACCGTTTCTCAACCGTAACCGAACCGTAACCGTACAAAACGGTTAATAACCGTAACCGTTAACCGTAAAAACAGATTAGTTACGGTTAAAAAATATACTAACCGTAACCGTTAATTAACCGTAAACGTATCAAAACCGTTAGTTAACCGTACGGTTAACCGTGTGGTTAACCGCATAGTTAACCGTGCAGTTAAAACCTAAAATACATAATTATTTCACTAAAACAGTGCCTTAAATGGTTCAATGCGCCCACTACTAAATTTAAACCACTCCACTCGTCCACTACTCATTTTCCATAAATCAAATCATAAATAATTTACAAATTATTATTTCAAGTCCTGAAATCGTTTCTTAATTCTCATAACATCCTTTCTATATCTCATAACATCCTTTCTATAGTGTTGTTTGGAATACGTATTGTCAATAAAACAATTACTCAATCATTAGAATTATTACCATTGATTTAGTTATTCGTTGGTTTACTTAACAAAACAAAATAGCTAATTAACTATAAATATTAAAATACATAATCACATATATTACATATTGTAAAATAAATATTATTTGATATATCATTATTAAAATTTTTATTCTAAAGGTTAAAAATACCTAAGTTTTTGTCTTTGATATTAACCGTATCGTAATAATTAGATAACTGTAACCGTATTTAACCGTAACCGTTGTAACCGTAACCGTATTTAACCGTAACCGTTTTAACCGTATATATAACGGTTAAGGTTACGGTTAGAGAAATTTAATAACCGTAACCGGGGGTTAATAAACCGTAACCGCAATAACCGTAACCGTGGTCATGCCTAGTTGAAATGTACCAAAACGACGACGTCACGAGTGGCTAGAGCCAAAATGTCAGCGCATGAGACTTTGTTACGGCAGTTGGGATCCCTATCAACGGCCTGCTTTGCCTTTGCCACCGTATCAAACCCGTCTCCGGCTAGTGACTTGTCATCAGGGTGATCTTTCTCCGATGGAGATGCCAGCAATATCGAAGCATCACATCCCTGCATATAACGTTAATTAGTCAAACAATATACAAATAGAATGGATCTTCCTAAGAATTATTGGTAGAGATCATTTTAATAGTTGAGAGATTTAATTATTTTTTATAAATTAAAAAAAAAACATAATGATAAATTCATAGTATTTTGAAATTTTAGTTTTTATAAATTTAAAATCTTTGTTTCAACAACATTCAAAATTCATAGAATTACAAAATCAATATAACTAAACTTTTTGAATAACAAAGAGATTTTGAGTGGAATTTAAAAATCATCAAACCAATTGAAATTATTTAGAATAAGAAGAATCAATAAATCAAAAATAATAAAATCTTTCTAAAAAACGTTTTTGTAAATGAAAGTACCAATAACACTTTTTCATTGTTTTAAACAAACATTCATATTTATGTTTTTCATTTACTTGTTTAATGATTGTATTTCATGAAAAGCACTTAGTATCGTTTACAAAATGTAAACTTAAAACACAAATTTTGTGGGGAAAAAATTCAATATATATATTAGATAAAAATCTTACACGGACGAAGCAATCATGGAAGAAAAGGCGGAGGGTGGCTGGAGCCGTAACAAAAGTCTGTTGGAACTTTTGGCGGACGGCGTTGCGGACAATAGTTTCAACGTTAGGACATGACTTCCGGTAAAAATTTGTCTGAAGCTGAGCAAAGACAGATGAAGAAAAGAGAATGAGAAGAAGAGCAACAATGGAGAAGCTGCGTTGGTTCTTCATGGCTCTTAAAGTTAATGTTTTGTTCCTTTTGTGTTTTTTTGTATCTATTTATAGAGATGATCAAATTTATAGTTAAGGGTTACGTATGGTACATGCAATTTAGTTTATTTTATAATTTTTATGAATACAATTATGATAATGACTTTGTTACACTCTGTAATGTCCAATCATAGATTTTGACAATTTGATGTGAGGCTAGGTTGAGGCTCACATAGTGATTTGTATTTTATTATACTGTTCTTGTATATAGGCTTAATTGGGGTTTGATATTTTTTTTCCTTTGTTTTACATATTTGCATAAGCTTATTCAAACGTCTCATTGTTATATGGAAAATAATTCCGACGTCAAAAAACAATATATTAAGTTTTACTTTTGTTTTGGTCAACGATAGAATATTACATGTTTTAGTTAATTAGGGTTATATATGTCTCTTTGAAAGTGTTATATTCAACCTGTATTAATTTTTGGTAAAATATAAATTCAACCCTCAATATATGGCTGTTTTTAGATGATGCATTAAAGAGTTGGATTGACTGCAAACATAATTATGAAGAAAAAATAGTTAGTTACAATTATAAATTGTATTATATTTTATTTCATTAATCAAATTTTCTGAGTTAAAGGCAAAATCTAAACCGATCTCAATGTCAAGTTTAAATTTATCTTGACCTTATCTTTGCCAACTCAAAGCCATGTTACCACTTCTTAGCAAGTACTTGAACAAGGGAGAAGAAGAAGAACTCATGTGATTTGATCTATCACACCAAATTACATCCTTCTCAAGATCTAAGTTTACAACGAGGGATGGATCTAAAGTTGACTAGTGACGAGAAAAGTGACTTTTGGTGTGGAATAAATTATTTTTGATGATGATCTACAATTTAAGCTGACAAGTCTTGCAAGTTTGCAAAATAGTAGAAACCGTTGATAAAAAGAAAGCCAAGGGAAATAAGAGAGCACAGAAAAGTTCTAAGAGTGTTTATGATATGGCCTAGAAGATAATATCAATTAAACTTTCTTTATGACATTCTTTTATTCGATCCATGAAAAGTTCAAAACATTATTTTATTCTTTTGTGCAATTTAGTGAATACTTGGAAAAACCTTATGAAATTGGAGATCACCACGGGAGATGAGATATAGGCAGTAATCAAGTTGATTAGTCTTTATATGAAATTTTTTCCAATGGATTAAGACAAAAATTAATATAAATCTTGAGAGCTCTAAAATGACAACTCATCACATGGCATGAAACCTTGATTCAAGGAAGAAACTACGCAGCCTGTGTCATAATCTCTTGGCTGTTCATAGTTTCCGTGTATTGACCGATAAACACGTTAAACAAAATAATGCAAATCCTACCCCTCATTGAATATATAATATAGGAAAGATAATGTCAAAATATGGCATTAAAAAAAAAAAAAAAATGAAGATTTATTTAGGTAAATGACAATTGTTACAGTTGTTACCAAAAAATAGTAAAAAAAATTGGGTGAAAAACTGAAAATGTAGTATGTCATATTGTTAAATATATTCATTTGGTATTATTTATTCATGTACATGAATATACTTGTTTGGGAAAAAATAATGTTGTTTAGTAAGAAACATCTCTAGAGAAAACATCTTTTGCACTGCAAGTAAGAAACAAATACGTAGAAGCCGGCAAAACACTGATGGGCTATGTGCAAGAGGGAGAAAGAAGGACGAAAGAATGTGAAACTAAGTCTCGAGGCTCAAGACAAGCTTGAAGGAGTAAGAGAACGAGAGAGAAAAAGAGTCGTTCTTGGGAAGTAAGTTTGTTCGAGACCAAGGATCATAAATATGAAATATCCCTTCTTGCCTTCTTGGTGAGAATGTGGTTGTATTTTATTCAGAGAGAGCGCCGGGGGGTCAATGCAAAACACTCGAATACTTTATCTTTTCTCTTGTAACAATTCGCCAACAAGTTAGTCTAGAGACATCTAAGATAGCTTAGATCACACGGGTTTGTATGCGGGTAAACTTACTCTTCTTTAGAGTATGGGTAAACTAAGATATCTAAGATATATTGATGTTGCTGTGATGATCAATATATGGACACATAGACGTTTTGAATGACTTTGCCTCTAAAGATCTGGTTCTGACTCTAAGCTTTGCATGTGGCTTGATGATGGCAGCTACTTGAATGGCAAAGTTCATCAACACATTCTTTTGAATGACCAAGTTATAGAAGGTCAGCATTCATTTTAGATCATCTCCTACTTTGTATTACACATCACAACTGAATTCGCACAATACAACAAACTCACACAAAAAAGGGCTGAAGATAGAGTGAGGATCATGAACATACCAACGAACGTTTGTTGAAAAAGCTTGGGATTTATTCGGAGTCTGAATCTGAACGAGCACTCTGCCTCACGTTCCTTCTGACTTGTGTAGTAGACTTTACTTTAAGCGATGATGACTCTCCCTCGTAATGGATCACTTGTGCTCTGGCTATTCTCTCTTCCAAATCCTCTGTGCTAAAATCATCTTTCCCTCCAAGCTCATTGAATCCAACCTATCATCAACAACAACATTGATCATCCACTAAACCATATCCTACAGAGACTAACAAAATGTCCTTGTTTAAGCAATTATTATTACCACATAATCATCGACTTTAGTGTTCTTAATAAGTGCAAGAGTAGGAAGAACAACAATCTTGAGCCTCTCAGCCAAGAACGGACTTTTCTCAGCTTGAATCTTCACAAAACGTGTCTCAATGTGTTGCTTCGCCAATATACTCATATGTTTATCCATCACCTACACAAACATCAATCATCCAAACACACAGGATTTTCTCAAATCACCAATCATCCAAACAACCATGACATCGAATCGAAACACATGACTTCCACAAGCTCTAAGAATCAAGCAATGCAGACACATCCACAAGGTCTAGTATCTATGAACAAGAAGCACCATTCTTTGATTCCAAACATCTCTAATCAAAGATCATACATTGAACTACGCAATCGAAATCTATTGAAACCACGAAAAATTCGAAAATGTTGAAGCAAGAGATTATGAATCCATACTTTACAAGGCCAATTCTCGCGGTAGAAATGGCAGACGACGCGTTCACTGGCTTTAACGACGGAGAAGAAATCTTTCTCAGAATGGATCTCAGAGTATTCACCATGTCCAAGACTAATCCAACGTTTCTTCTTCTCTGCCATTTTCTTCATTTGCTTTAACCTTCTCTCTCTCAAAACCTCTAAATCGTCTTCGTCAAGCTTTTCTAAAGACGCGATCTCGTCGTCTATTTTATCTTCCATAGCTTTCGCTACCGTTAGAACTTGTTTCTCCAGAATCTGCCATGGAAAAATCCAAATTACAAAATCAATTCACAGAAAAATTATACATTGCAAAAGCGAAGATTGAATCAAAATTGCATTTGCGAAATGGTACCTCTTGAATAGGATTCGCCATGGTTGCTTTTTTTGCTCGGCAATTCTGAGGATTTCAAATTTCTGAAGTTTTGGTTTTTTTTTTTAGATCTTGCAGATTAGGTTTTTACTTTTTAGAATGAAGAAGATGATTAGCACGTGATATTCCACGTGACTTAAAAAATTATTAAGACGTTTGGGCCAATCTATTATTAACGAGGCCCATTGTATTTACCAAATTTGGGCCAATATCGATATGGCGACTTGATTCATATTTTCTTTATCAAATTTAGGATTTTGCATTTCTTACTTTTGTAATGTACTTAGGTCGAATTGCCGTAGAACTGACTGAGTTACATTCAATGGGCTGCTCAAAGTATGATTGATCTCTTTGTTGAGGAAATTGAAATATGTTTGGACTAAGTAGCTGAAATGGAGGCTTTACAACATTCTGCGAAGTGGTCGTGCTATATATGGCTCTTTTCTGGATCAGATTAAGCAGATTATTTGTTGGTTTCATAGAATTGGTTCAAGTTTACTTCCAACAACGAACTTTTTGCATTGTGATATAGGAAGAAAAGAAGTGTGACTCAAGACGGACGGTATTGATTTTTGATTCTATTTTGTTATGGGATGTCCGACATGGCTTCTTACCCGAAGTGATGACTAACGTTTAGAGTTTTACTCTGTTTCCAGCAGTATTTGTTATCTGAATCTTTTAGATATTTTCGTTGAATATACCAATGACGACAAAGAAATATATTTGTCAAGTCATTTATCATATACACATCAATAATTAATGGGTCGATGCATAAGTATAACTAAGGCTTTAAATGATTATAGCGGTTTGAGCGGTGCTAAACAAGCGATTATAGAGATGTGGAACAAACGGTTATAGAGGTTTGATGTGATTTTACTGTGGTGCGGCTGAAAGAAACAGACCATACAGAACAAGTACAGTTACTGCATATAACAAGCGGTGCATAACAATATAAAAATGGTAAACAAAATCACATGTGGTGCGGTCCAAATGTTTGAATGGTGAAAGTATTAAAAGCGGTATGCATATATATTTTAGATGAAAATACATAAATGAAATTAACAAATCATAAAAATAAAATAATTATTCAAATTTTAAAAAAATATTTTTTCTTTTTTAAATATATTTGTTATTACGTATATGAAAGCTATTTTTTTTATAAAATGAAAAACTATTTTTACTTATTAAAAATCCTATACTATTATTTGGGGAGTACAATTTATGGATTACCCTTAATTAACCTTCTCCTTTGTAAGAATTTACTTAAGAATGCCATTAAAAATAAAATTTTATAGAGTAAATTAATTCAACTCATTAAGGTTAAACAAGTCAAATACTATTTTATGCAATTTAATTAATTTAATTTAATTATAAAAACGAAAATCTATTATTAATTTCTCTAAAAAGAATGACCAATCAAAATGAACATATAAGATTTGATATCTAACTTACCATATTAATTTGTTATTAATCATTATACTTCACCTCTCATCTTTATATGATTCTATTTCTATAAATAAATAAATCATTATATCATCTATATAATAAAAAAAAGTAATTTTTTTTCCGCATATACCAAAATTTGAATTTTTAAAAACGAATATAAATTATTCAATGTATGAAAGAACAAATTTAACGGGTCAAAAATTCATATTTGAGTAATATATTCCTTTTTTTTTTAATATCATCAATACTTAATAGATCAAAAATTTATGAAGTATAAATACTCTAATTTGATTTTTTGAAACAAATATTTATAATAGGCGGCGGGTTGAATATAATATATTATATGATGAAATGAGTTATGATCCTTATAACTATTTGAATATTTATATTTAATTTCGTATAATTTTCTTAAAATTCATAATTTTACATAATACAATAAATTTTTTTAAAGATTTTAATTTGGAACATTTTAAAATAGTTTAATTTAATATATTAAAGAATATCATAAATATTTAATAGATTAAAAAGATAAAAAAAATTATAAATACAATAATTTGTTTTTCTAAAAAGATATGTTTAAAATATTTATAGTAGGCGGCGGGTTAAATGTAATGTATTATATGGTAGAAAATTATGATCCTTATAACAGACGACATTTTAAGATTTTATGATGAGATGAGTTAAATAAAGTTTGACACTTCTAAATATTTGAAAATTTGATTCTGCAAGCAATTTTGAAAATAATAAATAATAGATTGTACCGCAATATTTTCATACGGATTGTAAAATGAAAATATAGACTCCACACACAGATTGAATTTGGTATTATTATATACCAAATATATGTTCATAACATATTTGATTATGTGAATAATTGGTAAATTCCGTAATTAGCTCAAACAAATATTTATTTCAACAACCAATGAATCAAAATTTGAAAAAATAATTTCCTAAATTAATTCAAAATAATAGCTAATTTTCTTAAGTAATTCAAAATAATCTACGTTTTAGATGCGATTCATTTATGATATTTTGATTTTGGATCTAACTAAATTATATGCACTCTCATTTTGTGGTTGTTAACATAAATTAACTCATTGTTCAAACAATATTAATTTTTTTTAAATAATCTTATTTTCCGTTTTCATATCTTAAAAACAATATGCATAATTGAATACTATAGAAAAATGAAAATATATTCATGAGAAATTGTTAAAAATGCCCCTTTTTCAATACCCCTTTTCAAAAATGCCCCCTTTGAGAGTCCATTTTTAAGTTTGCCCTCTTTTAATTTTTAATGACCATTTTACCCTTATTTGAAACAAAATTAGGTCCACAAAATACAAAATATTTTTTGGCGGGAAAAGTGATCCCGCAATTTTCCCGCCAAAACACTTGTAAAAAACCTTTAAAATACCTTGTAAAATTTTCCCGTAAAATTTTTCCCGCCAAAAAATGTTTTTTGCGGGAAAAGTGATTCCGCAATTTTTTTTTTTGGCGGGAAAATTTTTGGCGGGAAAAATTTACAAGGTTTTTTACAAGTGTTTTGTAAGGTTTTACAATGTATTTTAAAAGGTTTTACAAGGTACTTATTAGGTTTTATAAGGTATTTATAACTTGTAAAACCTTATAACTTGTAAAAACCTTATAAAATAGCTTGTAAAATCTTATAATATCTTGTAAATACGTTGTAAAACCTTTTAAAATACATTGTAAAACCTTATAAATACCTTGTAAAAAACCTTTAAAATACCTTGTAAATTTTTGGCGGGAAAGATTTTCCCGCCAAAAATTTAACGCCAAAAAAATTGCGGAATCACTTTTCCCGCAAAAAAAATTTTTTGGCGGGAAAAATTTTACGGGAAAATTTTACAAGGTATTTTAAAGGTTTTTTACAAGGTTTTACAATTTGGCGGGAAAAATTACGGGATCAATTTTCCCGCCAAAAAATATTTTGTATTTTGTAGACCTAATTTTGTTATATTTCCTTATATATTTGTGATATATTTTATTAAAAGAAGGGTAATTTAGTTATTTTGTACATAAAAAGGGGTATTTTTAAAAATGGACAGCCAAAGGGGGCATTTTTGAAAAGGGATATTGAAAAAGGGGCATTTTTGTGAGTCTCCCTATATTCATTCTAATATTATACATAGGGACTGACAAAAAAATATTATTTTTTTCACTTACTGTTATAATATATCACAACTTTATTCTAAAACATAAAATTTATAAATTTTGTAATAAATGAAATTCAACCCGTACTGTAGTACGGGTGATGATCTAGTTAACTATAGTAAATTACGTAAATTATACAAACCACAAAGTTAATATCCATAAAAGTAAAGAAAATAAAGAATGGAGAAGCTTTAACTAAAAAAGATATAGGTTTAATAGTTATCAAAATTTAACTATCTTTTTCTAATATTTAAGTTGACCAAAATATTTTTTTTCTCCTGTAGAATGTGGTCGATAAGATTTATTTATTATTTATTTTTTTCCATTTTAAAAAGGTTGAATAAAAAAGAAATAATAATAATAACAACACTTCAATTGTTTAACCACACTATATGTGGTGCCTTTCTATATCACATGCATTTCACCATTTTTCTCCTACAACTTTAACAGCCAGAGTAGTAATTATTATTTTTATTATTTCAATGAACATGCACAAATGGAAGAATAATTATGGTGAATGGAGGATTTAACAGTGGTTATGCTAGTTCCGCCCCTCACCACATCATAGATTCATGGCCTAAATGGGTTATTAAAACCGGTGAGAAATATATAGTGGTATGTGTGAATGTGTGATGTCCATTTCTTTTTATTTATATATTAGTATGTGTTATATAATTCATTTCTATATTTTTTTTTGGTAGGCATATGATTCATTTGTATAGAAGTAGAACATATATGAATTGATTTAAGTTTTTTTTTTTTTTAATTCTTTTGAGCTTCCATAGTAACATAGCAACTTAGATTCATACTTTAACAAATTTGCCCAAAAAAAAAAAATTCATACTTTCACAACTATTGAAAGATTGATGAAAATACATCTAATATGGTATGCTCGTTTAACATTTTCCAGCAATCAATAAGGTTAAATAACTTAAGAATATACATTACCATGTAGCCATTTTTTTGGGGACAAACTTAGCATTTTACATTAAAGATAAAGTTTAACCTCCAAAGACGGAGAATACAACGAGGCTACAAGGGTCCAAACATCTAATCAGGGCCGGCGTATGAGGTGAGCGAGAGGAGCAAATGTACCGGGCCAAAATTTTTTGGGGTATATTTAAGGGCCCAAAATTTTTTTTTTAGTAAAAAAAAAGTAATTTTTAAGAGTTTAAGATATTTTTAGCATGAAAAAAGGCCCAAATATTTTTTTATAGTATGAAAAAGGCCCTTTTTTGAATAAAAAAAGGGCCAATTTTTAAAATTTGTACAGGGACTCCGAATTAATTGAGCCGGCCCTGCATCTAATACCACGACCAACAAAGTGGTCGAGTAAGAAGATAAACTAAGAACAACAACAAAGCTCAAATAGAGACTTAGGGATAAGGGTGAACTCATGAGTTCTACCAACGCATAATCTAAACAAGGGCCACCGCTAAAGCAAAGATCTTCAAAACAGTAGTCTTTGCCGAAACTACAAAGAGGAGGAAACAATGCCTCCAAAATCAAACAGTCAACAAATGTTGAACGGGAACCATCATGAATAATAATCCTCGCTTCTGCTCCAAGCAAAACAGTCTTGACAACAATGCTCCCTATAACAATACCACTCAACACAAGTGAAGTATTTGGGAGAATAATAAACTCCGTAAAGGAGAGATGAGGACTATAAAAGTCCCGATGAACCAGCGGCAAGAGACCCTAGGTTCACCTTTGAGGAGCGTGGGATGAGGAGTGCGTCAGCGGCGGCTTGAGTGGTGAGGAGAAACAGCGGCAAGAGACAGCGAAACATCCTTTTGGCATGGAGGAGCCGGTCTCGAGGGCGGCGGAGATGGGGGCTCGGAAACACTGGGAAATCATTGAGGATTGGAGAGGTGTTGAAGGAGGAGCAGATGAGAAAGAGCTTCTTCGGATGAGGGCTAGACCTGGGGATCCGGTGGCTCTGGCGGAGTTGGTGGAGACAGAGGTTCTGGTGGTGGTGTGGAGGAGGTCTGAGACCGCAGTAGGGGACCAAATACATCGGGAAACAACGAGAGAGACTTGATATCGAGAGAGAAAAGAGAGTCATCTCAGGTAGTAAACTCGCCGGAAAACCGCCATGTCACCGGAAAACGAGGCCCACCTAAGAGATCTAACCTTAGAAGCAAACTCCAATCACAAGAGGAGGCTGCCGGAGGAGGAACGCCGGTAAAAGGAGCTCATTCCATCAAGCTTTGGGTCATCTTGGTCTTTGTGTCTGGGAAAAAAGCCGTGGTCCCTTTCTCTTTAGTTTCTATGTAGGTCACATTACCATGTAGCCACTTATATTCAAATTTTCATAAGTATTCAAAAATCAAAATCTTGATGAAAACACATATAGTTTGGGATATTATTTTGGAACTAGTAGGTTGATGTTTTGGCAATATGTGCTGCTACACAGTGTGTAGTCATCAACTTAACCCGACCAAATTGATGTGTGTCTCTTTTGTTTTCTTTGACATAATACCAACAGTTTCTTGGACGAGGCTACCATCAGAATTCACAGCTCATTGGACGGAAAGAACGAAATTCACGGTAGAAGAAGCCGTTGATGAGTACACACTCCCTCATTCTTAGACCGCAAAAGTTTTTTTTTTGATTAAGATTTTTTCTAGTTGCTCTCGACCATTGAAATATGAAAACTGATCTGATTTCTGATTGTAAATAAATTAAAAAAAAACAATTTGTTTTGTTTGTTAATTTTAAGATGTTTTGATGTTTGAGATCGTTTCATATTTCATGTTTGGAATTTTTGGACTTCTTATTCCTCTATCCCTTTACTATGTGTGCTTGCTTAATCGATAGTTTTTAAGATGGTTGGTACGTTTATTTAACAATATCTTTCATGGTTTTGAGTTTTCCGTATGTGACATGAAATATCTCGTTAAATATGGTCCTTAACATGATGATTGGTGTGTTTCAGTGATTTCAATGGTTTTGTAATGTAGAATAATCAAATAATTTGTTAATCTTTGACCATTAATTAGTGACTGTACTTGAATTGATGTGGGAATGCCTAATCGTCGTTGAAGTACATATTTAGCACAAGAAAATCCAATGCCTTTAAGGCTAATCAACTCAATAATCAATATGAGTCATCATACTGACATTAACCATTCATGATCCATGTAAATCAAGAATCAGTTTTTATAGTAATTGACGTGTTCAGAACTTAACCAAATAATAAAAATAAAGATTGTATTGTGTGATAAAGATATAAATTAACTTTCAATAGGTTTTTCTTTTTTGTTTATGTCTTGTATTTTTGGGTAGAACTCAAGATGAAGTAAAAATTTTAGTTCTAATAAAGATATTATACAACTTTTAAAAAAGGACATTACTTTGCAAACTCTTAAATGAAAAGATCTTTAATGATATGAATTAAGTGGACTTAAGTCATTAACCTTCGTTGGTGATAATTCGATCCTATACTTTTTATTTTCTGGATCACTGTTTTCAATTTGGGCAGAATGTGAAGCCTCACCCATATCTATAGAGTAAAAGTCGTGAAGAAGATAATGTGGTTTGGTTAGACAACTATAGAAACCGTTCTTCTTCCTAGCGCCTCCAACAACTATCAACATAACTTCAGGTGAAACATATATGTATCTTTCATTCCTTGTCTCTTCACCATTGCTAGATTTACATCTGATCACTTTCTCTCCATTGATTATACACAATCTAGGATAAAAAAAATGTTTATATAAATTCCACTATCTTCCCAATTATCGAAAGAAGTTAGGGTAACAACAACTTGATGGGTTTTCAGACGTCTTAAAGCCTCCAATAAAGTCTGATATCAAAAGGGATTAGTTATGCCATATTTTTTCTCATCCGGGAGAAGCGGCCTCGCCAAACAGAGTGAATTCTGATTAATTATTAAAAAAATTAAAAAAACTCTCTATTTCGTTTGTTGATTTTAAGATGCTTTTATTTTTGAGATCGTTTGATATTTCATGTTTGAAATATTTGGACTTCTTATTCCTCTAACCTTTTACTAAATGTGCTTTATTAATCAAGAGTTTTTAAGATGGTTGGTGGGTTTATTGAATAATACATTTCTTGGTTTTGAGTTTTTGGTATGTGACATGAAAAATCTCGTTATAAAATGATCCTTTACATGATGATTGGTGTGTTTCAGTGATTTCAGTAGTTTTGTAATGTGGAATAATAAAATAATTTGTCAATCTTTGACCATTAGCAACTGTACTTGAATTGGCGTGGAAATGCCTAACCGTCGTTTGAAGTACATATTTAGCACACGAAATTTCAACACCTTTAAAGCCAATTAACTCAATAATCAATATGAGTCATCATACTAACATGAACCATCCATGATCCATGTAAATCAAGAATCTATTTTCACAGTAATTGAAGTGTTAAAACACACTATAAATTATAATTATAACTCCTATAAGTTAATTATTTTTCAAATGTAATTTCCATCACTTCTCATCATATAACTAAATCATTCTTTCATCTTTATCCACTATATCTCAAATCCTAAATATTTTATTTTATTTCTGATGTTGTTGCATGGGTTGAAAAATCAATTGAGAAATCATTGTAAAAGTTTGATTCTAATATTTATTTCTAGAGACTATATATCTTACATTGTTTTTAATTTATTTTAATTCTAATGCGTTAATAGAATATAGTTATTATTCCCTCTTTATTTTATTTTTTAAATTCAAAACTATATATGTATAGCAAAAATTTTGATATCTATAACAAAAATTTTAAATTTATCGATGTAGATAAGAATATCGATTCCATCCATCATGTAATTTAATTTATCATTTAAATTTATTCAAGGTTTATGGTTTTAAGATTTTTTTTCGATGATTACATCTTTCTTATCTTAAATAATTTTCTTAACATTTTTAATATACTCGTCATTACATTTCGATCCAATACATAGTTACATAAAAACCGTTATAATGTTTATTTTATTCAAGATTTGTTGTTTTTTCTTTTCTAAAATTACTTCTTTCTTATCTTGAATAATGTTTTTGTAAATTTTTTTAATATATTCATCAATACATTTAGTATTTGCGATCTACTATATAATTTTGTAAAGATATTTATTGATATTTATTTTATTCAAAGTTTGTGGTATAATACTATGATATTTCACTGTTGTCATTAATATTTTATTCTTTTTTTTCTGTGTGTTTTGACCTCTCTTTTTTTTTCCGGCTTAGTGTTTTGACCTCAAATGCACAAAAATACTAAAGAAATCTTTTTATAAATTTGAAAAATAAATAATGAAAAAATTCAAAAGATATGTATGTATGAACATATTTAAATAAGTTATTTATATTTAATATTGTATAATTTGGATAAATAAAAATGTAAGAAAATATTTTGTATATCTTGAAAACATATTATTTTTTGAGTTTGAGACTCTTCTTCTTAACTTTTTTTGTAATAAGGATTCAATATTATTGTCAGTAAACTCCTACTAAATTTAAAATCAAAGTCAGTAACTCATACGAAATAATTAGAAGAACATCATTCAACCCACTAAAATACATTTATTACTTAAATTAAATTAAATTATTCATAATCTATAATTTGAATGGTTTTTCTACTAATCTACAAAAATCATAACTCCCTAAATGCATTTATCTTCTAAATGTAACTCCCACTACTCATCATCCTATAATAGTTATTCTTTTGGTTTTCTCCACCATATCTTAAACTCTTAATATGCATAATGATCTAACATGTTATATATATGCAACAAGTCTTTAGCCGCGCGTCGTACATCCACCTAGCGATCAGGACATAAAATCAATCCAACCACTAATTTTTTTAACAATAAACCATAGGTGGCAATTGCCCCTCCCAAAACCTATATATGTACGTCCGCCAATGTATATAATTTTAAGTACATGCTTGCAAGAAATTTAATTTACACAATTTCTTAGTTGCATAAACTAATCGCACCAATGATCTAACCCTCTATAATTAATCTAAAATTAGAGAGCTTTCCCAAAAAATTGTAGTCCGCCTAAAGTTTCTCATTGCCTCTTTCTTTAAATAGCTTAAGAAAATCACTGGTCATATATCTAGTCAGAATATATTATATATATGCATATATAAAAAAATCATCCTATTCAATCTCATAACAACCAATCTACACACACAACGACAACAACAACAAAAACAACAACAACAACAACAAAATGTCAAAATCTATCTTTTTACCTTTTCTTCTGATAATCGTCTTCTTCTCAGCATCTCAAGCTAGTCGTCAACTATGGGATGGTGGAATTAGCGAAATGTTTGGATCCAAATCCGGGTTTCATGGATTTTCTGGGTTTTCGGGAAGCTCTGGAGGTGCTGGAGGATCATTCGGAGATGTGATGAATGCTGGAGGTGCACATACATGTTCGGCACAAGGAGCTTGTAGCGGTAAGAAGCTGACATGTCCTGAGGAGTGCTACAAATCAACCAACGTTAACAAGGATGGTTATAAAAGCACCAGCCGCAGCGGAGGATGTTCATTTGACTGTACGACCAAGTGTGCCGCGACTTGTTCAAATTAACATGTTAATTTGAACATATATATTATATGTTCTTATATATATTATGTTGTTAAATTATGTTATAGCACTATATAGTCTATATATATATGAATGTGATATAATCGGCAGCTGTATGGGAGAGTTTGTGTCTTCCTTTGTAATTTTGTATGGATCTTGATTAGAAGCTTTCTATGAATCTATGTACATAATATGATTATGAATAAAAGAAAATTTAGTGTTTCTTAATTGTGTGAGAAAATCTCTAAGCCTTATACATGCCAAGAAATTTGAGACTCTAATGTACATAGCACGATCAAGGTGTTTTGGCGTACTATATATAGAGTTTTAGTTCATGTGTTTTCAAAGATGAACAAGACATTAGCATCACATGGCTATAATACATAAGATTATTAAAAAAAATCTTCTAAGTCATTCATCAGATTTGTAAGCATATAATATTCACGTCTTATGAATGTTAAAAACTTAAAAGCCCCAAAAACATTACGAATCAAAATAACTAACTCTGGATAACGTATTTATATGTCTTTCGATGTTCTTTATAATTATAAGAAAATTTATTATTAACTAGGTTCATTTTAGAGATCCGATGATTATATTCGGAAAAAAAGTCGATATATCAAATTGTAAGGGAAAAAACATAGATCTTGGTAATAGTTATAGCTAGTATTTTAATTCACATTACGGATTGCTGTTTATCTCCATCTGGCATCTATGATCTATTCATTTCATTTCATTCGTTATGCTTATTCTATACTCATTGCATTCCTATGTTCTGCCACCAAAATTTATCATATGAATAACATGCCTTTTTCACCAATTTTCGAAATAATGATTACTTGTTATATCTAAATGTATTATAAAGTAAAATGGTTTTATTTCTTTTCATAAAGTCATATTAATTATTCCAAAATATATGATGAATAAATGATGCATACTATAAATAATTGTGATTTGAATGATTTTGTAGGCGATGACCACAGTAAATGTCACTAGAACACTATTTGTGTTTGGTGAGAGACGAATTATACTTTTTTTGTTTTACAGAAAAATGTCCATTTTCCCAAAAAACATTTTTAGAAGAATGTTGTTTTTATGTTCTTAGTATGAGAGTATTCAAACCAAATTTATATATAATTTACCATTTATCAAAAACTAATAAAACTTAAATTTAAATCATCATTATTTGTGGAAGCCCCCTTAGCCCATTGGTTGACCAAGGGTTAATTAATGCTTCTACACCAAGAGGTCTGGGGTTCGAGTCCCAGATATTGCGATTTATTAATAAATTTGCAGATTAAAGGAGGCAAGTGTGCAGGAGATCTCCAGCGAAGTACAATTATAGCCGTTCGCCAGGATTCTACGCAGAGAGAGAAGTGTCGTCAGGTCGTGGATCATTGAAGGTGTCCGTCAAGAGCATGGAGAAGGAAGTGTCGTCTGTCGTGGATCTAATAAGGGTCGGAAGGAATTGTCCGTTGTAGAATCGTCTATGTAACAGTTCTCATAATTTGCAATAAATAATAAATCTAGACGTCAAAAAAAAAAAAAATCATCATTATTTTATTAGTATTATATATATTGAATAAGAACCTATTTAAATTCTTAAAATTATATTTTTTAAATTTTTGTCAGATTTTTCATTGCAACACTTTAAGATAGGGAGTACTAGTAGTATGCTTTGATGAGACGGATTAGCTTAAACAAAGTATTTGCAAAAAAAATTAAAATACAATCTTAGTAGCATGATTCACTATCACAAATTATCAGGTTAACTAAAATTAAAGATCCTCCCACATAAAAAAGATTGTAGTCTCCCTTATTTTTCTCATTACCCCTTCTTTTAAATAGCCTTTTAATATTCTTCATCGAATCAATTTCAAATTTAAACTTAAACTTCTGGCCTCTCTTATATGACAACTTTAACAAATAAGATCTTATCAATAGATATTTCCTCTGTTCAATTTCTTATTATTTTATTTTTGAAGAAAAATGGTTGAAGAATTGCCTAAAGCTTGTTGGTTAGTTGCTGCCATCATGTTTGCAGCGGCCACTGTGGTTTACGGGCAACAAGAGCCGTGTTTCTTCGTCTTTGGAGACTCAATGTCCGATAATGGCAACAATAATAACTTGAAATCCGAGGCAAAAGTCAACTTTTCACCTTATGGTATTGACTTTCCCCAAGGCCCGACCGGCCGTTTTTCCAATGGCCGCACTATCCCCGATATTATCGGTTAGTTCCCGATTTATTTCGTCAAGTAACTCGACATTTGTATATCCTCTATATATTTTTTTGAAAATTAGAAAGAAAAGGTTTTAAAATATCATGCACAAATGAAAAAAATCGTATGAGAGACTTGAGAATTAAAAGGATACTTTATAAATTAACATTTTATTGGTAAACCATTTTTACACTTCTGTCACTAGATCCAAAATATTAACATATATATCTTTAATATGTTAAAATATTCAAATATCAATTAATTAAATATTTAAAATTTCATTTTTACATATTAAAAGTTAAAATTGTGACATCAATAGCTAGTCTCTCCATTTTGTACCTTCTGTGTTTCATTCATATGCCTAATTATGCATGCATAGTCCACACAGTTTTTTGTAGGTCGTACGCAATTTTGTTAATGGTATATTAGACGTGTTTATAGTTTTTTTTCTTAAAATTATAGGTCTCAAGTTATATGTATGTATATTCTATTTTCTTACAGATTTTTCCTTTATAGAGCTTTGTTCGAATGCTCTAATTGCACCTTAGAAAAGACGACTGTGAATATATAGTAACATACATGAATTTATATATGATGTTTTTATCGCCAGCTGAACTATCGGGTTTTAAGGATTTCATACCGCCATTCGCTGGAGCATCACCGGGACAAGCTCACACCGGGATGAACTACGCTTCCGGTGGAAGTGGACTTCGTGAAGAAACAAGCGAACACTTGGTAAGAAGTAAGAACTAGAAAAACTTATAACTAGACTTTGTTTGGTGATAAATGATTCGGCTTTAATATCTCATAAAGTATAGTTAATAACTTAGCTCTAACCTCTCATTTCAATGAAAAAAATGATGTGACCCGTATATATATACGGGTCCGAGTTTTGGTAGGATGTTTTAGTTTCAGTAGCTCCAATGTTTTGAATGACAAAACCTTAAATATATATATATATATAGGGAGATAGAATCAGTATAAGAAAGCAACTACAAAATCACAAGACGGCGATAACGAAAGCGAATGTACCAGCAGAAAGACTGCAACAATGTCTCTACACAATCAACATCGGAAGCAACGATTACATCAACAATTACTTCATGTCAAAGCCGTACAACACTAAACGACGCTACACTCCTAAACAATACGCATATTCTCTCATTATTATTTACCGCTCTCACTTAAAGGTAAAGTGGAACCATTTAGATATGTTCGTGATGTGACATATATTTAAGATAATCATTCATTGTTTTTATTTTTACTAGTTATTTAAATTAGGTTGGTTTTAGGGTTATCTAATAGTGTTCAGGTTATCAAGATTTCTTCTTAATAACCAAATTTAGGTTTTAATGTATTATTTAGTTTTTGATTGATTCATAAAGATAGTTTTGTCTCTACTTTAATTTGTTTTCAGTAGATTTACAGAAATATCACAACAAATTTTTTAAAAATCGTTTTTATTCGAAAATTTTCTAACTATTGAAACAAATGACTTTGCATGTTTTGATATATCTAAAATTAACTTATTCCTCCCATTTCCGCTATAGATGTAGTTTTGTAATTAATTTGATAATGTGCATGCTTGTAGAATTTGTACCGTCTAGGAGCGAGGAAGGTGGCAGTTTTCGGACTTAGTCAGATTGGCTGCACACCAAAGATAATGAAGTCACACAGTGACGGTAAAATCTGTTCCCGTGAAGTGAACGAAGCAGTGAAGATTTTTAATAAGAACCTTGACGACCTTGTCATGGATTTCAATAAAAAGGTCAGAGGTGCAAAGTTTACCTTTGTCGATCTTTTCTCCGGTGGAGATCCCCTAGCCTTCAAATTTCTAGGTAAACCATATTCAACTCAATGTAACTTTGATCCAACAAATATATATATATATGTAAATTAAAAGAATATTTTAACTCTTAACCAACAATTGAACTTAATTACTATGGTAATTTCATAGGATTTAAGGTTGGAGACAAGAGTTGTTGCACAGTAAACCCGGGGGAAGAACTTTGTGTCCCAAACCAGCCAGTTTGTGAAAACAGAACTGAATATGTCTTTTGGGATGATCTTCACAGCTCGGAAGCCACCAATATGGTAGTCGCGAAGGGCTCGTTCGACGGAATCATAACTAAACCGTATAGCATCGCCCAGCTTGTGAAGGAATAGAGGCTAGACCCTACACATAGACATGAAAAATGATGACATTTTGATTTTAGTAGATCTTTAACAGGGAAAATAAATGTGTATATATATATTCAATGAACGACAAATTTTGTGAGATTAATCTCTCTATCTCTCTCTCTTTCTATCTTTTAGTGGAAAGGAAGAAACTCACATTTTTAATAGGAATTTGAATTTCATTAAACATAATTATTGTAAATAAATTACTAGAGTTTCTAAGCAATCATATCCCAAAAAAGGAAAAACTAAAATGAATACTTTAACTCCGAGCAAGCCGCTAAGCAAGTCCACGGTCCTGAAAGTTGGCTGAAAACATTATTCCCAAAGCTGGTGAAAGGACCATTGATAGATCGTCTGTATTCAATATCTATAATCTATTTATAGGTACTTGATTAAGAAAATTATTACGATTAAGGACTATTTTTAGATTAATGCAATCCTGATTATATTTTTGTTTTTCCTTGACTAAGTATTGGATAGTCAATATGGACGGTTGTTACAATTTACAACAATCAAATAGAATTCTCTATCAATTTCTTTGAACTTCATCTCAATACAGAAATATGAAAGCAAACCTAAAAATAACTCAGAATTCAGCTTCTAGCTAATTTTAACATCCTTAATTTAGCTAAATCTTAATGCATCTTCTAACCTCTTTGTATATATAAAGTCGGCCATTTTTCTTCATTTTTACAACAAACAAAAACAAAAAGAAGAAGTACTATCAATAATAATATCTCCATAAATAAAGAAATATGAAGGCATATGGGTGATATGTTTGCTAGTGATATGCGCCGCAGTGATTGCGGAACCAGTGGAAAGTCGGAAATACATAGATTATGGTGCGATTAACAAGTGCGCGGGTCCTAATCCTCCTCCGGGATGCCATCCTCCTGGGGCCGAAGATATGAAACCTGCTCCTGTTAACGAGTATAGCCGTGGCTGCAGCAAAATTCATAGGTGCAGGCGCGACTGAACCCGTAATAACCTTCATCATCTAAACTGATTCTTCATCTCGATGAGATCCGTACGTATTTGCTTTACATGCATATACATATACACTCGTATATGCAAGGTGTTTTATGTGTTTCAAATTAATTTATAGTGTGGATTAATCCTCAGATCATTGTATTATGGATATCAAATATATACTAATTGTGTTAAATTATTATCGTAATTATACAGCGTTCATCACTCTCCTTTATATTCAAATTCTTTTTTAATCGGCTTTGATCTTATACTATAACTAGGACTCCGATTTATAACACTGTAAATGTAATTTATTTCTGCAGAATACAAAAATTTACTTACAAAAAGAGCCTTTTAACCGGCGAGTTTCTTCTACCAACGTTTACCACAACCATAACGTTTCAACCACTACACTTTGATCTTAGAAAATTTACTATACTTTCATCTGATGTATATTTGTAGCTGTCATAGAAACGTGTATCAATATTATTTTACAATCATATTTCAAAGGTAACAAGAATAATGCAATCAAAAGAATAAATTAGAGGTAATGGCGCGATCCGTATAGTAGTAACTTGTAACATCTCAAATTTGGCTGGTGGCCATAAAACATGACTAACGATCACAAATCAAACTAGGAAGACTGAGGTCTAGTTAAACTACATGTGCGTATTATCATCACCAAGACAAACCAATTGCTGCTACTTGGTGCCACACTCGATCATGAAGAATTTCTTGACATTGTCGCAAAAGGTCTTAGGCTGATTTTTATGAAATATTCGAGATGGTGAATTGGAGGGATGTTCCCATCACACTGAAGGAACTTCACGAGAAGCTCTTAAACCGCAAGAACGCTATCATATTCTGACTCCTACCGAGAGTTTTTTTCTTTCTCTCACAGCTTCTTGGTCATAAATTATTTACAAGGTGGAGCGACATCCAAAGGACGATCATAGACACGTCTTTGGAGACGAATTGCCTATTCTTAACAAGGTACACCTTTCAACTTGTAGTATATTCAAGCTGGAGACAGAAAAATAGCAGGAGACATGGAGAAAATCCAACCCTACAAAATACATTTGCCTAGAAATTGCATCTCCTACCAAGCTTGGATCAAATCCCGGACTTAAGTCAATTAGTTTAGCAATTCAGTTTTAAATCATTCAGTTGTTTATTTTCAGCAGAATGTTGCACTAGTTGTACAAACGAACATTTTTCTTTTGAATATAATTTAACATTAGATTCAAAGAAAAAAAAAAAAAAAAAATTGCATCTCCTCCATACATGAGTAAAGAGATAAAAGATATATATGATGGATGTATGGAAGCTTGGTTTGCTTCAAGATAATCAATAGACTGAGTATGCATGTTTGATGTGAATTTTTTTTTATCAAAAACGTTTAAGCGAACAATACACTTGTTGTAAAAAAGTTTGTTTTCAAATAAATTTTATACATTTTATTCAAAAAAAAAAAGGCCAAAAAGCGTCAACAATCATCTCATCAAAGCAACTATCATCCTCTTCAGTTTGGTCGGGATAAATTTTATCATTCGAGACCGTATCATGGAAAGTGTCAGCTTTATGGGTTACAAGATCACAGGGCAAGAACATGTCAATAACTAGTGCACCAGTAGCCACCAGGCCCACCACCATCAGTATCATCCTTTTGTGGCTCATCTCCTTCGCATCAGCAACAACCGCAAATGCTTCCGTCATAGTGGCAACCACATGCACATTACACTATGCCATTCATGCAGATTACTCGGCTTTGATCCTTGTTAATGAAGTCTCGCGCATCACATCGCCTCAGATCTCCACAACCTCCTCATTCATTAATCACACAATGGTGTGGTGAGAATGTTATGACTGGAAATGGCACTTCCTTTCTCGTCTTCTTCTCTAACATTTTTGGAAATGACCATTGTGTCATCTCGTAACCATTATCAAGTCTTTGTAATTGTTGCTGAGTCATACCAGCTAATCGTACACACACATATGTTGCATGCACATAGAAAATTAGCTCTGTTTTACCAAATCCCTAGTTCTATGGGATTCACGACGTGTTTGAACAATAAAACAAATAACAAATTACACCTCGAATTTTAGAAGTCATAACAATAATTAACTAACATGTTCAATGCGTCGACTTTGCAAAATAATCTTCTTCTTTTTTTTTCTGTTCAAATGTGATCATATTATTCAATAAAATAAAATAAAACAAAACACCACAAGGTTCTTCACGAAGCTAAATATACGATTTTTTTTCTGTTAAGATGACTTGTAATATTCTCATTACAACTCACGTACAAGCTTGACTATTGAACATAAAAAAAAAAAACTACTTATTTACAAGTAGACAATTAATGATCTTTTAGAAAATCTAATAATTAACATCTTCTGTCTCTAGTCTTGAAATAGAACTTTACTTCTGTCTGTTTCTGTCATGTATGTTTATATATAGCTAGACTCTTCTCTTTTCTTCAACGTTAACATAATAAGATTTCTAGTCATTAATTTCCGATAATGGCCGAGGCAATGTTCAAAACGTTGTCGTTGGTCTTTGCGGCCACGGCTATTGCAACGGCCGAGGCGGCTCTTGGACAGCGAGTGCCTTGCTATTTCGTTTTCGGAGACTCCGTCTTCGACAATGGTAACAACAATGTCTTGAATACCTCGGCCAAAGTCAACTATTCACCTTACGGTAATGATTTTGCTAGAGGTCCTACCGGCCGGTTCAGCAATGGTCGTAATATTCCTGACATTATCGGTTAGTCCCTGATTTGGTTTATCTCTTTGCCAATATTGTTTTGGATAAAATTGTTAATATAAATTACGAAAAAGCAAAGTTTTTATTATTTAAGAAAATACTAGCACAATGTTTTCTTTGCCTTGTTTGAACTTTTGAATGTAGGTACGTATATTATTTGTTTTTTGCTAGTGTATCAAATGAATAAATGAAAAATGGAAGAAATTAAAGTTTTGGTAAACATAAGAACTAAGTTATAAAGAAAAATAACAGGCATAAAATGCTACTTAAATTATTATTATTATTATTTTACTAGATAGAAATTTTGGTTTCTACTCATTTTTCATATGTATATTAGTGTATTGCAGAATAAGTTTTCCAAAATTTGTGAACGTTCCTGTTAAAGAATTAAAATAGATGAAAAATGGGTATAACTAATTATATATAACTATGATATGTAATTTGAGATACGAGTTTGAATAATTTTTCTTAATTTCAGCTGAACAAATGAGATTCAGTGATTACATTCCATCGTTCACGGGAGCATCGCCGGAACAAGCTCACACCGGAATAAACTACGCTTCTGGTGGCGGCGGAATTCGTGAAGAAACTAGCCAACATTTGGTAAGAATGAGACAAATTTAAGAACAAGAGAGATTAGGTTAAAGATATTTTTATATTTGTTTACAACAACGCCTACGTTGAGCATTCCCTCGGTCATCTAATTCTTTGATTGCAGATGAAAAAACCCTAGACACTAAATAGATAATATATATAAAAAATCGTAAGGAATAAAGTTTACACCATAATATATATGCGTTAGCTGAATGAATATAATAATAAGCGATGAGTTTTCTTTCCAGGTAACGTATAACTAACTAATCATGTGATTGATTCTTTGGATTATCAAATTAAAAAGCTTAGGCTCTAAATATGCAGCATGAGTCACACAACTCACAAGGAATCCAATTTAAATTATGATAAAAATGTGTTATGTAACTAAGAATTAATAATTCGTTCTAGGGAAATCATTTGACTTTAATTGATATGCTTTCTTTTGGCAGGGGACGCTGCATATAATACTTCTTCCATTAAAAAGCCTTAAACTAATGTTTTATGGATTATGATATATTCTTTTTGATGATATATATAGGGTGAAATAATCAGTTTTAAAAAGCAAATAAAGAATCACCGGTCGATGATTATGACGGCTAAAGTTCCAGAGGAGAAGCTGAATAAATGTCTATACACAATTAATATTGGAAGCAATGATTATCTCAACAACTATTTCATGCCGGCTCCATACATGACCAATAAGAGGTTCAGTTTCGATGAATATGCTGATTCTCTCATTCGAAGTTATCGCTCTCATTTGAAGGTACAATTACATATCCTAAGATTCTAGGAAAAAAATTAATATAGGATGTATTTTAATATCGTATGAATAGCTAACTAAAATATGAATTAGAAAAAACGAACATATATTCCTAATCATATATCCTTAAGTACATTAAATTAAAGATGAGTTTTGTGTATAGTCATTGTATGTTCTAGGAGCAAGAAAGCTGGCTGTGTTTGGGGTGAGTAAGCTCGGGTGCACGCCGCGTATGATTGCCTCCCATGGTGGCGGTAATGGCTGTGCTGCCGAAGTGAACAAAGCGGTAGAACCTTTCAACAAGAACCTCAAAGCTCTTGTCTATGAATTCAACCGAAACTTTGCTGATGCTAAGTTCACCTTCGTTGATCTCTTTAGCGGCCAAACTCCTTTCGCGTTTTTCATGTTAGGTATGTAAACTCTGTATATATTATACAGACTACATTTTTGACCCAATAGGAAATTATTTGAGCAAAAGGTTTTAAGAACATATAGATTAGGAAATTTTTTTAAAAAATAATACGTTTTGTAAACTATTATCATGATTATTATCTACATAAACTATTTACTAAAACTACACATGTTCATATAAAAGTTTTTCTAATTTTATAATAATATGTATTGTAAACTATTATCATGAATATTATCTTTAAAACTATTTACTAAAAACCCTTCATATTCATACAAAGTTTTTATAAATATTTTGACCTAGTCCTTTTTTTATACTAAATTCATAAAGATAGATAGAGTTTGTTTTTGTCAGAAATTTCAATTAGAAAATTTATTGTCATAGTGGCATAATTGCATGCTGTTTTTCGATTCCTTTCCTATAATTTAATCGTAAATTTATCACATCTTTTTTGTAGGGTTTAGGGTAACAGACAAAAGCTGTTGTACGGTAAAACCAGGGGAAGAACTTTGTGCGACAAATGAACCGGTTTGTCCAGCTCGAAGACGGTACGTGTACTGGGACAACGTCCACAGCACAGAAGCAGCCAATATGGTAGTTGCAAAGGCTGCGTTTACCGGACTCATTACGTCTCCTTACAGTCTTTCTAGGCTTGCAAGATTATAGAGACAACATTACAAAACAGATTAACATTATAACTTCATATAAATGCTGACTTTTATTCTTAAATTCAACTATTTTATTTAACAAGGAAACTTTGTTTCGACTGTTGAGCATTTTTATCAAAAAAAAAAAGACTTATATAATCAATCAATACAATAAAAACCCTTGAAACTCTCCAGAGGTTGACACCTCAGCTTTTTTAAGCTTTGTGGAGTTGACACCTCATTTAAAATGAATAACCAATGAAAACATTCTAAATAATACAACTCATTTTTAATATCCAATAAGAACCTTTCTTTTTCCACATCATCATCTCTCATAGAAATATCAAATGACCCTAAAATCGTGGGCTTAGCCCAGTCCGGTTCAGGTATGAACACAAAATATTAAATCCGTTAAAAAGTAGACTTTGCGGGCAATCCCAATCGGATTACGGGGTTTAGCAGGTTATGCCGGAGATTGGCGGATTGCCCCGCGGACTGCATATATATAATAAAAATAAATATATCATATATATAATTAAATAGTTTATATATTTTTGTAAAAATAATATGTAAAATATGTGATAATATAAAATTTTTATTATAAAAAGGATAATATTAAAAAAAAATTGATGGTGTTTATACATTAGCTTTTTAGGCTATTCTCAGAGTAACACATCATTAGAATTGATATCTAATCAAAATATAAGTACGGAACAAAACTGAACATGGTAATTAATTCAGTATCTCTAGCTAATACAATTTTTGAAAATTCTAATTATTAATTCTTTAAAGTTGCAAAAGATATAAAATAATTAATAAGATTTAAATTATATAAAATTTATTATATTTAGAGTGCACATGGTAATGATATTTTTTTAAGGGAAATTGTTAAAAATCTCTTTTTTGGTGTGCCATTTTTCAAAAATACTCTTTTTAGATGTCCATTTTCAAAAATGCTCTTTTCTAGATATGAAAAATTTATAAAGTTTTATCAGGTTTATAAGGTATTTATGGATGGTAACTACTACTTGAAACTCGATCCAAGTATTTATAAGGTTTTATAAGGTGTTTTTAATGTTTTACAAGACATTTTAAAGGTTTTTAAAGGTTTTATACGGTATTTATAAGATTTTAGATACATATAAAGATAGTTTGTATATGTTTTAATAATGTTACATATGTATTTGGGTAAATTTCATATTGTCTGGAGCATTTTTTATAAGGTTTAAAAATGTGACATTTTTGAAAACTGACATTGAAAATAAAGATAGTTTTTTTAAAAATAAAGTTATTTAGTTGGTTCCGAGTGGTATAAAGGTAAACCATTAAGTTCAAAAATTTTATTTAATTATAGCAAATCACTAAATAAAAAATTCAAAAAATAACCTTTGCTACGAAAATAAATTATTAACTGAAAAATATACTAGAATTTTACTTTTGAAACATCATCTTTTCATTAGATATTAATGTTGGGAATAGAGACTATAATTATAATTACAAAGTCTAATTACATAAATAAAAAACTAATCCCTAGAAGTAAAAATAATTACAATTTAAATACAAATAAAACATTAAATTATAAAATTTTATTTAGTTATATTAAATAAAAAAATTCAAAATAACAATAGGATTAATACAATAATAACAATTGGATTCTCTCCTAATCTAACACATCAGCATTTTCAGCTTTCCTGGTTATGACACATCATTAAAAAGAAACTCTAATCAAAACATTTTAAATAATACAGCCCAACTTTATTTGCCAATAATAATCTTCTATTCTGCCACGTCACTCTTTCTCTCCCCTTTTTCTGTTGTTTCATATTATTAAAAACACACAAAAAAAAAAAAAAATAACAAAGCCCAAAAGTATGACGAAAAAAATAAAATAACAAAGCCCAAAAGTATAAGCCCACTTGATAAAGTAGTGTTGAAAACATGGAGAGACTAATTAAAATTGACAAAACACGACTGTCTCTTCTTCTTCGTCATCATCTTCCTCTCGATCGGAAAAAAAATAAAAGTTTCTATAAATCTGTTGAATCAAGCAGAGAAGAAGAAGAAAAAGAGATCATGAATCCATAATCTGATTATCCTCATCTCCCTAACATCAAGATCCACCATCCTTTATCTCCTCGTCACTCTCAGCACCACTCTTCCTCCACTCCTTCAGCCGCTACTCCTACCCCAACCGCCGGTGCTCGCCGTTTACCTCTTTAAAGAAAGTGCCTTCGCTGTTTGCTTTGAAAACGTGGAGAGACGAAGATTATTTTTTTGTTTTGCCTTCGCCGACAAGGTTTGTTGTCGAATCGATTTGCCATCGGAAGGAGCTCTAATAACCACAGTAAACTACCAGAAAAATCACCGACAAAATTTGTTATTGATTAAGATTTAAAGAGTACTGGGAGTACCATCTTGTTTTCCAAACATGATTCAAATAGTGTCCTTCCCTTTTACCAAAAAAAAAAATAGTGTCCTTCCCCAACATTGTTTTTTGCTTTCATTACCATCTAGATCTTTCTTTCCTTGTCATTGTTGGTAGTGTTGTAGGCATTTCATCGACAGGGAGTTATGGTAGGTTTATACAACTTATTTTAGTTATGGAAGTTTTGAATTGGTAGTACTTATTGTTGAGACTCGTGTAAAGAAGACTTCAAAAGTACACAATTGCTCAAAATCAATCATTTAATTAGCAAATAACAGCTGCGTACTTTATATATTGGAGTGCTACCTATACTTTATCAGTGTTTGCAGTCGTTTAATGGAAAATATGGTTGTTAAAATATTTCATGTGGACACAGATATAGATTAATGATTTTAGAATTATTAATGTTTTATTTACTTATACTTCAGGTTTCCCGTGTATTTCACTTTGCCTAAATGTCATAATTTAGGTCTGGAACTATTGTTGTCCACCCCAAAGTTTGAATGCATGTATTGTGACTTGTGAGACCATAGATGATCTTTACGTAATATATTCTATTGGTCTTAGGAATAGTTAAATCAATCAAGTATCAAGCGTGTAATGCATATTGAATCTCTTGAGATGGTTGGACAATTGTATAATATTAATACATCCACAATTGTATTTGTATCTATCTAAAGAATGAAGGAGAGATTGTGCAAGTACCATGGGATCTACCGAAAACTTGTCGGAATTTCTCATCTACCTCTGCTTATACACTTCTTCCGTACATATATATACACTATTGTTCGTTTGGTCAATTTAGTTAATGTTGATTAAAGATGAAGGTGGAGCAATTTTCTAAAGATGTTGAAGTTAATGAATCCAAGGCCGGTAGACGAAGAGAAGAAGAATTTTGTGCATTGATTTCTTAAGTAATGTGTCACGGTCACCTTCTCATATATGTGTATTAATTTGTTTTATTTGATTTGAAATTCAAAATAAAGTTTTTAAATGAGATGAAGTGGTGAAAATGATCTGTCAACCATCAAATTCTAAAATTTTATTTAAGTTTTACAAATCATATTTATATTAAATTCAAGTTTCGTATTTGTGTATTGTTTAAATTCAAGTTTGGATACTCTTTTGTTTGTATTACAAAAGAAGGAAGACAACTTTCATTGTCTAAACCAAAAAATACAAATTTCATTGTGAACTTTGTACTACATAATCTTAGTTTAAGCAAAAGTCATTAGTAACAAAAATAATTTATAAAAGATTTCCCGCAGCGGAGCGCGGGTTTTTACCCTAGTGAAAATAAAAACTGGTGAACATTACTTTATGGGATATCCATTAACCCAACAAAAAACATTACTTTGTGGGCGAAATATATTTAGGGATTCTTGCTACTGTCTTCTGTGTGTAGCAAATTTCTACAAAAGCTAACAACCTCAAGACAAGAGACAGTAAAAAAAGTTATAATGTTCATCAGAAATTCTTATTATTATGATTTTAAGGTCTGACTAGTTTAAACGTAACATGTGCGTTTGCGCTTGCGGGAGTTTGTGGAAACGGATGGTTACGATTTTAAGTGTTATAAAGCGTTTTGAATGACTGATTTATTCGTTGAAAGCAGATGCATGACTGGTCAAACAACGGATGCGATGACGGTTAAACAAAAAAATTATCAAAATAAATATAATATTTAATTATAGAACGATATAAAAACAACAAAACTTAAATTATCATGATAAAATATAAAAATGTTGAACATGATTAATAATGAAAACAATAAACAACGTACTAAATAATCATTCATGTTAGAGAATGATTAGTTATTGAGAATTAAAGTAAAAATATATAGGATTTGTTAATATTTATTTTTAATTAACTGTTTACATAAAACGTTTTTTGCTATCTAGATCACCCACAACCGTTTTGAAATCAGGCGATTTCAAGTGGCTCTGAGCAGTATTAAAACATTTTCGTAAAAGTTTTAAACGCTAGCAACCGGTTGCAAATATTTGTGGGTGGTTAAAAAAACCAATCAAGCATTTAGAGTTGTTCTAGCTAGATTCTTTTTTTTAGCTTTATAGAAAACTTTGATGTCAGCCTAAGAGTTGTTTTAGTGCTGAATAAATCCATTAATAAAAATGTGTTTTTTTCCGTTGTTAAAAAAAAACGAAGTAATTTTCCATACGACCATACCCTATAGTAATTTCATTATAATCATATAATGTCATCGTGGTTGTTGATTTGTTCACACCAGCTATATATATGTTGTTATTTTTGATTTTGCATATAGAGAGACGACTATATGTAACCATATCCCTAGTTTTATGGGATTCACGACAGTTTAAACTTAAGAAAATTTAACAAACTACAGCTCATTGTAGAGGTCATCACAATAATTAACTAACATGTCCAATGCGTCGACTTTGCAAACTAATCTTATTTCATGTTAAGATGTGATCGTTTATTCAATTAAATAACATCAAACACCACAAGGTTCTTCATGAACCCAAATATAAGTATATAACGTATCAGACTCAAATTCAAAAGTGATTATTAAATATTTTTTCTATTAAGATAACTTATCATTTTCTCATTACAACTCATGTACAAGTTGACTTTGAAGGTATTTCCAAAACAACAAAAAACGATTCACATACAAGTTGAATATTAAAGATCTTTAAAAAAGAATCAAATATTAAACATACCTGATAATTTTAATTCTGACCGTGTCTCGCTCTATGTATGCTTATATATAGACTTTTCTCAATACTTCAAAGTTGCCATTTTATCATTCTAATAATTATTTTCCAAAAATGGCCGATAAAATGTTCAAAGCATTGTTGTGGGCTTTTGCCACGGCGGTTCTAATGGCCGAGGCGGTTCGTGGACAACAAGTGCCTTGCTATTTCGTACTCGGAGACTCTGTCTTCGACAATGGTAACAACAATGACTTGGATACCTTGGCCAAAGTCAACTATTCGCCTTACGGTATTGATTTTGCTAGAGGTCCTACCGGCCGGTTCAGCAATGGTCGTAATATTCCCGACTTTATCGGTTAGTCCCAGTTTTGGTTTATCTCTTTGCCAATATTGTTTTGGATGAAATATAATTGTTAATAAACATTTCTAAGTAATGTTTAAAGAGAAAAGTAGCACAAAGTTTTATTTGCCTAGCTTAACGTTTTCGAATGTAGGTATTATTTGTTTTAGCTAATGATCAAATTATGAACAATGAAATTAAAAAAAACTTGGTAATATAATAATCCAAAAACAAAATTGGTAAACATTTGTATGTAAGAAAGGCTAGGTATATATAAGAACTAAGTAAGTTATAAGGAATATTATTTTACTAGATGGATAAAGTTTTGTTTACCAGGTTTCATCATACGTAAAATGTATTGCAGAATAAGTTTTCCAAAATATGAGAATGTTCCGATAGAAAACTACAAAACATGAAAAGTGTATATTCTTAAATTTTAACTATGATATATATTTTGAGACATGATTTTCAACGATGTGTTTTTTTCAGCTGAAGAAGTGGGATTTAAATATGACATTCCACCATTCATCAGAGCGTCGACGGAACAAGCTCACACCGGAATAAACTACGCTTCTGGTGGTGCCGGACTTCTCGAAGAAACTAGCCAACATTTAGTAAGAACAGAATAAACTTAAGAGCGAAAATATTTTTACATTTTTTTTTGGTATTTCTTTCCAGGTAACGTATAAATCAGTGATTTATCAAATTATTATTAAAAAAAAAAAAAGAAGCTTAGGCTCTTAATAGACAGCATGAATCACAAGGAATCAAATTATAGACTATACTATACATGTTTTAGGTGACTAAGAATAATAATGTGGTCCAGGGAACTAATCATTTGACTTTAATTTATTTGCTTTTTTGGCAGGGGACGTTAAAATCACTCATGTATTTAATATTGCTTCCAGTATATAAAACTTAAATTAATCAATTACCTATGGATTGTGATATATTCTTTTTGACCATATATATAGGGTGAAAGAATCAGTTTTGAAAAGCAAATAACGAATCACCGGAACATGATTTTGACGGCGAGAGTTCCACCGGAGAAGCTTAAGAAATGTCTATATACAATTAATATTGGAAGCAATGATTATCTCAACAACTATTTCATGCCGGCTCCGTACACTACCAATGGCAATTTCAGTTTCGATGGATATGCTGATTATCTAATTCGAAGTTATCGTTCTTATTTGAAGGTATAAGACTAAGATCTTAAGAAAAACTAATATAGGAATTAAGGTAGAAATAATGGAGTAGATTGGATCTTTTCTCTAAAATATACTCCTAATCATATATCTTTAAGTACATTAATTTAGTTGAACGATACATTTTTTTGTTTAGTCATTGTACATCTTAGGAGCAAGGAAAGTGGCGGTGTTTGGGGTGAGTAAGCTTGGGTGCACGCCGCGGATGATTGCCTCTCATGGTGGAGGTAAAGGCTGTGCTGCTGAAGTAAACAAAGCGGTCGAACCTTTCAACAAGAACCTCAAAGCTCTCGTATTTGAATTCAATAGAAACTTTGCTGATGCTAAGTTCACCTTCGTTGATCTTTTCAGCAGCCAAAATCCTATTGAGTATTTCATTTTAGGTAAGTACACTATAAATATTAAGGGTCCCAAATATTAATCTCACTGCATTTTTGACCTAATAGGAAAAATTCCAAAATAATACATTTTGTGAAATATTATCATCATGACTGTTACTTACAAAAGCTATTTATTAAAAACCACACGTGCACACAAAACTTTATATAAATATCTTGGATAAGTACGTTTTAAAGTGTATTTGTTTCTTATACTAAAAACAGAAAATACTGTAGTTTGTTTTGTAACAAATTAAATTTCAAGATTTGACCAATTAGAAAATTTATTTTTCATAGTAACATAATTGCAAAAACTTTTTTCTTTTAATTCTGTTCCTTAATTAGTTAAATCATTAATATATCACATATAATTTTGTAGGGTTTACGGTAACAGACAAAAGTTGTTGTACGGTAGAATCAGGGCAAGAACTTTGTGCGGCAAATAAATCGGTTTGTCCGAATCGAGGACAGTACGTGTACTGGGACAATGTCCACAGCACAGAAGCAGCTAATAAGGTTGTTGCAGAGGCTGCGTTTGTCGGACTCATTACGTCTCCTTACAGTATTTTACTGCTTACACTATAATATTGCTAGTAAAGCCTGAAAAGATATCATTATTCTTCCAAATACCTTGCATTAATTTAAAAGATATCATTGCTAAATTGTTGCAAAATGCAACCATACTTTCATTGCAAGATCATACCAAATGTTCTAATGGAGAAGGACGATCTCTAAATTCTATATATAGCAATTTTTTTTGTTTAAATGCTAATTCTGTAGTAATTTCATTATAGTAAAAACAATAATATATAGTTTATGTGTGAATTTGTTATTACAATTCAATAATCACAACAATATAAGTAGAATTCAAATGAAAATGCATAAATATTTGTATACGTCATGTATATAAAAAGAGATAAGCCTAGATATCGTCATAGAAGTGTTTCTTGAAGGCCTCCATGTGAGCCAGCTGTAGACACGTAGCAAGAATCACCGAGCCATCTTCGTTTTGATCCGGCAAGATCAGCGAGTCGCCGTCGAAATCATGCGTGCCTGGTCCCGTGTAGAACTCCTTGCCCCATCCGAAATCAAGGCCGTACATTGGCAAAGTTAACCAGCTCACCAATCCAAGATTAGGGTTTCCGTAAAATGGACCTTCCGTGCTTCCCAAGGCATGTAGGTCTTGAAACTTCTTCAGATCTTCTTGGTTCTTAAGATACTCTATCCCAATCATCACGTATTCGTTTGTTACATTTTTTATGGCTTTACTGATTAAACTCGCCGCGAAACCCAATTCATTCGATATCAGTTCACCTATATGCATAACAACATTATCGAAACTCAAAAAATCACAAAACAAAACAAATCTTTGTTTTTTTTTTCTCAAATTCACAAAACAAAAGAAATTTCTATGAATAGTATATAGAAAAAATGTACCTGAGGTGCTTGCTGCGACCACGTCAAGAGTAGCATTGCCGAAGTAGCCACGGGGCAGAGGTGGCTGCATCCGACTACGAGTATCTATACAGATTCCTAAAGCCGTGGGTTGCTCCGGAGAGTGGCCACGTGCTTTACACGCGCACCTCCACACGTGTCCCGTGACGGTCTCGTACCTTGTGAACCCTTTCGCTGGGTCAGCGTATTTGCTTGCGTTGGCTTTACTTCTTAGCTTCTCCAGCTGAGATTTGCTCAGTTTTAGCATCACCACAATCGTTTTCTTCTTTCTCTCTTCTACATTGTCTGTTTCTCCAATCAAAAACGGCGGCTGATCAAACTCTTTGTGGTCGAACTTTGGCGGCGACGCAAACGGTGGGAGCGGTTCACCAGCCCAGAGGATTTTCCGGTCTAGAAATGGAACGGTTTCTAAAGGTTCACCGCGCGCTAGTCTTCCCCATTCCGATATTAAGTGAAGCGCGCTTTGGCCATCGACGATCGCGTGGGAAACGTTGACGCTAAGGCTTAATCCACCGCATTTGAATTTGGTAAGCTGAGCTAAAAATAGAGGAATCGTTTCGATAGGGTTTTTATAGTTTACTTGTGGCATAAGATTTTCAAATTCCGGTGTGGGAGAGAAGTCTTTGAAATCCGAAAGCTTTCCCTCGGATTCCGCTTCGATGAATTCCACTCCCTCGGCGTTACAATTGAGCTCGAACCGCCCCCGAGGGAGCCATCTGAGACGGCCAGCCATAGGGTAAAAATGGACTAGCACACGACTCAACGACTCTTTTAGGGTTTCGACTACATTGCCTTGGAAAGATTCAGATGGCTTGTTGTAGAAGTAAAGGGTGGGAATGTGAGTTATTGTACCAACTTGATCCCACTCAGCTAGTGGAAACCGACCGGTCCACGTTGGTTCAGCCGGTACTATAGTGTAAGATTTTCTAAAAATTATGGGTGCCATAACACAAACACCCTTTCTTTTTCTCTTCTCTTTTTGGAGATCGTGCTAAAGTAATGTTTATATAGTATATGGTTTTATCAAGATTTTTGTAGCAGTTGGTCAAAAATGTTATTCTCGTGGTTTAGTTTGTTTCCTTGGAAGCAGCTAATTTAGTGGAAATGATAATACGGTTTAATTTTGTTGGTTGTATGATCAACTGATCATGCGTGTTACACTTCTTCTCTATTTTGTTCACATTGTGGATGAATGTATATATTTCCATGGAAATTAAAAAAAAACGAGGTAAGAACATATAGCCTCAAATTCATATCAAAATTAGGAAATGTGTTCTAATTTTTTGAGCCAGTAAGCCCCAAAGTATAAATTCTAAACTAAAAATCCTTAATTATATATCATAAACTCTAAAAACAAATGGTAAATCCAAAATCCAAAATACTAAATCCGAATACTTAATACAGTAAATCCTAAAACCTAAAAGTGATATACCTTTTGAATTTAATTTCAGTTTATTACTTTATTTTATAAATTCGTCTTGAAAAAAAATACATGGATGATGTATTCTAGGGAAGATACAGTACTTTTAGTTTTTACAAAGTTAACAATTCCAGTAGTTTTGCCTTAAATGGGTATAGTACATGGGCCTTTTAAAGCCCAAAATTGGTGGTGTATTAATAAACCCTAGTTTAAACCCGGCCGACTAAACCTTAACCCGTACCCGGACCCGACTGGATCTTCTCTTCTCGCCCCATCTCGCTATCGACGACGATCGAACATACTTGAGCTCTTCTTCTTCTTCTTCTTTTGACCAGAGCTCTCACACACACGAATCACGATAATGGAAGGCGATCAAGAGACGGAGGTTTATACTTTGGTCGCAAGGAAACCTTCCTTCGATCTCCCAACAGCTTGCCCTAATTGTCTTCCTGCTTACATATACCTGAAATTAGCCCAGCTTCCTTTTGAACTTGCGTTCAATTCAACCTTCCCTGATTCAGGTTTGTTTCTCTTCTTTTGATTCCTCGCTTCGTAGTTTGGTTATTAGATTAAGGTTTTGGTTGCGTGATGAGTATGTGTTTGAAATGCTCATTGTTAACTCTATTAGCTTGAATTGAGATTTGAATCCTGGACAAGATAAGTTTCAGTTCTGGATTCGAATTCGTACCATTAAGATCCTGCTCGTAGGTTAATCAGAGTTTAGATAGGGTTCTTAAGCTATAATAATTCAATTTGAGGTGTATATATACATTGGTGAATTTTTCTGGATAGGAAGAGTTCATAAGATCTTCTTAGAGCTTTGGTTGAATATCTCGTTATCGTAATTGTTAATTTGAAGAGAATGATGATGTTTTGTTAAAATGCTTGTATGGGAATTTGATACTTCATTCAGAAGGATTTTGTTGCTTGATTCAGCCATTGAGTTTGTATATTAACACTATCTTCAATGTTATCATTTGTTTTTGTGTCTGTTTTATATAGATGAACTGCCGTACTTTGAAAGTGGAACATATGTTGCATATAACAATGAAGATGGAGGAGTCATTGAGAAACTGAAGAAAGATGGGATTGTTAATCTGGACCTTCAGCTTCAGTCTCTTCCGGAATATTTATCGTTGAAGGCTCTTATTGTTTCTTGGTTGGAAGAAGCACTTACCTATGAGATATGGGTTGGTACCGAGGGGATTTCTACTACGAAAATCTACTATTCAGATCTTCCTTGGGTGATCAGCAAGGTCCTGTTTTATAAGCAGACATACATGGCCAAGAACCGTTTAGGAATCACCAAAGAGAACGCAGAGCAAAGAGAAAAACAGGTCGGCTTTGCTTAAGTTTTGTTATTACTTAAGAAGACTTGTGGCTTATTATAAATGTGAACATTTGAACTAGTTACTAAAGTTCATAGTCTTAAATGAACAGATATACAAGAGAGCAAGTGAGGCATATGAAGCTTTGTCGACTAGGTTAGGCGAGCAGAAGTTTCTCTTTGAAGACAGGTAATGCAATCACATTGTTGAACTGGATTCTTTCTCTTAAGCCTTTTTATAAAGATTGACAATGTTTTTCTTATTCTCTTCCCACAGGCCATCGAGTTTGGATGCTTTATTACTATCGCACATGCTTTTTATAATCCAAGCATTACCGGTGAGCAGCTTTAAATTTCCCCAATACACTTTTCAGTTATTGGTTTATCAGGTTGAATCTAGCCTTGGAACTATTTAGATGAAGTAGTTTTCGTGATGGTGCATGATCAGGTAACATCTGTGCTTCGGTGCAAACTTCTGGAACATAGTAATCTTGTGAGATATGCTGAGAAACTTAAGTCAGAGTTCCTTGAAGCTTCTTCTTCATCTCCTTCACCTCCACTTCACTCATTCCCTTCCTCATTTCCAAGAAAGAGTAAGACACATCCAACCTTCAATGTCCATATCATGTACTCTTCACTCTTCATATGTCATATATGCAACATTAATTGGATATGTTTAAGCCTGTGAAGTAATGAATTTCATCTGTTGTTCAGGTTCGAAGCCAAAGAGCAAACCAAAGGTGGAAAAGACCGAAGAGGAGAAGAAATTCAAGAAAAGAGCAAGATTCTTTTTAGCTGCTCAGTTTCTAGCCGTCGTCATTTACGTATCCGTGATGGGAGGAGGTAGTTCTGAGGAACTGGAGTATGAAGATGAAGATGACTAAACTGAAGCTTCTCTTATTAAATGGACCGGTAACTCTCAAGCGAACTCTTCTTAGACTAAGAATAATCTCTACGTTTTTTTTCTTGAACTCTTGGTTATGGAGCGGATTACAGATGTGAGATTAGTCGTTTTTGTTCTGAAGGAGATTCTATTGGCTTTTATATAAATTTCATTGGTTTTTAAGACAATGTATTAGCAGGTAGCCACATTAAGGGAACCGGTTCACCGGATAAAATACCGAAATGTGGTGACCAGAACCCAAAATTAGAAGACTCTTGATACATCCTCAAAATCAACTGAACTAACTCTATTTGTCTTACTAATAATACAAATCTCATCCATCTAAGAAACTATCTTCTGATAGCAAAAGATGATGCCAAAAACCTACCTAATTCTAAACTCTAAAAACCAAATAAATTTAATAACAAGTACTAGGAATTGAAATTTACATCCGGGGGCTGCTGCTCCGACGTATCGTCCGCTGGTTGGTTAACAAGCTTTGAGTGTTCATCGGCCGAGTTGATGGCAAACTCAGCTAGTGAACTCACTGCAACAGACATTCCATGGCAGAGAACCTTCACAGCAACCTCTGCAAGTTTCTCAGCAGTCATCACAACATCTTCTTCTAGCTTATCAGCCACCACAAGGTCCATGCTTTCTGACCCGGAATATCTCCTTGACCCGCTTCCACTCCAATTTGGATCTTCTCTAACTTGCCTTGCATATATTGAACCCATCCCTGAGGCAAAAAACTCAAGTTTGTCCAAAACCGGTTTCTCGTTCAAGCTGTTAAGCAACCTTGCCCATTGAATGCAGACTCGGTATATCGGGTGAGGACATGAGGATAATCTAACTTTCTCGGGGTCAGGATCACATCTGAAACATCTGAGAAGCCAACCAGATAATGCCTTCATGTAGGATCTCTGAGAGGTGATCCAGACTTCAAAACAGGCTCTCCAGTTTCGAAGCTGAGCTTCAAGATTCAAAGCAGATTGAGCTAATCTTTGAGAGTTAATAGCCTCTGGCATTATTGAAGGTTGTCTCTTCTTGTGACGCTTTGAAACTGGTGTGCCTGCAAGTAACAGTTTGGCTTCGTCTAGTGTTCGTTTCTGTATCTGGTGACTTTCCGCCATAACTTTCCACATCCTTGTTAATCTGTTATGATCATGATTACCATGTGTCAATCTTAGCGTTAAAGAGATACCGAAGAAGAAAAAGAAGTTGTTGGTGTTACCCTTCAACGAGCTCAAGAAGCTGAGGCAACAGTTCTTGGTCACGAAGAGTCTCGATTCTTTTGGAGATGGATTCAATGGAGTGTATTGACACCTTGATCTGTGTGTCTAGATCTCTGATCGTAGCCCTAGTTTTATCAACCGCAAGCGGATCATCTCCTTTCACGTCCTGATTCCTCAGTTGCATACATTTCTTCTCATATGCTCTTCGAACACGTTCTCCAGACTGTTACAACACCACAAAGACCGCTCAGTTATAACCAACAGAGATTAATAGGTAGTCACTAGTTGCTTATATCTCTTGTTACTTACCCTAACTTCATCGTAGAGTTTCTTCTCCCACGCGAAAAGTCTGTCCAATGTTGTTTGGTGGCTACCAGAAATCATGCAAGATTCATCTGAAACATCGCTTCTGGTTTCAGACCCGCTCTCTCTCGAACCACCAGAAGAAGTGATCAAGAATCTTGAAGAGGAAGATCTTGATGAACCCGAGCGGAACAACGCTACTGGATTCAGCATTTTCCTGGCTACAAAACACATGAAAAAATGACTTCATTTATAAGTCAGTCATAAAACAGAGAAACATTGCAACATTTTTTCATAAACTTACCACTATGGTCATTGGAGGATGATGTGTATTGAGCTCTACTAGCTTCCAATAGCCCCGAGACTTCCTTAGCCGCATCACAAATGGTTGCGAACTGATCTTCAAGATCTTTGATTACTTCAGCCATGCTAGTTGGTCTCCGATTCACATATACCGTGAAACCTGTCGTCTTTGCATCATCTCTAACACCAACAACATTCTTCATCTCTTGAACCTTACCTACTCCAACAACATTCCCTGTAGTTTCTCCTCCAGACACCTCAGCTTTTCGCTGTTCTTGCGTTTGAGCAACACATTTCTCATCTCCCTCATTCTCAGATTCACACCCGCTATCCGTAAACTCACCATCCTCATCCTCATCCTCGTCCTCATCCTCATCCTCATCAACATCTTCAACTTTAACTTCCTCATTGCAACAACTCTTATCAACTTTACCTCTACTCTCTTCCGTTGCTTTCGGATTCGGATTATGATTCTGAAACCGCACATTCACAGGTTCAGGTTCATTAGGTTCATCATCTTCTTCCAAATCCGGAATCCCTTCTTCCTCTCTAACACGTCTCAATCCTCTAATCTCATCATCTATACCACTCCTATTATCAACACTTCCTCTATCATAACTATTATATCCATAATAATCCAATGACGAAAACGGATTCCAAAAGAAATCCCACTGCGAATTCTGCGGTGAAGGAGGAGGAATGTTATGACTACTTAACCTTTGCTCAGGAGAACTCAACGGATTCCAAAACGAAGATGAAGTAGACGCAGAAGTGTTCATATTCATATTCATATTCATTCCAAAGAAACCATCTGCTTCACCATATTGGTTACTAGGTGGTGAAAATGTCTCAACTCTAAACGTTTCAGGAGATCTCTGTTCTACTCTAACCGGTCTACTTCTATTAGCCATCAAGTAATTCGCTTTCACATTCGATCTTGGCCTACTCTGAATCATTTTCGGAGGAATCGAAGAAGGCGAAATCGAGATGAACTCACCGCTATTACTACTACGGCTGCTGCGGTTGCGGCGGCTCGGTGGTATTCTCTTAACAGGAGTGATGAATGAGTCTTGACTCATCGGAACAAACTCATTGTTGTTGTCTCCTTGGATAATAAAGTCATGGAGAGCATCAGAGACATTTCTAAGAGAGTGAATATAAGCAATGTGACCAGAAGCAAACTTAGTTCTATGTTCTATAGCTTGTTTGATGAAACGTTTCCTGTCTTTACAGATCTGAACTGCTTCTTCATCATCTAACTTCGAATGAGAACATCCCATTTCTCTCTACTCTTCTGCTCTTTAAGCTCAAATCCAGAGCTCAAGACTCATACAAAAGCTATGAAACAAGTGAGAACAGAACAAACTAAAGACATAACTATGTCGTAACTTACATTAACTGAGAAAAAGACAATAAGAAGATTCTTTGCTTAGTTTACAAGGCAAATCTCTTGAATCCTTAAACCCTCTTCAAGAGTGAGTAGAAAATCTAAAACCCATGAAGAGATTTTAATTGTTTACTATGAAAAGGTGAGATTTTTACTAAAAACCGACAGAAACCCAGATGAGAAATGGTGTAAAATCTTTGGATTTGGTCTTGTGAAAATGCCAAAAGTGATGAGCAAACCCAGAAAAGAAGTTAATGAAGAAAGAGAGAGAAGAAGAAGAAAAAAAACCTAATAATGAGTCAAAAGGGACTGGAGGAGCGTGAGGATACACAGTAGAGAGAGAGAGACGTTGGAGAAAACAACGGTCAAAATTACTGTCGGATTTTGAAGGAGAGAGAATGAAAGTGAAGTCAAGACTCACAATCAAGAAGTTGAAGAAGAAGACAGAAGCAACATTAAAAGAAATAAATTTTGTTTTTGTTTTTGGTCGAAATTAAAAGAAATGATTAATTAATAAATAAATAAAGTGAATGGAAAATGATTAAATAAATTTAATAAAGCTACGAAGAATATATATTGGCTAAGAGAAAGACGGGACACGGAATACGACTTGCTTATTTTGTTTCTATCCTCGATTTTCATGTTTATTTTCGATTTTGCCATTCTCAATATTTCTTGTCTTTTTCCTGTACGTTATGATGTTATGGCATAATCTATCGATGTTTTTTTTTTTTTTTTTTTTTTTTTTTTTTTTTTTTTTTTTTTAATCTATCGATGTTAACATTACATTTATTTTCATAGCTCAATTGTTATACTGATATTAATTTCAATCTTATAATAACATGAATATTAATATAAATACACAACGATGCTATTAGTGTATGCTACTAAATTATATATCATGATATCGATAGTGATTTATTTGGTAACTGATAAACTACATAAGGGTTTTTTTTTTTTACTAATCTATATAGTTTTGTGGAGTCATAATATCTTTTTTTTTGTCATTCTACTATAATATTGATATTGATAAAATTTAACAGAAATTTTTTGTATTTACAAAAGCACATTTGAATTACTTTTGCTTGATAATTTCATTCGAGGACAAATTTTATTTGCATGGTGGATTGTTTTGTGTAAAATGGAATCAAATCATTCGGGGAATCTATAAGAGTAGTTTAAGCATGGGTGATTTCGTAAATACAGAAGCATCACCAGTGGGAAAATACGTTGGAAGAATTTAGGAAAAGCAACAAAAAGAAAGGACCGGCCTGTAAAGTAAAAGACACGATCTGGACCCACATTCTTAAAAGATACTATCATGAAATGCCTCGATACCTGGTATTCCTCCTTTTGTCCCTGGGTATATCGCCTAATCACGAATATGCCATCAAAAATCGAGAACTAGAATTCAGTCCAAATCTGTTGGGCCAAAGTCTTAGAGTCATATCTGGCCCAATGGACTTCATTGTTGGCATGTTAAATTGGAGACTTTGATTTCTAAAGTGACACTGCGAGTCTGCCACAACACATATTGACTAATTTAAAATCTAAACCAATCATAGTGATTAGTGATATTGTGTGATCCGGTATCGATAAAGTCTTACCTTATATGATATTGTTCAGACATGTTTATGGTTCATGGTTTGTGTGATGAATGCAAGTTTTGGTTCATTACGAAAAGGATCGGATTCAATATATAGTTTGAGTGAAGTGGTATCACCATTTTTAGTTACGTATGCTAATGTTGGTTGTTGATCGTATGTCCACTATCATATAACCTCATCGTGTTTTACACTGTATATAAGACACTTGTCTTTGTCCCCGTTTTCTTAATTCCAAAGGGCAATATTATGATGCACTTATTCGAATGTTTTCTATATGTATGTATATAGATATGGTTGTTACTTTATTACTTTGCATCAATTCTATCATATTACTCAAAGGTGAGGAATATCTTATATATTCTTGATCGTAAAACGATATGGTTTTCTTTTGTAAAGATATGATTAATTATGGTAATATTTAACGAGTTAAGTATACAATTAAGCTTGACCAGTACCTCATTGGTAATTTAGTTCTTGCATTGCACTTTTATACCACTTTAGCAACTTTTCTCAAAAATATTATATATTGGCAAACAATAGGTGTCCATTATCATATTTGTGTTTATTCTAATGCATCACGATAACATATCCAACAATATTTTACTTCGTATTCGTGTATCATTTTATACAATAAATTTAAAAGTTTAGACCGATCAAGAGATCCCAGCCCACCTAGATATTAGAAATATATCGGTTAGATGCTTGCATTTAACAATTCTACTAAAAGAAACTATGAAAAAAAAAACTATGAAATAATTCCCATGGTAAAAATGGTTTGTTTGATAACTAAAAATTAAAATAGTCTTAAATCAAAACTTTAAACTATTTTCTGCTAAATAAAATCTTCAAAATAAAGAATTAAGTTCATGGATAAAAGGGTTTAATGGAAAGAAATCCATGAGAAATGATTGAAAGAGAGATGAATTCTTGTAGTAATCGAAGTCCGGAAATGAAATGTTTCCTATAATGACAAAAGGGTGGAGAAAAATGAAAATAGTAAGTTACTATTTTGAGAACAAAGTTCCAAAGATTCTGGAACTATTATTTTAATGTATCAGGTGGTAGAACGAATATAAGTACGACCACTTTTCTAAACACGAATGAGGTTTCCTAATTATGACAATTTCTATTCAAATTCAATCTAATGTTCTTTTGCCCATGTACTAGTACTATATACGTGTGTGTATTTTATTGTTCACCCGCACTATATATATTTCCTTACAATATATATTTTTAGACTTAATTATAAACTTATAGTGTTGGCTAATTTTGTTTGCCTTTTCGATAAGATTTTTAGAAATAGTTATCATTTTAGTCTAGTGTGGGTAAAATTATCCGTTGTCGAGTTGTTTATAAACTCTTTGTTATCCAAGTATTACATGAAATAAGACTTTTCTCATTGTGAATAATAAAATGCATAATTTGTGTTAAATTATATAATTAACATATCTTTATGATGTAATAAACGATTAAACATAATAAAAATGCAATGAGATGCCGGCGAAACGACCTCATCCAAAGCATGTCTTACCGCGGACGCAACAAAACAAAGTTTAAATCAAGGGCTACATCATCCAGGGGAAATATACAAGTACAACTAAAGAAAAGATTTGATGAAAAAGTTTTTTTCGGTTTGAAAAGCCTCTCCATCCAAAATTTAAGATGAAAAGAAAAAAATATCGAGACTATGTGTTTTACAGTTTTTGGAATTCCGACATCACAAAGTTACCAGTTGGGTATGCCATGAAAAAGCTTAAAGCTAACATTTGATGTGGCCTTCAAATCTATAACGAAGATTAATTTTTCATGGGTATAATTGGCTACGAAAATTTGACTTTTTTCATTCCGACTATTGTACTCTAATATAAGGTGGAATCAAAATCTTTCATGCACAAAGAAGAATTGGTAATTGTTGCAATTATAGAAAATCTATAAAACCTCAAGAACATGATGATATTTAGAGGAGATGGATCAAGCTAACTCATTGGTTGTTCAATTCATGTACTATTATGCAATGGATGTGGGTATGCTTGCCAACATTCACGTCATATCCAAGATGTTGATATCATGGCTTATGTTGCTACAATGAAATCGAGGGTTTAAAACGTTTGATGTAGCACAAACACGTTCTAATCCATTATTTTTTCAAAGTGGCGAATGTAGTTGTTGTTCTGGATTACGTGATGGAAAGCACTAAGACTTATCTGAAGAGCGTAAAGAAGAACATATATGATTGTAAATTTTTATGTTTAGTTTCTTAACTAATTTGAGATGTTTTTTATTTTAGTTACGTTGCAATTTTTAAGAAACCTTAACTAGTTCTAAAGTATAATTTATTAGGATACATAAATCCACTAGTTTGCTCTTAGTTATGATTATGTTTAATTTATGATTTAGTAGTTACGGTTCCATTTTAATTTTTTTTTTAAAATGCAATGAGATATATAAAGGCCATAAGGTCGTCTGGTGGTGGTGGTGATGAAGTAATCCACTTCATTTGCACAAAAATGACCTTAAGATCTCTTTAGTAATTTCAACTTTCCAACTCTTTATAATATATCCTTCATTAGGATTTAAGACTTTACCCTTGTGTACAAAATTTGTATGGGCCATTGGGCTATTGGTATTCTATGTTAGACTATGGTCACTTAAATTGTTTTTTGATAACAAAACTCCATTTATTTTAAAACCCATTATTATTATTTTGATAAATTTTAAAATTTATTAAATATTGCTGTTAAAAAAACACAAGAAGGTTACCCAATTACATGATTAATACAAGCCACTCATTGTACTTTAAAACCATAAAAATACAGCTTTGTATGGTAATCGCTAATTAAGCAATGCTAGATCGAACAAATCAAGCAAAACAAATGTAATTAATGTGGGATAATCATGTGAAAAGTGGTATGAGACTAATATAACAAAGCTGATTTTTTTTTCTAAGATTTTGAATACCAAAATAATTTGTTTTATATTTCATATGTGTAGGCTGATAAAATTATCTATAAAGTTTTTGTAACAATCTAACACTAGATCGTTGACCCGCACGTACGTGCGGGGTTTCATATTTTAAAAATTTCTAACAAAATTTAATTCAATATAGATTATTTTGTTGTTTTTATGATATATATTTTAGTGTATTAGATCTGGATCCACTGTACGTGTAGAAATATTTTTATGGAAATTGTTATATATAGATTGTAAAAATATAAAATATCTTATTGTGTTAGTGAACTTCGTAATAGTATAAATATTATAAAGTTAGAGTAATGAACAAAATTCAGTTGTGTTAATGCATAATTATATTTTAAGATCCGGACTAATTTAGTTACAAAAGTTAAATGGCGTTACATTTTTATTTTCTTAACTAATCAAAACAGTTCTAACAGTTTGATTACATATGTTAAATAGGATATGAATTCGGTTTTAGTTTGAGTTATTTCATGTATATTAGGTAGGCGTAACTATTTTGGAGCAGGAAACATATCTCGTCCGGTATATATCATAAATTCTTTGTCCCATAATCTGTCACGTATACGTAAAATAAAAATATTACGGTCTCATATATATCTGTCATAAATAGAATATGTGTAACTGAAAACGTATGTCCAGGGTTATGTGTGTAAACAAATTTATTTTATATAATGCTCATGACCCGAACTCATACCATTTGGGTATTTAGTTTGATTTTTAGTATATGTTCCCCTCTCATCTCGTCTCGTAATTTCTATTTCCATTTTATTGTATTAAAATTATGTTCTAAATTCTTCTACCATACAATATATACAGTGAGTTTTGCGGATTAATATGTATGATGTTAAAGTTACAAATATATTTTAACAAATTTATTAATGTTTCTACCTAAATTTTGCACATTTTTCTTTTCATTGTTTAATCATAATTAATTCGATTTTTTTGGACTAAAATTAAAATTTGAGATACATCTATAAAAGGGATATGCTATTGATGCATAATTTATTTTGAATGCAAAATATATAATTTGTTCACATTATTTCGAAAACTGTGTGCAATATGTTATAGATTTGTTTAAGGAAGATCCGGTTGAGAAGAAAAAAAAAAAGAAAACACAAAATATTTCGTAATTAATATGTACAATCTATTATTTAGATATTTCCGAAACGTGTTCTAAACGAATGCCATAATGATAATTACTTTAAATTTATCATTATTTGAGTTTATTTCATAGTAAATATAAATATTTGTTGATATCTAATATCGTTTTTTTTTTAGAAATTGTGAAATAAAATTTTGTTTTATATTTCAAAATTTGTGAAAATTTTATAACAACTGAGTCTTAAATATTTGTATTTAATTTTCTTACGAAATTCAAATTCAATCTTAAAATCTTCTATTGATAAATTTTTTTAAAAGATAGTGTTTTTAATTTTGAATTAAAATGGTATTATTTTTCTTATTATTTTTGATATAGAATAGTTTATTAGGATTGATTTAGATAAAATTTTAGTTGGTATCAAATCTTAGTTTTTCAATTCTCATTGGTTAATAACTTTTTAGAAAACAAATTTAAATTTTCGTCCATAATTAATAAGAGAGAGAAAGTGAGTTTAATTTTTTGGAAACTAATAATTACTTTAAAGAATTTTATTATTATTTATTTAAATATATTATTTTGTGATTACTATTGTATTTTTAATGAATTTATTTAAAACAAAAACTAATGGTATTTTTGTAATACTTTACACTTTATAAGGTTAGTTATGTTGGAGTGCTTCCCAATTAATAGTATAGATAGTAGTCGTTTTTTTGTTTTCAGCCCAATCTCATCTTCTCTGTGTTTTACAAATTTTTAGATTGCTAAAATTAGCATGACCAAGATGTAGGGTTTCTCAAAGCAAGACATTAACTCGTAAATTCTTCCTCTTCATCATGTTTCGTGTTCTCGATCTATACATCTTTCTCTTCTCTTATTTTATTTGTTCTTGTTTAACAACTAAAATCAGAATTGATCGAGAGTTGAGTTTAAAAAGAAAAAAAAAAGATCTAGAAGATTAGAATTAACTGTTTTCGCTAAAGATCGAATCCGAGAACCTCAACAAGATTCTAAACAAAATGTTGGTGTCGAGGTCGAGATTGAAAAATAAAACTTATATCACCAATATAAATTTCATATTTATTTCTAAGGAAATTCCAAAATTTGAATATTAAATATATAAAACTTTTAGGAATAATCTTGAGTAAAAAATTCCAAATAATTTCAAACAATTTTAAAATATCTGAAAATAGAAAATCAACCATCAAATAAAACTAATACATGCAAGTCAGAAGATATGAATATCCCTGTCTATACGTGTATATATTTTTAATGAAAAATGAGAGGAGATAATCTAAAGAAAGCAGACCAGTCATTATTCTCGACATAATAGTCTTACATTTAAATAGTAATGTCGGAATGCTAGTCGATAATTGTAGGTGAAGTATAAATAAACTGAATTCTACTTTGTTTTTGTTTTTTGTCGTGAATTCTACTTTTGTTTTAAACAGCTTATTTATGCTTAAACATGATTTTATAGATTAGCAATAGGATATATCTAGGGAAGTACTTGGTATTTGTATATGAATTGACTGGAGCTAGTGACATTAGCAGCCTCACTAACTATCGAGAGTTTTCCATTATTTGTTGTCATTTGCTTTTTCTCAGTACTCTAAACATGGGTCATATTCATATATCTAGCTATATTATTTGTAACAATTTGGATGGGATTGTTTATGCAGGATCACGACGTCCATGTTTTGGTTGATGGATTCCATCTTTATCTAATGGTTGGCCGGTGTGCTATTTTGAAAATCTTGTTGAATTTGTTAGCTAGTCTTTCATAATTTCTAATATATTTGGTACTATATAGGATTTCTAATATATAGGACACTAAAAAGTAAAAATCATTTTTTCATTATAGAAATAATTTCTCCAACTTTCTCGTAGAATTCTCTTGTAATAGGTTATGGTAAAAACAATCAAATTAATTATTTTCCATGCTCTATATCCACCATCATATATATTTGTAGAACTAGAAAGATTAAACGATCTCTAACAAAAATGCTGCATATTTTAGGGCTGGACACGCCAAATGGTCCTTATAATGTCCCAATTTTTGATGAGGTGACGTTGAAATTAAGGAAAATATATTCATTAATTTCTGTGTTTACCAAAAAAAAAAAAAAAAAAGTATTCATTAATTTCTGAATACTAACACCACTCAAAGAAAAATCCAATATATGAATTATTTCAATACTGCTTTATTTTTGGCCAAACTTAGTATATCATAGGATTTTGTGCAAAAAAAAAAACCCTTCCAACTCACTAATTTTTATAAATTTATCATTCACCTCCAACAAATGAAAATTAATCATACAAAGTCAAAAATAATATGTAATGTAATATTTTTTCTTTATCGTCAAGTTTGTAAAAGATAAGAGTCATTACTACTCTATGATGCATTTTCAAGAGCGCATTCTTGTTTGAATTTAACAAATAGAATTTCGAAACTCTAAGGTAAGTAAGAAACGGAAATATATATAATATATATATATATAAAGGAAATATAATTCACATATTGATAATTCAACTCGTAGATGATCTCTATGATCCTATATATGGCTTACACTGGTTATATTCACCGATTCTTCATTCACCATAAAATTTAGATGTTTTCCATAGCTCATCCGTGATATCATACAATGCATGTTTATAACTTTATATATGTCATTGATTTAATTTAGTGTTTTATGATTTAAGCCGTATACGTCTTTACTCTATCTCTTTCTCCTATTATACTATGCACACATGTGAGATTTTATTAGAAAGTGTAAAAGATATAGGTAGATATTATAAGATAAGCTACGAAAGTAGACGACCATTGGTGCGTTGCGTTAAAAGAATTTGTAGTTAATTATTTAGGATGATAAACTAAGAAAATCGTACCAAAAATAATAATAAAGAAAACAATGAGATGAGGAATCACACATGGATTCCATTTTCGTGACATTCCACTTTTGGGGGTTTCCACTAAAATTTTGGTAACTTTTGATTTCGTGTCTCTCCCTCACTAAAATCCCCCTTTGATCATTTTTTCGTCCAATTAAAATAAAACCTAGCAAGAATTATTAATAATAATATGGTTATTCAAATTCTTAGATATGATATGCTATATACTAATGTGCCTAAACTCGTGACGTATCGGACCAGTTTTAGTCTCCCCCTACTTTTCAAACTAATAATCTATACTATTAATTGGGAATCACTAGATATTAAATAACCTTATGAAGGATAAAATATTACATAAGATGCCATTGGTTTTTAGTGTTTTTAAATAAAATCATTAATGGTACAATAGTAATCACAAAATTAATATATTAAAATAAAAAATAGTAAAATTCTTTTAAGTAATTATTAGTTTCCAAAAAATTAAACCCACTTTCTCTCTCTTATTAATTATGGACGAAAAATTGAAATTAATTTCTAAACAATTGTTAACCAATGAGAATTGAAAAACTAAGATTTGATATCCAACTAAGATTTATCTAAACCAATCCTAATAGACTATTTTATATCAAAAATAAAAATAAAAATGATATCATTTTAGTTCAAAATTAAAAACTCTATCTTTTAAAAAAATTTATTTTATCAATGGTAGGTTTTAAGATTTAATTTGAAATTTAGTAAAAAACTTAAATACAAATATTTTTACGATTCAGTTTTGTTATAATATTTTCACAAATTTTGAAATATAAAACAAAATTTTATTTCACAATTTCTAAAAAACGATATTAGATATTAACAAATATTTATATTAACTATGAAATAAACTCAAATAACAATAAATTTAAAGTAATTATCATTATGGTCTGCAAGTTTCAGAAATATCTAAACAATAAATTGTACATATTAATTTCGAAATATTTTGTGTTTTATTTTTTACTTTTCAACCGAATCTTCTTTAAATAAATCCATAATATATTGCACACAGTTTTCGAAATAATGTAAACTAATTATATATTTTGTATTCAAAAGAAATTATGCAGCAATAGCATATCCTTTTTATAGATGTATCTCAAATTTTTATTTTTAGTTCAAAAATCGATTTAATTATGATTAAACAATAAAAAGAAGAATATGCAAAATTTAGCTAAGGAGAAAAACATTAATAAATTTGTTAAAATATACTTGTAACTTTAACAACATAAATTCACATTATATATTGTATGGTATTTAAAGGTAAGCAAACAAGAATTTGGAATATGATTTTAATGGAATGAAATGAGAATATGAATTACGAGACTAGATGGGAAGGGAACATAAACTAAAAATCAAACTAAGTACACAACTGGTATGAGTTCGGGTTATGAGCACTATATAAAATAAATTTGTTTACACACATAACCATGCACGTACGTTTTCAGTTACACATATTCTACTTATGACGGGTACATGACCGTAATATTTTTTTTTACGTATACGAGACGGGTTATGGGACGAAGAATTTATGACAGATACAGGACGAGATAGATTTCCCGTTACAAAATAGTTACGCGTACCTAATATACATGAAATAACCTAAACTAAAACCAAATCCATATCCTATTTAACACATGTAATCAAACTGTTATAAATGTTTTAATTATAGTTTAGAAAATAAAAAGGTAACATCACTTAACTTTAACTTTATAACATCTATACTATTACGAAGTTCACTAACACAACAAAATATTTTCTATTTTTAAAATCTATATAACAATTTCTAAAAAAATATCTTTGCACGTACGTGTGGATCCAGATCTAATACACTAAAATATATATCACAAAAACAAAAAAATAATCTATATTGAAATAAAATTTGTTAGAAATTTTTCTAAAATATGAAACCCCGCACGTACGTGCGGGTGAGGATCTAGTGTTTTGTAACCTCAATACTTTTCCTTTGTAACCATTTTAAATTAATTATTAATAAAAAAACTGCCGTATGTTGAACCCAAAAAACTTAGAATATGTATTTGTTATGAGCCTCTAATCGAGCATCTACCTCGATAATACTTGGTTTCAACACTAATTAAGATCGAGTTTTTTAAAAATAAAGTCATGCACAAATATTGATTTAAATATTTATACTTATGAGTTATGACAATTTGTATTAAAAAAAAAACTTAATTCAAATTTTAAGAAGTTCCGTATACTGAAAAAATGATCATCACTTTTTTTTTTATAAAAGAGTTAGACTTGTCTATAATCCATTATGGATTATAAAACGTTGTCAAAATATATATGTAAAGTAAAACGTTTCATAAAATATAGGAACTGAATCTTGAAAATAGGAACTGGCGTGAGAATTAGTTCTTGGACATAAGAACTGGCCTGGAAATTAGGAAGGATATAGGATTTGAAAACAAATAACTAAAAATAGCCTAAGAAATTTACATGGTAAAAATAACTTAAAACCCCATAAAACCTTTAATCAAAATAAAAAAAAAAACAATATATAAAATAAATCCGAAAACAGTACAATTTTTAGGTTTAATAAAGGTTTCAAAAATTTATTAATGATTCTTTAATCGTTTGGTACCCCCTTATTAAACTTTCAACAACCTTATACACCTAACAAATTTGTGGTATTTTTAATAATTTTGAATTTTTGTGGTAGTTTTGGAAAACATGATTTAAGAATTTGGAGCTTTTTATATTTTATAGAGTTCATTATCCCTAAATATCTTAATAAAAAAAATCTAATAATATCAGAAAATGTTAAAGAAAACCAACCAATCATCTTGCATCTAACATTCTTACTTATCTGCCTATATAAGCAACTCCCATTTCTTGACCTAACACTTCTCTCACTCCCTCTCTCAACCTTTATGGTAACACCTAATCTGATCGAACCAAACCGAACCGAACCAAATCGGTTTCTCGTATCGGCTTCTTCTTTTTGCTACTAGCTCTCCTCTCTTCTCCGGTATTTTTTTCTCTCTTCTTAATTCACATAGATTTCATGATAAGTGATCTAAAACAAGACGCTATTCTTCTCTTGCATTTCTGTGTTTTTTTTTTCTTGTACGCCAAATTGATCCCTTATGCGTATAGAATCCAAAAAATAAGTAAAAGCTGATTCATCTTCTTCCTCGTAACAGAAGTAAGCAATGAGAGGGTGAAGATTTTTCTTTAGCAAACAAAAAAAGAGAGTGAAGATTTTTTGGCTTGATCTCAACTTTATTTTTGTAATCTTTTCTAAAAAGTAAACATTTTCAATAAGAAAATACAAGACCCATATCCAAATTTTTTTCTTATATATAAAAAAGAGTTTTGAACTGTTTTGTGATAATGATATCTAAAAAAAGTTTTTGCTTTGTTCTTTTTTTCCTCCACAAAACAGTCTTAAAGTAATCCAAAAGCCTATAAATCATTAATAGTTTTGATTAACGTTTTGCAGAAAATGGCGTCACAAAACAAAGAAGAAGAGAAAAAGAAAGTGAAGAAGTTGCAAAAGAGTTACTTCGATGTTCTCGGAATCTGTTGTACATCGGAAGTTCCTATCATCGAGAATATTCTCAAGTCACTTGACGGCGTTAAAGAATATTCCGTCATCGTTCCCTCGAGAACCGTGATCGTTGTTCACGACAGTCTCATCATCTCTCCCTTCCAAATTGGTAAATCTTTTTTTTTTTTTTTTAATTCATAAAGACTTTTTCATGGTTTTTGAATTGGTAAATCATTATAAAAAGATAATAACTTATTTTTTCTCTATGTTACCTAGTCAAATTAACAATAATTAAAAAGCATAAATTAATCATTTTATTATATACGAAAAACTCACTTAATTGTTTTTCATTTCTGTTTATGAAATTAGTGGTTTCTTTTTTTTCTTTTGTTTGTTAAAAATGTTAAATAAGTGGTTTCGCGTCATGGTTTCATACGCAAACGCCAGTTTTAGTCAGATATGTGCTCTAACAAGTCACTTCAACATTTAATATTTTAGCACTCAAATTTAATTGCCTTTCCAAATCATTTCTTCTTAACAAAATAAGTTTAGATTCAATTCTGTTTTTACCAAAAGATTTTTTTTCTTAATTGCTTTGCTTTGAATTTATGTACTGATTAAGTGCGGTAAAAATGCTTGTGTTTTAACCTAGGATGTGCTTAGGTTGGAGCTAAAGCTCAATTTTCAAATTAATAATTTTTTCTGTCCAACAACAAATCGGATAAACCGTTACTATTTTTTTTTAATTAATCCCATGAAACACGTTCAGTTAGTATAACAAAAGATTATGAATAAGGTTCGTCAAGACTATTTTCAAACGATAATAGAAAATATTTTTTTTTTGAAAACTATTAACTTTTATAAAAACACATAACGACAATAAATAATACAAATGATTACATGTTTTTTTATAAGTATATAATCTAAATTTTGTATATCATCAAACCTTTTACCACATTTTTTGTTTGCATATTATAGCTAACTAATACATGCATACAGCATACCTAACACATACGTGCATAAACAATATATCTAACTGACATCATATATACAGTAGATTTATTTCCGAATTTCATATATAGAAAAAAAAAGTTGTTAGAATAAAGCCTGTCGAGATACTTACCAAATCTTTTTGATATGAATATTAAATAGGTAGTGGATCATACTCGTTACGTAACAACATTTTATAAATTTTAATTTAACAGAAACATATTCAAGTTGCAAATAATCAAATAAAAAATCAGAAAAACTAAATGAAAATACTACTTTCAAAATTAAGAAAATCATTATTTCCAGGTTTATGATTTAGTTTTTAAGGTTTGAATTTTTTAAAATATGTTAATCATTTATCTTTTTCCTCACTTAAAATGTAGAGATTTTTTAAGAAATCTTCTTCCACTTTTGTTAATTAATGATGTAATAATTCTGAGTAAATTTTATGTTGCAGCTAAGGCACTAAACCAAGCTAGGTTAGAAGCAAATGTGAAAGTAAACGGAGAAACGAACTTCAAGAACAAATGGCCGAGCCCTTTTGCGGCGATTTCCGGCATACTTCTCCTACTCTCCTTCTTAAAGTTTGTCTACTCGCCTTTACGTTGGCTCGCAGTCGCAGCAGTTGCCGCCGGTATTTATCCGATACTTGCCAAAGCCTTTGCTTCCATTAGAAGGCTTAGGATCGACATCAACATATTGGTCATCATAACCGGTAATACTACTTTTTCCTTTTTTTTTTTTTATGTTGTCGTTATACCACTTTTTATAATATTGATTGTTAGCACCTAACTTTATTTCTCTATATTTTATATTTACCCGTGACTTAAGAATGATGTGTAGTATAATAATTTGGTAGTTTCTGGGCTATACGTGATCGATGTAACAACTATATAGTATTACTTATCTAAGAACGAAGACTTAGCAAATTGTGGTAAAAGTAAAACTATTAATATATAATTTCTTAAAACTTGTGGTCGAGTCTTTAGCCATTTTATAGTACTTTAAAAAAGCTTACATATACTGCTTTCCTGCAAACCCAACACTCCACGAAACCTTTTAGAAAATTTTCGTAATATATTTAAATAAATTCATATGGGTAATATTCTTTCTTTTATTCTTGTTTTATACAACTCCAATATCAGAAAAATTAAATACGTATAGCAGTTTTAGATGTATATGAGTTTATTTGAGTTATAGGTTATAGAAAAATTAAAACGACTTTATAGTTTTGCCGTATGTAATGCAAATTTGAGTTATAGGTTATAGGAAAAAATCAAAATGTTTTTTGGATATAAGAAAAGTGAACATGTGATAAACTTGAAAGTTGGTGCGGAAGATAATGCAAAGCAAAAGGTGCATCAAAATATGGGGAAAAAAAGCAAGACGCCTTTCTCTTTTCTGTTTACAAAACTATACAGTTTCATTCATTTCTATTAGTACTATTATTATTTATAGGAACATAAATAATTTCAAATCAAATACGAATTATTTTATATTTTCCTTGGGTGCAATTAAGTTGTCATTTTTTTGTTTTTCTTTTTCTTTCTAAAACCATAGAAATTTCATACTACAAATCCAGACTAAATTTTGAGGTTTGATAAAGTCTCAAAAATAATAGTTATATCTTTTGATGATCTTTTCTAAATAAATTGCAATTAGGTGCCATAGGAAGGAAAAACGCTAAGTAGGTTTTTGATTTGCTTATCTTGTACAACTCAAAATGGAAAAAGCACCTTTTTACTCATTCAAAGAAAACAAAAAAGTGCATACAATAATTGAAGCAAAAAGATCATAAAAAATGAAGAAATTAATTCAGAACTTGGAAATGATATTAATGTGGACTTAGCTTGTTCCATTGACTAATTATGGAGCTATAGAGTTAGTTTATGTAGTTGGAATTTCTGTTTAGGAGACATAATTAACAAGAAAATGTAATTGTTACTACAAGCTTTGGGCTCTTTGAAAAGTACTCTGTGAGTAAATGTTGTAAGTTTCAACTGATAATGATTATCCAAATTCATCAACACAGTGATAGCAACACTTGCAATGCAAGACTTCATGGAGGCTGCAGCAGTTGTGTTCTTGTTCACCATATCCGACTGGCTCGAAACAAGAGCTAGCTACAAGGTTTGTTTACTAATAATCATCATCTATTGAGTTACAAAAATTGTGAAAGTTGAAACTGTTATAGTTTATTGAAGTAATGACTATGGCAAGTGTAAAATCTCAGGCAACCGCAGTAATGCAGTCTCTGATGAACTTAGCTCCACAAAAGGCTATAATAGCAGAGACTGGTGAAGAAGTTGAGGTAGATGAGGTTAAGGTTAGCACAGTTGTAGCAGTTAAGGCTGGTGAAACCATACCAATTGATGGAATTGTGGTTGATGGAAACTGTGAAGTAGACGAGAAAACGTTAACGGGTGAAGCATTTCCTGTCCCTAAACAAAGAGATTCTACGGTTTGGGCTGGAACCATCAATCTTAATGGTATGCAATCCTCTTTTAAGAGCCTCAAGCTTTTGACCTTCTCGTTTTTTTTCTTTGAATCTAATGTTAAATTATATTCAAGAAAAAAATAAACGTTTATACAATTGAATGCAAACTTTTCATAAAAACTTCATGGAATTTTGATCATTGGTGTCGTCTTGATGCGAACCAAACTTGTAGACCCTTTTCATAGCTTTTGACCTTTTCGTTGTATCTTTCACTCTTTTGATCTTTCTTTGTGTGTTTTTTTGCAGGTTACATAAGTGTGAAAACAACTTCTTTAGCGGGTGATTGCGTGGTTGCGAAGATGGCTAAGCTAGTAGAAGAAGCTCAGAGCAGTAAAACCAAATCTCAAAGACTAATAGACAAATGTTCTCAGTACTATACTCCAAGTAAGCAAAAACATAACCAAAACGTTTTCTTTATGTTCTTGAATCGTGTAATATGAGACCTCTGTGTTTCTTGTTTTGTTTCAGCAATCATCGTAGTATCAGCTGGCTTTGCGGTTATCCCGCTTATAATGAAGGTTCACAACCTCAACCATTGGTTTCACTTAGCACTAGTTGTGTTAGTCAGTGCTTGTCCTTGTGGGCTTATCCTCTCTACACCAGTTGCTACTTTCTGTGCACTTACTAAAGCGGCTACTTCAGGACTTCTGATCAAAAGTGCTGATTATCTTGACACTCTCGCAAAGATTAAGATCGCTGCTTTCGACAAAACCGGGACTATTACAAGAGGAGAGTTCATTGTCATAGATTTCAAGTCACTCTCTAGAGATATAACCCTTCGTAGCTTGCTTTACTGGTAAAACTAAACATGTGTTCGGACTGAAACAAGTTTGCTGAGATAACTTTATGACTGAAACTTTCTTGTTATACAATGTTTCAGGGTATCAAGTGTTGAAAGCAAATCAAGTCATCCAATGGCTGCAACAATCGTGGACTACGCGAAATCCGTTTCTGTTGAGCCTAGGCCTGAAGAGGTTGAGGACTACCAGAATTTTCCAGGTGAAGGAATCTACGGGAAGATTGATGGGAACGATATCTACATCGGGAACAAAAGGATTGGTTCTCGAGCTGGTTGTTCGACAGGTACTATTAAAAAAAAAACCTCAATGTAGTTTTTTGAGGTTTTGTTATTCTTTAGTCTGATCACTTGACTGTTTCTTCTTGACAGTTCCAGAGATTGAAGTTGATACCAAAGGTGGAAAGACTGTTGGATACGTCTATGTAGGTGAAAGACTAGCTGGAGTTTTCAATCTTTCTGATGCTTGTAGATCCGGTGTATCTCAAGCAATGACGGAACTGAAATCTCTAGGAATCAAAACCGCAATGCTAACGGGAGATAGTCAAGCCGCGGCAATTCATGCTCAAGAACAAGTGAGACCAAAAACCATAATTTTAATCACTCTCTAATGCCAAGAGGTTATTTAATAATACCTTGACATGTTTTGTGAAACAGCTAGGGAATGTTTTGGATGTTGTACATGGAGAACTTCTTCCAGAAGATAAATCTAATATCATACAAGAGTTCAAGAAAGAAGGACCAACCGCAATGGTAGGGGACGGTGTGAATGATGCACCAGCGTTAGCTACAGCTGATATTGGTATCTCCATGGGGATTTCTGGCTCTGCTCTTGCAACACAGACTGGTCATATTATTCTGATGTCTAATGACATAAGAAGGATACCACAAGCGGTGAAGCTAGCGAGAAGATCTCGGCGCAAAGTTGTTGAAAACGTGTTTCTTTCCATCATTTTAAAAGCAGGAATACTGGCTTTGGCATTTGCTGGTCATCCTTTGATTTGGGCAGCGGTTCTTGTTGATGTAGGGACTTGTTTGCTTGTGATTCTCAATAGTATGTTGCTGCTGCGAGAGAAGAAAAAGATTGGGAACAAAAAGTGTTACAGGGCTTCTACATCTATGTTGAATGGTAGGAAACTCGAAGGCGGTGATGATGATGTTGTGGACTTAGAAGCAGGCTTGTTAACAAAGAGCGGGAATGGTCAATGTAACTCAAGCTGTTGTGGAGATAAGAAAAATCAAGAGAAGGTTGTGATGATGAAACCAAGTAGTAAAACCAGTTATGATCATTCTCACCCTGGTTGTTGTGGCGATAAGAAGCAAGACAAAGTGAAGCCGCTTGTGAGAGATGGCTGTTGCGGTGAGGAGACTAGGAAACCAGAGGGAGATATGGTTTCATTGAGCTCATGTAAGAAGTCTAGTCATGTCAAACATGACCTGAAGATGAAAGGTGTTTCAGATTGTTGTGCTAGCAAAAATGAGAAGGTGAAGGAAGTAGTGGCAAAGAGCTGTTGTGAGAAACCAAAACAGCAAATGGAGAGTGCTGGAGACTGCAAATCTGGCCATTGCGAGGAGAAGAAGCATGCTGAGGAAATTGTTGTTCCGGTGCAGATTATTGGTCAGGCATTAACTGGGTTGGAAATAGAGTTAAAGAGAAAGGAACCCTGCAAAACAAGCTGTTGCGACAATAAAGAGAAGAAGGTTAAGGAAATAGGTTTGTTGCTTTCTAGTGAGGACAAATCTTACCCGGAGAAAGGAGTGCTGATTAAAGATGAAGGAAACTGCAAGTCTGGCTGCGAGAACAAGGAGACGGTGACACAAAGGTGCCATGAGAAGGCAGGTTTGGGCATGGAAACTGGTGTAAGTTGTGATCTCAAGTTGGTTTGTTGTGGGAAGACAGAAGGGGAAGTTGGAGAACAAACTGATCTGGAGATAAATATTGAAGGACACTACGAGTCTAGTTGTTGCAGCGATGAAAAAAAAACCGGGGAAATAACTCTTGCTTCTGAGGAAGAGACAGACGATCAAGATTGCTCCTCGGGATGTTGTGTGAATGAGGGGACAGTGAAACAAAGCTTCCATGAGAAGAAGCATGCTGTGTTGGTGGAGACTGGTGTATGTTGTGATGATCTCAAGTTGGTTTGTTGTGGAAACACAGAAGGGGAAGTGGAGGAGCAATGTGATCTGGAGATAAAGGATGAAGGACATTGCAAGTCTGGTTGCTGCAACGATGAAAAGCAAACAGCGGAAATCACTCTGGCTTCGGAGGAAGAGACAGACAGCACGGATTGTTCCTCGGGATGTTGTATGGACAAAGAAGAAGTGACACAAATCTGTAGTGAGAAGCCTGTTAGCTTGGTGGTTTCAGGCTTGGAAACTGAAGGTGGTGGTGATTGCAAATCACATTGTTGTGGAACTGGTTTGAAGCAAGAAGGGTCTTCAAAGTTGGTCAATGTGGAGAGTTCTCAATCCGGAGGCTGTGGAACAGTGAAAGTCTCTAGCCAAAGCTGTTGCACAAGTCCTATTGATCTGGTGTTATCTGACTTGCAAGTGAAGAAAGATGAGCATTGTGAGAGCTCAAACAGAGCCGTGAAGGTAGAGACCTGTTGCAAAGTGAAGATTCCAGAGGCTTGCGCATCAAAATGTAGGGAAAGAGAGAAGCGTCACAGTGGTAAAAGCTGTTGCAGGAGTTACGCAAAAGAGTTTTGCAGCCACCGCCACCATCATCACCACCACCACCATCACCATCACCATGTGAGTGCTTGACGAAGATTGCTATTGAATAGCTTAAAACTCTTGACGCATCCATCTATTCACGCAACGTGTCGTCTTGCATTCCATTAATGGCGAAATAAAAAAACATAGATAAATTTGTTCCAGCAAAGGCAGTAGATTAAGCAACTGTGTTATTCATAAAGAAAATGCTAGTGATCCTTTTGAGTCCTTTATGTATGCCAAATCCTAAAGTGTTTGAACTTTGATCTTAGAGTCTTTAAACCAAACACAACAAACAGTCAAAACAGATATTGGATCAAAGTTAGTGTTACCAATTACCAGTGTTCATAAATCTTTCCTTTCTTTTCCAAGTGACTGGAGGAGTAGAGAAAGTAGGACATGATCTAATGGATCTGTGAAAGGGTAGGAGCAAATGATGTTAAGATAATATGATTTCTCATCGATGAGATAAAAGAACAATGATCACACCGAAAAAAAGCTTTTATAATAAAGCAGATGAAAATGCTAAAAGATGGAGGGATTATATACAAGATGCTAACACTGTGCCAAATACTATATGATGATACTAAATGGAATTGTGAAGAGACTAACAAATCTTTTAAGGCCTGTTTTCATTTATACGCTAACTTTAAATTCCTTTTTCCTAAGCATTGCTGATCATTCTTCTTCCCCTTCTTAACAAAAAAAAAAGATTTTTTGAAGAGAGAAGCAAAATCCAGTACATGTGTCCTGTAATAAAACCGTCTTGAGAGTCTTCACACCGAGGGTAATTATCAACAAGTTCCATGGTCGTTGAAACACAATGCACCTTCAACGTAATTTGTTGTGCAGGCCTATGATTTGTGAGTCAGAAGGGTACAACTTCGATGTTATTAACCCGGTACTAGGTGCCATGGGATTATAACTAGGTACTTTAGGAACTGGGAAATCCAGGGGAAGAGAGTCCATTTCCATAAAACAGTTTCTGCCTCTCGCGTCAGTGATCAACGCTGCCCAATCCTCAGACTTCATCAGAGCAGATGCATTTCCCATCACCCACAGAGCTCTTCTCGCACGGGTAAGAGCAACGTTCATCCGCCGGATATCTGAAACAAAGCCAACCCCGTGACCTGAAGCACGCACACATGACATGATTATGACATCACGTTCTTGACCCTGAAACGCGTCTACTGTATTTATATAAATCTCTTTCAGTTCATCTTGGCCCAATGCATTGCCAAACTCGTGCTTCAGGCATTTCAGCTGCAGTTTGTACGGGGTTATTACTCCCACAGACACTTTACCCGCACCCAACGACTTCAGAGTTTTCTGAATATGCATGTACATCCCAACACAGAATCGAGCTTCATCAACATTCTCGTAAGATACAGACCCACCTCTATGAGACTCCCGCCCATGGCTAATATTGAAGAAAAGGTAAGGCCTAAGAACAGGATCTTTATAGTAAATCTCATCAGGAGCACTGGATATACTTTCACTGTCTTTGAGACGTCCTTGGTAGAAGTACCGTGAAGGAAAATCTCGAATTTGAGGATGCATTCTGTATTGAACAGTCAACAACAAAGTCGGACAACCTGCTAGCTGAAACCTTTCAAAGAGACTTCTACTATATAAAAGAGTTCCAGCAGCCTTGCTAATTACTGTCGCAGGAAGCTGCTGAGGATCACCGACAAGTACACATCGCGCAGCACCAAGAGCAAGGGGAGGAAGAACTCCAACCTCACTAGCTTGGGCAGCCTCGTCAATGACAACCATGTCGAAGCCATGGGTAAGACGAGAAAACAATTTACGACCACTGCTTGATACGGTGGTAAAAACAATTTCAGCCTCGTTTGCAAAACTTGCCTCAAGACTCGCTCGAGCTTCCTCTAGATTAAAATTGTTACGAGCACGAAACTTTCCCTCCACAATAAGAAGGCGAGATATTTCAACAAGGACTTTATCTCTGGCTTCAACCACAGCAGCAAGGTGCTGTAACAATGCATCTCTTTTCTGGTCTCTTGAGATAAGGACTTCAGGATCAACTCCAACAGATCCCTGAGAACGTGTAGCAAAAGCTGCAGCATTAAGTTCCCTTTTAAGTCCAGCTATATCTTGAGAAATCTGTGTTTCTTGTAGTCTGAGGTTATGCATGTGTCGTCGAATCTCGTCGCGGGATATAGCTAATAGCTGATCACTTCTTCGCTCCACAGAAACTGCTTGCGCAGCTCGCGTTTGAGAATCAACACCGACTCGAGCAACATCGGGACGATATACCTTCATCTCCCCATCAATGAAACCACGGTCGAGGACACGTGAAAGAAGTTCATCAGTTGCAGCATTCGAAGGAGCACAAACAAGCATCCTTGGTTTAGCACAGAGTTTGGGCAGGGTGCGGAACAGATTCTGGTCCATGTTTTGTAGGACTTCATCAATAGAGCCTGACAAAATATTATCTGAACTGCACTCATTAGCTTGATTATAGGTTTCAGGTGCTAATTTCTTCAGCAACGAAGTGTAATATTGTTGATACTGAACCAAATGGATAACATTCAACATTCCCCAAACAGTGTGTGTCTTGCCTGTTCCTGGAGGGCCCTGAACAAGAGTGAATGGCCATGGTTCTTGCTTCTTCACCCCACTACTAGTACCAGCTGCAGTATGCATTGCCGCCCAGTGGATTGCAGCCAGCTGCGGAGCATTAAAGCTTCTATGTAAATGGTCAACAAAGCTAGTAGTGAAACAATCAGGCGTTGCAGGGGTTTGCTCCTCGTAACTAGGAAACTGCTCCGGACTGGGATTGAGAATGGCATTTTGCATCTAACAAATACATCAAGTTTCACCAACATCAGCATATTTTAAAGCATCTATAGGAGATCTGTAGGAGAATAAACAAAAACCAACCTGTGGGTTAAGTCGAGAAAACGCATGAAGTGCAACATATTCCCTCTGTGAGGTTGCAATTGAACCAAGCACTGTTAGATGCCAGATGTCTTTAGGTTTAAGCTTCCGTAAAATATGATTATCATCAATCTTGCTGTAAAAATAAATGTTCCATGCAAATACATGGATGAGAGACTATAAATATTTGCTTTCAATTTCTGATAGTTCGTGAAAATAGAAGAAAGGATAGAAACTCAGATAGAGTATCAACAGACAGAGAAAGAACATACAACATATGAGCCTACCTGCCAGTGCCACCAGAATCTCCAACATAGAAATTAAGAGTAGCTCCAAGAGGGTCACGGGTATCAACTGGTATATGTCTCCTAACTTTACCAGCGACACGTCCAGCATCCTCATGGTCTTCATCTTAGCATAAAGAAGAGAAAAGTTATACAAAATGCAAAGAAGCTAGCAATATAGAAACAAACAGACATCAATGATCTCCAAACATACCTGATTCAGGCAGTGGAGTTGAAAGAACTGCAACATCTCCCTCCTTGAAAGCCCATTTACAGCCATTTAAGGAGACAAGTATTACATCATACCATCCTAAACACATAAACAAAGACTAGCAGTCAAGTAACTTAACAGAAACTTGAAAGTGTTTCTCAGACGGCCAGACATAAAAAGGTATAGAATAAGGTTGTCAATCCAAAGAAATATAAGAGAACAGTCTCCACAACTCAAACCTAATAGAGAACATAATGAACAAGCAAAATGAGGACCCTAATCAAGAGACTTGGTAAACTGCCCAAGATATAAGATCGTGAATCAAGGGCAAAATCATTTTCCTAGATAAACTGTGAGTTTACATGAAAACTTTCAGAAACAACGAGAAGAAACAAAGTCCAATAAACTGTTTAATAATGCAAAAAGTGTCTATGCATGCTTACACGTGTGAACAAGATCTAGTGCCAGTTACCTCTCTCTCTTCTTTCGATGGATTTTATTCGAACTTTCACATATGTATTTGCCTCAGCCAGTTCAACCCATGTACTGTAAAGTTGTGCTCGGCATTCCTCAAAAAGTAAGGGTTCAAAAACTCTGACATATTCCTCCATAGATTCAAATCGCTCAGGTACACTTCGGAGTTCGGTATCCTCTGATAGACAAAGAAATTTTATACAACAGGTAAATCAAACTAAATCGGGGGAAAGCATACACAATGAGCTAAAAACGAAGAAAATATATGTTTGGAAGAGATCAGCCAAAATCTTCCATGCATGCCAAATATCTACACTATAGTCTACAGAAAGACGGAAAATATATAAATCAAAAAGCGAACTAATACTCGATATTCACTTTTCTCTGATATACCATTCAGCATTTAGATATAGCATCTTCTCAGCGGAGGAGATTTTTAACCCCAATATAGTTTCAACCAGAGTGCCAGCCTGATAAATAATTACCACCAGGAACCAGGTCTAGTTGCAAAGCTAGACTTTATGTTCAATGCCTTAATTGGAAAGCAACAATAACAATGGTGGAAATAGATAGGGACGTATCTGCCACAACATAATGAAATTTCTATCAAAATCTATCTGAATCTTTCTCACTAGAGAGAAGCACGAAAAAAACAAGAACAAGTCGATCACCAAAATCACTAGAATTCTTCAATCTACTTTAACAGTACGATATATTCGTTGCAGCTTACATGTCTTTTGACTATTATGATTCTCCAGAGCCATGACTTCAGAAGCAGTAAATTTTACCCACATAAAAGTTTCTACCGTAAATCAAGATTCAATTACTTCTAGAAAAATAAGGCATATTCAAGAACATGTTCCATAGGTAGAAATGTAATATTTAACATACCAGGATGACGCCAGAACTTTTCGTTGGTCACCTCTCGTATAAGACGTTGCACTGACGTATCCTGATATTGGGTACTAGTTGTGGCTGGCTTCTTGAAAGATCTTTGGCTGTAAGAGACTTTTCCACTAGATGAATGACCGCTCTTGGGCTGCCGTAAATTAGCCGGCTGCTTCCAAGAAGCCTGCCTTGACACAGATGTTCCCATCCCTTCAGCAGAAGGTCCTTCATCCCCGCTGAACCTCCCAGGTTTACCAAGTAAACTCGAATTTGATTCACCATTACTTTCGGACTTCTGTTCAGCAGATTTTGGATGTATACTGCCATTAGAAGAGTAATCAACTGATTTTTGATCTCGATGGCTTTGGATTTCTCCTCCATACTCAGCAGGTGGATTAACTGCAGTGGAGCGTGTAACGACAGCCTGTGAAAAGTTCTGTCTCCTAGGTGTAGAAGTCTTAATAGTACCTGCTTGCTTAACATCTTCAAGATTCAGAAACATAGTCTGCCTATTTCGTTTCTTTCCCAACATTGCCTCTTTCTGTTGATCCATCTTTCTCTTCACTGTAGTATTAGCACACTTAACTGCATGACTTGCTTCAACTCCGTTAACCTCTCTCTGCTTCACCGTCAAATCTTGTTCACCGCCAGTTTCTATCATCCCCTTGTAGTCAGAATGATCTTGTGTGTTTTCCTTAACACTAGCATCAGAATCCATCAATTCACCTTCTTCTCTGCCATAGTCTCCACAAGTATTAGCGTTTGAAGACACAATAACATTCTTTGGTTGATTCAAATTCATATTATCATTTCCATCAACTTCTACAGGAACTTCATTAAGATCAAGAAACAATTTTTCTCGTGAACCCATTTCTTATATTCGTATAAAGGATCAAAAGACGTATCTCCTCTGAACTACACCAATTTCTGCAGAGAAAGATTAAACCCCAAAATCGAAACTAAGCATAGTGATCAAAACACTGATTCAGCGACCATGAATATAGATGAGATGATTATAAATGGAGCAAACACGCATTTTTTATTCAAGAGAAGTTCAAGATCGAGCAAACGAACCGGTATAACAGAGTCGGCGGCGGCGGTGGCGGCGAGTTTTAGTTAGGGTTTTTTAAAACGGTCCAATAAGAATGTGTTACGTGAGCACAATCGTAATCTCAGTCTACTCCGGCAATGATTGTACTGTGTCGAGTACGAATTTACGGGTCAAAGATACGAATTTGTCTTCCGATAACGCCGGCGACGAGGACCGGAGGTTTTGTTAAAACTTGTTTCTATAATTCGATATCGGAGGGGAGAGGAGGAATCTGGTGGTTTAGAGACTATGAGACTTTGTATGAGATTGAATTTTGGACCGTTGGATTAAGGGCAACGTTAAATCATCTGACGGTGTTTAGAACATGTTTAGGCGTTTAGCTTATGATTATGTGTAAACGCTTTGATGCTTATTTATAGGGAAGAAAAGAGTAATGTTTGCGTCATTATTCGTTTTTAATGTTCTTTTTGGAATACTAGATTAGGACCCGATGTGGGGGGTTTTAATTTTTTTTCAAATAAACTTAAATTAAACTTAACAAAAAGATATATTAGATTTTTACTGTGAATAGAAACTATATTTAAGACAATGAAGAAAAAAAATTAATTAAAGAGAAGATTTGTTTATATATTCATCATTTTATCTTAATACATTTATTTGCATTTCTATACTTTAATTTTTTTGGTATATTTATTATAAGAATCAAGTAAATTTAAATTATCAATCACCAAAACTTTTTTCCAAAATATTCATCATTCTTAATCTTGCCAAAACTCAAAAACATGGTTTTGCAATTTTGCCTATATATGATTCCACAAAATCTTCAGAAATATTGGATAAATTTCTAAAATACTACTGTTAAAACCAAAACTATCATTATTAGTTTAATATTTCAAAATACCACTTAATTTATGGTTTTTCCAAAATACTACAAAACTAAAATTAAACTTTCAACCTTCGAAACTAAACTCTAAACCCTATATAGTACTAAACTCTACGCCCTAAAAAAATATACCTTAAATCTAAAATAATCAACTCAAACCTAAAAATTTAAATTTTAGATCTTTGAAAATCAATTTTTGTTTTTGTGGTACTTTTGGAAAACCAAGACTTGTTTTGGTATTTTTGGAACATTATCTTGTTGTTATTTTGAACTTGTTTACTCATGTTTGTTTGATGATAGCTACTCTGAAAATTAAAAGAGTTACATAAACATATAAACACATATAGATATATATATATATGAGTAATATTATTTTTAGGCTAGCAATGGCTTTTTGAAGATCATTAACGTAACGGCAAATCAATAGTTATGGCGATATATTAATTATTGTGGGCTAAAAATTTAAGGAAATGAATTTCATTTATGTTAAACGATGTTGTAATGTGGTTGCAAACGATATTAATGATATATATTATTGTGGACCAAAAAAAATTAAAGAAGCGACTTTCACTCATATCAAACGATGTTGTAAGTTGTAATGTGGTTGCTCATTTTTTAACTAAAATGATCTTTCAAATACATTTGTTTCTATTATGGTTGTATTTATCCACCATTTTGGTTAACTTTTAGTATGTATCTTGCCCTAAAAACATTTCTATAGAGTTCAAGAGGTGTTTCAAACATAACCATTTCTTAACCCAAATAAAAACAAAAATTTGGGTACTAAACTACTAATCAAGTTAGCTTTGGGCCCAAACCAATTGTATAATCATCATTATTTTCTAATGATACATTATTTTCCAATTTGTATAATCATCATCTGTCCGACCACAAACTAGTCAAGAAGTTAGACTTCAAATCATAGTGCGATTTGGTTAAATGCAACAACGCATTTTATTCACACAACACAACCTGAAATATACGACAAATCACAAATCTAATCATATCTTAGTTTTTGACGAGGTCAAGAGAAGAAGATTCACATTAGGTCCTACTATACTTTTGTAACTTGTTTGACTTTTCCCCAATAAACAAACCAACCACAAAACATATCTCTTCTCTTTGATAATCTAATTCGCCATTGACAAACCAAACCTCACGGAGTCTTCTGCTTTTTAAAAGAAGAGTCTCTCTTCATAAATCATATGATCTCTCTCCATCTCTCTCTTTCCTCTAAAAGCTTTTCTCATGGTTTCGTTCTTGAAACTCTCTTCCTTCTTCTTCCTCTGTTTCTTCATCCATGGCTCTTCCGCCGTCGACACAATCTCCGGCGACTTTACTCTCTCCGGTGACCAGACAATTGTCTCCTCCGACGGAACTTACGAAATGGGTTTCTTTAAACCAGGTTCTTCTTCAAACTTCTATATAGGTCTGTGGTACAAGCAACTCTCTCAAACCGTCCTCTGGGTAGCCAATCGAGACAAACCAGTCTCCGACAAGAACTCATCGGTTCTCAAAATCTCCAACGGAAACTTGATCTTACTCGACGGTAATAACCAGACTCCGGTTTGGTCCACCGGTCTCAACTCCACCTCTTCCTCTGTTTCTGCTCTTGAAGCGGTTTTGCTCGACGACGGCAATCTTGTTCTCAGAACCAGCGGTTCCGGCTCATCAGCCAACAAGTTGTGGCAAAGCTTTGATCACCCGGGTAACACGTGGCTTCCCGGAATGAAGATCCGGTTAGACAAACGAACCGGAAAGAGCCAACGACTCACGTCGTGGAAGAGTCTCGAAGATCCATCACCAGGTTTGTTCTCTCTCGAGCTAGACGAGTCCACAGCTTACAAAATCCTTTGGAACGGATCTAATGAGTACTGGTCAAGTGGTCCTTGGAATAATCAGAGCAGGATCTTTGATTCGGTCCCTGAAATGAGACTCAATTACATCTACAACTTCAGCTTTTTCTCTAACTCCACGGAGTCATACTTCACGTACTCGATCTATAACCACTTGAACGTGTCCCGTTTCGTCATGGACGTGTCGGGACAGATCAAACAGTTCACTTGGTTAGACGGAAACAAGGACTGGAACTTGTTCTGGTCTCAACCTCGGCAACAATGTCAGGTCTATAGGTATTGTGGCTCCTTTGGCGTTTGCAGTGACAAGTCTGAGCCTTTTTGTCGATGTCCGCAAGGGTTTAGGCCTAAGTCACAGAAAGATTGGGACTTGAAGGATTACTCTGCAGGCTGCGAAAGTAAGACTGAACTACAATGCTCTCGTGGAGACATAAACCAGTTTTTTCCTCTGCCGAACATGAAACTAGCTGATAATTCAGAGGAATTACCGAGAACGAGTCTTAGTATTTGTGCCTCTGCTTGCCAAGGAGATTGTTCTTGTAAGGCTTATGCACATGATGAAGGCTCTAGCAAATGCTTGGTTTGGGATAAAGATGTCTTGAATCTTCAGCAACTCGAAGATGATAACAGTGAGGGGAATACGTTTTATCTTAGACTCGCTGCTTCTGACATTCCTAATGGTTCTTCCAGTAAAAGTAACAAAATGATTATATTTGGCGCGGTTCTTGGCTCGTTAGGAGTAATAGTCCTTGTTCTGTTGGTGATAATCTTAATCTTAAAGTACCGGAGGAGGACTAGAATGAGAGAAGAGAAGGGTGATGGTACATTGGCTGCGTTTAGCTATAGAGAACTACAGAACGCGACCAAGAATTTCTCAGAGAAGTTAGGAGGAGGTGGTTTTGGTTCGGTGTTCAAAGGGGCTTTACCGGATTCTAGTGACATAGCAGTGAAGAGGCTTGAGGGTATTAGCCAAGGGGAGAAGCAGTTTAGGACGGAAGTAGTGACAATAGGAACGATCCAACACGTAAATCTAGTGAGGCTTCGCGGGTTTTGCTCTGAAGGAAACAAGAAATTGCTGGTCTATGATTACATGCCTAACGGTTCTTTGGATTCTCATCTCTTCTCTAATCAAGTTAAAGAAAAGACCGTCCTCGGGTGGAAACTACGGTTCCAAATCGCGTTAGGGACAGCTAGAGGATTAGCTTATCTACACGACGAATGCCGAGACTGTATCATTCACTGCGATATAAAACCCGAAAACATTTTGTTAGATTCACAGTTTTGTCCCAAAGTTGCTGATTTCGGTTTAGCCAAGCTCGTGGGTCGAGATTTTAGCAGGGTTTTGACCACAATGAGAGGCACAAGAGGCTATCTTGCACCTGAATGGATCTCGGGAGTTGCGATAACAGCGAAAGCTGATGTTTACAGCTACGGGATGATGCTATTCGAGCTTGTTTCCGGGAGAAGAAACACGGAGCAATCAGAAAACGAGAAAGTCAGATTCTTTCCGAGTTGGGCTGCGACCATACTCACCAAAGATGGAGACATCCGCTCGCTACTTGACCCTAGACTAGAGGGCGATGAAGTGGACATAGAGGAGCTCACGAGAGCTTGTAAAGTGGCGTGTTGGTGCATACAAGACGAAGAGAGTCATAGGCCAGCGATGAGCCAAATTGTTCAGATTCTTGAAGGTGTTTTGGAAGTGAATCCACCGCCTTTTCCAAGATCAATTCAAGCTTTAGTCGATACCGATGAAGCTGTGGTCTTCTTTACTGAGTCTTCATCTTCATCAAGCCATAATTCTTCACAGAAACACAGCCATTCTTCTTCTTCCTCCTCTTCGAAGAAAACAACCAACAATGACTCTTCGGCTTAGTTAATAATGTAAACTCATATTTATCAATGTGTAATTTAATATAGTATATTATTTGTAACATGGCAAGGAAATCTCTGAATTTTCTTCCATTGTATATATATATATTTTTTTTTTCTTCCATTGTATAATTATTTATTTGTTACAAGAATGTTACCAAACTTGTGGAAACTTATATATATGTTACAAGAATTTTACAAATTTGATCTTTTTATAAACCAAGACCAAACCAAATAAGCAAGTAGAAAAACATTGATTACATTCATACTTAAGGACCAAACTCGATAGTTTTTTTTTTTGTGGTGATCATCAAGTCACTGATACTATCATACTATAGCGCCACTTTTACGTCATATCCTGCAAATATCATCATCTTTAGAATCACCTTTAAGGGTATTTCTTTCTATCTATATATCGACCGTGAAACATACGGCTGGAGATATATGTTCGTAGAAGTTCCAAAGGGAGATGCGATCTTTTTCAAAAGTAAGTTATATATATACACCTTTAACAAAAAAAAAGTTATATACATACACACACATAATATTTAACAAATAATTGATTCCAAAATGAAACCTATTTTTATGAGAACTTTTGTTTTCTAAACTAATATTAGTGGATACTACATTGCCAAAACAAAACATAAAAGTAATAAAGAGATACTTTATTTTGGCAGTTCCATCTGACTGTATATCGGATATATAAATGGATAGAAAATTTAAAGCTGGATAGTTCAAACTTTTGTAGATTCTTCGTAAAAACAAACTTTTTAAACTTCGAATATACGATAGAATCTGAAAACATGAGAGCGACACACTAAAGAAGTGGGATCAAAGTACTTAGAAATTAACTAATTATAGTAGGGTTATATGTTTGAGGAAATTACATATGAAGGATTGAAGGTGTGTGTGTATTATTAATTAAATCTTAGATCATACACAATGGTACAGTCTTTGGTTGGGTGTGAGTAATAAAAAAAGGAGAAAAAATAGAAAAGTTGTGTAGAAATTGTATGTTGGGTGTAAGTTTACACTTGGATGTGAGTATTAAAATAAAGAGAAATATTGCACTCTCTCTATCTCTCTTTATCTCTCTCTCTTTCTTCTCTCTCTCTTTAATTATAATAATAAAAAATTATTTACACCCACACTCACACATGTGCCATTGTGTATAGTCCTGGACATTCGGGTCGGGTCCATTCGGGTTTCGGGTAATTTGAGTATAGAGGTTGAGATCCATTCGGGTAATTTTACTATTTAGTTCGGATTCGGTTCGGGTTCGGGTATCTATGTGAGAACCGAGAAATACTTGAACTATTTTTGGATTCATATCGGATTTGGTTTTTTTACCCATATATATTCAATTTTATCCGAATTACTCGAAAAATTATCCGAAATACCCGGAAAAAAACTAAAACATTGGTTACTTTTTACCCAAATATACCCGAAAATATTCCAAAATACCCGAAAAAACTAAAATATTTGTTACTTTTTACCCAAATATACTCGAATTACTCAAGAGTATCAAATATATTTGGATTTATATTTATAATTTTGGGTTTTTTGTTATTATAAATATAAGTATTACTAAAAATCTTAGGTGTATACTTATTATTTTTTTTTTTTGTCAACATTTGGGCCACAACTGGCCGGCCCATTAGCCTAATTCCTACAAATTGTAGGGTCGGGGACTCGATCCCTGGTGTGATGGTGTCTGTCTTCTGTGGATTTGCCACTAGACCAAGATCACTTCACCTTAAGTGTATACTTATATTTCGGGTACGTTCGGGTATTGGATTCGGTTCGGGTTCGGGTTCGGGTTTTCGGGTATAGAAGTTTTAGACCCATTCGGGTATTTTTAAAAATCGGGTTCGGGTTCGGTACTCATTTTTTCGGTTCGGGTTTTCGGATTCGGTTTTTTTGCCCAGAGCTAATTGTGTATGCTCTTATGTGTGTGAGGACCGTTGACTTGACTTTAATATATACGTTCGACTTTTCAATTAACACGACTTTTCTTTGTTGTTGTATTAAGAAAGTTTTGGTAACGAATATTGTGTTTATATGTAATACAACTAGCTAAATACAACATTAAAATTATGGATAATACCATGATTACGATTCAAATATTCGTGGGAGTTTGTCTATACGAGAACAAATAAAAATAAATTGAAATCGTCGTGGGGGATTCTTTTACACAAACGCGCTTCGTGTCACATGTGACATGATTCCACTCCTAAACCAAAAGCCGGTCCAACCAGATTAACAAGTTCAAGTCTTTTAAAGTTATAAAACGGTACAAAACTATATAAAATTAATATATTTTGGTCAAAACATGAACATTTTATCTTATATATAATAACCAAATATCACAAGTACTTAAAGACACCAAAGAGCTTCATCTTATCTTCTTCGTCTATCAGTCGATTGCCGGCTCAGCTTCCCTCAGCTTCGGTTTGATCGGCAAACCAAAGCCTTCTCGTCGAAGGTTGTCTTCGTACCAAAGCTTCTCTGCAAGCTTGTAATTGAGTCGGAAAGGGTATGGACGATCTATCTCAGCCACGTTAACAAAAAAATTATAACCATTCCTCACTTGCACCGCCTACAAGATATAAAAGATCAATCTTTACTTTCAGCATATCTTTTTCCAAATCATAACTAATAAATGACTCCTTCAATACTATGAACTACTCTCACCTTCTTTGCTTCATCAGCAGAAGCAAACTCAACAAAGCAACAGCCCACATGCTCACCCCAGTGGTCTACAATAACTCCAGCACGAACAACTTCTCCAACAACTTTGAATAACTTGATCCTGTAATAAATGGAGGATAAAATATCAGTCTTGCTCCAAGAACGAAAGAGGAAATTAAAGCTGCTACTTACATATTTGGTATGTTACAAAGACCACTCTTTTTCATATTGCGTTTGGCCACAAAGACCGTCTTTTTCCTTAAGGCAACATCCTGAATTTAATAGCCAAGGGTGTTACAGGAGAAAAGGACTCCAATTGCATAATAACAAAAACCTAGACGACGAATATGTCATCTTTCTACTTTGTGGCAACAATAATTTTTCTTCAAGATAATAACAAGAGGTACCTCAACAAAATCGAGTCCTTCTACTGCTGCATCTTCTATTTCTCCTTGTTCAAGGTAGTCTTCGTACCTGGAATACATCAAAAAACACTTGTGATCTATACCAAAAACTTAGCCCAATGTGCTCTTGATAACAAACCCCAAAATGCAAATAGTGAGATGCCTTACCAAACCATGTGATCTAAGCAATACCTAGTTTAACCAAAATAAGAAAAGAAAAGAAAAACCAGAGCATTAGTCTTCCTTCTGTAATGGCATCAAAACTCTAGCATTAAGTTACAACCAGTGTTACATAAACAAATCTCCATAACATGGAAAATCAATTTACTTGGTTTTTGAAGTGTCTGCGTCTTTTGAAGTGTCTGCGTCTGTCTTAGCAAAAGCAAGAGCAATCTCGCGATTGTGCAAATATTCACCCTTCTTCTTTTCCAGCGCCTACAGAATAAAAGATTTAATCAGTAATCCTACTTTCAAATAACATCCTAGGTATACACTAGTGAAATTACTTTCATCATTACTATATAACTACTCTCTCACCTTCTCTGCTTCGTTAGCAGAAGCAAACTCAACAAAGCCAAAACCCACCATCCTGCATCTTTGGTCTACAATAAGTCGAACATGAACAACTTGTCCAACATCTTTGAAGAAATTGATGCTGTAATAAATGGAGGATAAAATATTAGTCATGAAAAACCAAACTTGTTCCAAGAACCAAAGTGTAAATTAAAGGTGATACTTACATATGTGATATTTTTGTTGTTATGGGAGAGAGATTGGTAACAAAGAGTGTCTTATTTCTTATGGCAACTGCCTGGGAAACAGCCAAGTGTGTTAGCACGACTCTCAAGAGAAAAGGACTTAGATTCAATAACAAAAAAAAAGTAGCCGAACAATTGTGATATTTTAAACACTAAGCGTTTAAATATAATAATAAGAGGTACCTCAGCAGAATCTGGAGTTCCATCAAGTCCTTGCATCAAGAAAATCTTATGATCGTGCAAGTATTCACCATTCTTATTTTCCAGCGCCTACAGTATATAAAAGATTTAATCAGCTATCGGATAACTAGCTGTATACTTTTCAAATCACTTTAAAACTTCTTTCATCATTACTAGAAAAAAAAAACTACTCACCCACTTTGCTTGGTGAGCAGTAGCAAACTCAACAAAGCCATAGCCCACATGCTTACCCTCCTGGTTTACAATAAGTCGAACACTAACAACATCTCCAACATCTTTGAAGAAAAGGGTGCTGTAAGTAAAAGTAGAGGGCAAAAATCAGTCTTGATCTGAGAAGGAAAGTGGAAATTTTTAAGGTGCCTACTTACATATGTGAAAGTTTAGTTGTTTGGGGAGAGAGATTGGCAACAAAGAGTAGGGCAGATTCCTGAATTTAACAGCCAAGTGACGACAATAATTAAATTGCTCAACAACAAAATAAATCATTTCTTGACTTTCTCTCGTTACACGCTAAGCTCTGAGCTTGACATATTCTGAAGATAATAAGAAGAGGTACCTTGACAGAATTCGGATCTTTTCCTATCGGAAGGCGGCAATCTTGTTGTTCAAGGTAGTCTTCTTCGTACCTGCAAAAACCCTTGTGATGGATCTCTCTATGATAACAAACAAACTCAAGATGCAAATAATGAATTAAATCCCTTACCAAACCTTGTGATCTATGCAGAACCTAATTTAACCAAAGAAAAAAATAGCGTTAATCTTCTGTACTAGTGGCATAGCAGTTTTGTTACACAAGATAAATCTCAATTTACTTGGGTGGAAAGCATCGGGATCCCTCAATAGCCACAGCAGGAAAAATCTTGCGATTGTGCAAATATTGACCCTGCTTCTTTTCCAATGCCTAGAGAGAATGAAAGACTTAATTACTACTAGTGAAAAGACTTTTCATCCATCATTACTAGTATAAATAATACCTTCTTTGCTTGGTTAGCAGAAGCAAACTCAACAAATGCTCCTCGGTCCAAGCCCTGGAGGTATGTTTCAAGTCGAACACGGACAACTTGTCCAATATCTTTGAAGAATTCGATTCTGGAGGATAAAATACTATCAGGCATGAAAAACTAAACTAGCTCCGACAAGGAAAGGTGCTACTTACATATCTGATATTTCAGTTTCGCGAGGGAGTTTGCCAACAAAGACCGGCTTTTCTGCTTCCTGAATTTAACAGCCAGCACGACTCTTGTGAGATAAAGGCCTGAGATAATAAGAAAAAGAAGAGGTACCTTAGAGAATTCGGGAGTTTCATCAACTCCTTCCACTGTCTCTGTCTCCTGAGATAATAAGAACCAAGATGCTTAATTGAACATAAAACTTGCAAAATATATCTAACACTTACGGCGGCAGTAGCTTCTGAGATTAAATTAGCCTCATCAGACTTTGTCTCCGACAACTCGACACTTGCTTCAATCTGCTCTTTCGTTGTCTCCTCCTCCTTATGTCTCTTCGGCATCGATTTGGTCTCCAAACCATCTTCCACCTTTCGCTTACCAAGTAAATTAACTTGGGCGGCCGATTTGTGGCTAGAACTGGCCATGGACAAGTGAAAACGGCGGCGGTTTATTTTCCGGGAAGAGTTGAGCAATCAGTTAAAATAAATAAATAAAACCTAGAGACATCCACCGAAGATCTGTGGGCTGGGCTTTTATTTGCTGGGTTTATATGCATCAATCATGACTTTCGTGTTTTGTTCTCTCTCCCTCCACCAGTATCTAAAAAGTTTGTATTAATGTGATACCATTTTTATTCATCTACTAAAAAGTTGTATTAATGGTTGTTCAAATATTGTTTTGATTCAAATGTCCCGAATTCTTAAGAGAACTTTCCATTGCTTGACACTCATTATATGAAAATGTGTGAGAAATTCACATGTAATCTAATCATAAAAATCATTTAGTTAATTACAAATAATAAGTTTGGATGTATGTCATGCTATTATGTTTTTCAACATATAAATTATTTATAACTAGTGTTGTGCCCCGTGCTTCGCACGGTCGAAACGTTTACGTGAAGAAAATCTTATCTTATTTTAAAATTAGTTTTTTTTTTTTATCTTTATCTGATTTTGAGATAATTAAAAAAAATTATTTGATTATTTATGATTTATTGTGACAAACATAAACATAATTTAGAGGCACGATGTTTTCATTGTGACAAACATAATCAAAAATTTATATGCACGATGTTTTTATCTGAATAAAAACATAAACTTAATTTATTTATTTTTACCAGAGAGAGATTATAGGAAAATAGAATAAAAAGAAATGTTAAGGTTTTCCTACAAAATTGGGATCGTGGGAGGTGGATAGACCATTTTGATAAGTTTAAGTGATTTTTTTTTTCTTTTTTTCTTTTTTTTTCTCATATTTCGTCATTAAAATGTTTAAAAAAAAGTAAAGTGAGTGAATTTGAGACTTAAGACACGTGTCAGATAGAGAGAGCTGCAGTTTTTAGAGAAGTGACTTGTGATTTATTATAATAGGATTTTCCAAATTAACACGCGATTTATACATGTTCTACGTTTTTTTTATTGAACACGCGGATGTAAAGGTTTGGCTGTCATGCTATTATGTTTTTGAACATGTAATTTATTTATATGAAAAGTAATTTTCTAAATTAACACGCGATTTATACATGATCATCTAACGTGATGAATAGAAAGCAAAACGACATTTTTTAGTAATACCTCAAAAATTTGTATAAAAATATTTGTTCAAAAAAATGAATTACAAGTAAAATGAAAAATTATATTTACTTTCTTTATTTCCAATTAGGAGTTTATATTTAAACCATTTAAAAGAGATTTAATTCATTTTAATGTTAAATTTATGGTATTATCGGAAAAAAAAACTAATGATAGTACGTTTAGAACAGAATTATAAAATATTAAAATGTGGTATTTTGGAAAATTACCTTCTTTTTTTTTTGACTAATCACATCACTGATTTATCTTTAAATGCTATGTGATTTGTTTATACTAACAATTATAAAATTAAAACATTTACTTCCATAATTCAGTGTTTTTATTGACTTTTTTACATTGAAAATTTCAACAAATAGTGTACCGATTTACTAATGTTAAAAAAAAAGTATATTGATTTACCAAAAGATATTTTAAAAATCTAATGAATATGACCATGAAAAAGTTTAGAAAATACAATAAGGGTTATACCGCATATTATTTTTTATTTCGTATGGTTGTTGTGCATTTATATTGGAGATGGAGGGTAAAATTTCAAAATTGATGAGTTGAAAGTTTTTTTTTTTTGGCAGAAAATCCTAGTAAAAAACAAAATTATATTTCAATGTGGTACAATTAGTTAAAAGTCTTAACTTAATATCTAGCCAATCATAGTCAAATTACAACAGAAAAAATGGTAAGATAACAAAGTAGAAAAATGGTAAGATAACAAAGTAGCATTGAATCTTCCTCTCTGACTACCTAATTCAAAGTTTCAAACTAGATAAGAATCAATACATTCAACTTAATATAAAAACACCTATGCATCAAAGTATCATAAAATCTATATTTCTAATACACAAATAGAGTTAATAACAATGAAGGGGGTGACATTTCACAGTTTTTGTTACTCTTACTCCAAGCTGTGTCTACTTGTGATCTTATTGGCGTACGGATCCGCCGAAGGGGATGAAAACTCCAGCCAAATAGCTAAGGGGGTGTTATTCATTCATGGAGTTAAAGTCAATTCTTAAAGGTTTAGATTTGATTTCTGATATTGTTTTTAACAATCTGTTTGTGTGGAGTTCAAAATCTCTGTAGTATATTTTGGATTATGATTCTAATAATTTACTCATGAAATCCAAAGATGTTTCATTTCAAATGATTTGATATACAAAGATTTTACAAGTCTTTTAGTTTTGAATAACACTGGATTTTAATGAAGCATTTTAAATCTTAGTTGAATAACACCAAACTTTAAAATCTATTAGAGTTAGATTTAGAATCATTAGGTTAATAACACTGGATTAGTGTTGGATTTCAATTCTATTAAAATCCATCATTGAATAACACCACCTAAAACTATAATCGTAAATCCAAACGATGCTAGATATTACAAAACGGTCCAAAGTGCAATCGACTCTATCCCTCTTCAAAACCAAAATTGGATCCGTATCCTCATAAGAAGTGGTATTTACAAGTAATGTATAATTTTACTTTTTCCAAGACTTCATATGATTTATCTTGTCACATTTTCTTACCAATTGATATGGTTTAACAAGATTTAAAATTTTACGAATTGTCAATAATACGATATATATAGAGAGAAAGTAACAATACCTGCGGATAAAGGATACATATATATGCAAGGCAGAGGAATTGAAAAGACGATAATAGCTTACGGCGATCATCAACAAACCGATACTAGCGCCACTTTCACGTCCTATGCTAGCAATATCATCATCACCGGAATCACCTTCAAAGTACGTCTTTTATTGTGAATTTATTTGATTTCAAATCAATTTATGTTTTTTAATCTAACATACTATATCAAATCAATTCATTGTCAATTTATTTGATTTGAAAGGCATATGATTCGTATAAATCCGAATTCATAAGACCAACTATTTTAATTAGCAGTCCGTTTATAATAGTTTATGATGAATATGCAGATATATAACTAAAATTTTGATTAGTGGATTTCAATTTTGTCTAGAATACATATAATATCGCATCGATTAGCTCTTTAGCAACACCAACCAAACCAGCGGTGGCTGCGAGGATGCTTGGAGACAAATATGCAATAATCGATTCTAGTTTTGATGGTTTTCAAGATACACTTTGCGATGGTTTAGGCAGACACTACTACAAACGATGTGTTATCTCCGGTGGCATAGATTTCATTTTTGGCTATGCCCAATCCATTTTTGAGGTACACATAGATATATATTATCAAAATCTACTGTTTATATTTCTCGTACGAATAGAATATCTAAAGATTCGTTACCAACCTTATATGTTGCACAAGTAAATTTAGTTGAAGAAACTATTAAAAAGTTTAAAAGAGTAAACATTTTTGGTATTGATCATGAGAGCACTATGGAAATTAAAACCGAAAATGAGAAGAAGATAATCGTTTTATTAGCTAGTACTTTACCATATAAAGATAAATCTCTTAATAAATTGAGTAATGTTTAATGTATAACAAAAAGGGGTGTACTTTGAAATTAACGATTGGAATCTACCCACCAAACGAACCGTATGGAACGATAACGGCACAAGGAAGACAATCGCCAATGGATAAAGGAGGGTTCGTGTTTAAGGATTGCACTGTTATTGGAAATGGCAAGATTAAGGCGTTATTGGGACGAGCGTGGGAACCTTATGCACGTGTCATCTTTTACCATTCTAATTTTGGCGAAGCTATTTTGCCAATTGGTTGGGATGCTTGGAACGGAAAAGGACAAGAGTATATAATCTCTTACCTTTTATTACATTTTCATATGATATTTCATATTTTTTAATTATGTTTATTGATAAAAAGAAAGCAAAACGATATTGTTTTAGGGAGCATATAACGTTTGTGGAGTTTGGTTGCACTGGAGTTGGAGCGGACACGTCAAAGAGAGTGCCATGGCTCAAGAAGGCAAGTGAAAAAGACGTTCTTCAATTTACGAATCTTACCTTTATTGACGAAGAAGGTTGGCTCAGTAGGCTTCCCATCAAATTGTAGAGGTATTAATATGGATTAGTTTGTTCGTTTAAGCTCGTTCGGTCTTTGATAGATTAAAAACCTGTAATATTAAAAAGACTAATGTAAGCATTTGATTGACGTCACGCGATCGTATTATAATCGTGATTTCAAATTATAATGAGGTTTATTATTTTACTTACTTAAATAAGAGTAAAATAGTTTTTGTGTAAACTCATTAATGCTAATTTTGAAAATTTATGGAGTGTGTTATAATTGTCAATAACACTTATTATAGTGTTATTTTAAGATATATTTTTTTCATTTATAATTCATGCGTTTTTTAATGGGTTATAATACGATAGAGCCATTATACAAATCAATAGGCTATAAACCTCTATCAATTACTATATTGTATTGAAAGCGATTGTAAATCTATCATTGATATCGCTATAGCAACATTTCTATTGATGGCTTATATCAAGACATTTTGTATTGGGCAACCTTATTTCAAACATTTTCTTTCTCTTTGCAAAATGTTTTTGTAACGAAGTGGCACATACGTTAGCTGAATTACTACTTCTTTTTATTTTGGATGTGTTGATCCTCCTTTCTGGATCTCTGAACTCTTGTACCATAAACGTTTTTACTCTTAGTGTAAGTTATTAAAAAAATATTTATTTGTCGGGTAAAAAAAGTTACTATATTGTATATGATTTTTTTATATGATGGGAATTTATATACTTGGATAATAACACAATGACAATACTAACAAAAATTACTTGATTACCTTATCCAGTTTTTGTTATTAGACTAACTCTTCCTTTCTCTATTTAATTACAAAAACATGATACTACTTTATTATAAAGAAATAAAGCAATAATTGCCAAAAAGGGTAATAAAGCGATACTTTTTATTTTGGCACATCTATTTGGCTACATCTTTGATAAATCATTATAAAAAAAACTTAAAGCTGAATAGTTCAAAAATATTTTAATATCTTCGTAAAATTACGCTTTAAAAACCTTCGAATATACGATGGAATCTGAAAACATGACCGCAACACACTGAAGAAGTGGGATCAAAGTACTTTAGAAATTAACTAATGGTGTGTCGTGTGTGTATTAATAAATTCATATTTGTGAATGGACAGTTGACTTGATTTATACGTTCGACATTTTTTTTTTTTTTAATCAAGATTTGGTAAAAATTTATTGTGTTTATATGTAATACAAAATTAAAATTTCGGATAGTATCATGATTCCAATATACCAGAACAAATTAAATTAAATGACACTGTCGTGGTGAGTAAATGGGTGGCACGATCTTTTAATCTTTACTTTTAACTTTTAAGTAATGTCGAGCAAATGATTAAAGAAATGGAATTGGAGAGCAAAGTAGATCATAAATTTTATAGGTAACTTCATTAAAAGCAGTAAAATCAATTTACTTACATAGAAAACCAAAATATATATATGATGATCATATTATCTATCATGTATGGATAATCAAGTTTTTAGTACACAATTATGACAAATGGTCTTTAAAACATCTAAAATATTTGAATCTACAGACTGCAATAATTTGATTTTCAAATTTAAATCTAGACCTAATATTTGAATATAATATTAGACTAAAAACTATTTTACCAATTCATATAAAGACATAAAAATAAGTAGAGGTCAATGTCCACTTGTTTGAGAAAATGGGATAAAAATCATTAGAGCCTGTAAACAACCCACACTAATCTTTTTTAATATTATTACAACCTGTTTTAGACTTTTTAGTTATAATAAAAATTTCGTATATTTTTTTCCCTTAATTAGCCATAATAAATCTAATGGTTCCGCTAATGCTAGCTATAATGCAATACTGATATTTTTCTCAGCTATATTGATATTCTAATGCCACTAAAAATTAAATAAATAGTTCAAAGAGTCTTTAGACTTTGGTATATTTTACAAATAAAAAGACTTTTGTAATGTATTTTTAAAATTGTAGAAAACTATTAATTAAAAAAATTGTATTTCTGAATTTGATCAAGACAATACGAACGTAAGCTGGAATTAATTTTTTTATATTTTATATTTTATTTTTAAAACAATCTAACATGCTTTCCTTTGACGGGACACCAAATTGACCAGCCAACAAATCGACGATGACTTACATGGTTTATGGATGGCCATAAAAATCCCAACCACACTCAATTTTTTACCAACGTAAATGCGAACCGAATGTAATATTAACCCAAACGATATGATTTTCTTGTACCGGTGAAATCAAACCGAATTTAAATGATATAAATACTAAACATAAATCATAGTAATAATTAAACTCAACTAATTCTACATTTTATTTTATGTTTTCTTTCATCAAAACCGAACCGAACCTGAACCAAACCAAATTGAAATAAAATTCAGTTCAAACCAGATCGAACTGAACCGGGGAAAAAAAAAGAATGTTAAAATTGTATCTAACTAATATAAGTTTAATTACTTAAAATACAATTACGAATAGCCAATTATAACATTACACGTTTAAGTAATAATATAATAATTCTAATTATTCACCTCAAAATATTTACTTCTGTTTTTGAACCGAAGAGACTTCTTCGTCTTCTTCGTCTTCTTCGTTCTTCGTCGTCTTCTGTGTACAGACATACCTCCATTTTATAGAGAGCGAGCAAGAGAAAAAACAAAGAGAGAGAGAGAGAGAGATCAGAAGAAGAAACGAAATTGTGGAGGAGGAAATATTCATAGAAGAAAATTGAAAATTACCTAGAAGGAAACGTTTCAAGTTCTTCTAAGTTAGTAGCTCTCAATTCTTCGTTCGTTGAGAGCTTGGAAAATTTTCTCGGAGTCTAATTTGTTTCACTAGATCTTTGGGTGAAAGCAAACAAGGTCGCGAAGACGAAAGCTCTCGACGTCTTTCGGATCTGATTCCGTTTGGAAGATTTTTCCAGGTTCAATTTTGCTCGGCGTTTTGATTATTTGTTTGTTAATTTGGAATTTTGTGCGGACGATGAATTGGCTTTAGAGAGGATCCGATTTGGTTTAGGATTTCGTTTGATCTCGTTCCTGATTCAGTTAATTTCTGGGATTTGGAAGCATTTGTTGACTGAGGCAATGCTCGTGGTTGTGTGTAGGTTTTGGCTATAAGAAGCTGTGATGCTGGTGATTTTGACTTTTCTTGGTTTGGATAGAGTTAGGAATTGATGATTGTTGTACTTATTTGAAATGGTCTCATTGACATTGTCAATTTATTCTCCTGTAGATGTGGATTTGATTCTTTTGTTAGGTCATCATAACAAGTTTCTTAAGCTAAAATGGTGAAATTGTGTTGTTTCTCTTCAGGAAAAGAAACATAACTTTGAGAATTATCATCTTCAATAATCTAGGTTTTCAATTTGAGTTTCACACTTTTAGTGTGACATTCTTTTTGTTTCTTTTGCTGGCCAGTTTAGATAAACTAGAGAGAGAATCGAATTTAAAGATTTAGTTTTCAGAGTTGTATCTTATGCTCTTCTTTGGTTTAATTATCTTCTGCTATGTATAGATTTCTGATTTTGTCAGATGGGTTTTTGCATGTAACTTTTAGGTTTCTACTGGTTCTAGCTGCCAAGTGGAATTGACTCATTTTAGCTGAAGAAACTTGTTCGTCCAGATTTGGGAGTGGTTTAAAGGAATATTTGAGGTTGAGGTGTTGCGGTATGCAATAAAGGTTTTTATGAGATGAAGGCATTCAAGGGATGGCGTCTAGGCAAAATCAATTATATGCAGTCTTTGCCTGGGGCTCGCCATCGTGCTCCTACAAGGAAGCCAGTATGGATCATCGCAGTGCTTTCACTGATAGCAATGTTTGTAATTGGTGCTTACATGTTCCCTCATCACAGAAAAGCTGCTTGTTATATGTTTTCATCTAAAGGGTGCAAGGGACTAACTGATTGGCTTCCACCATCACTGAGGGAATATTCGGATGAAGAAGTTGCAGCTCGTGTAGTGATTAAGGAAATTTTGAGCTCCCCTCGTGTTATAAAAAAGAGTTCTAAAATTGCATTTATGTTCTTAACCCCAGGTACATTGCCTTTTGAAAAGCTATGGGACCTCTTTTTCCAGGTATACTTTATCTCTTCCCAACTTCTTTTCCCCGCATCAATTGTTTTAGATGTTTCCTTCTGGCTAATAAGATACTGATGATATGAAGTTCAGTGAACTCATTTTAAGTTTAGGTTGGCCTTTTATGTTAACAATTCTTCAAAATGTAGACTTTGTCTAGAAAATCGTTTAACAACTTGGATGCAGCAAGTGCCTTATGAACACTTGCAATATGTTTAGTATCCCTGCTTTTGTTTCATTCTTTCTTTGAATTATTTCTTTCACTGACTGTTTTCGGCTTTTACCCCTCCTCACAGGGTCATGAGGGGAGATTCTCTGTTTATATTCATGCATCAAAGGATACTCCGGTCCACACCAGTCGTTACTTTGTTAACCGTGAGATTCGAAGTGACGAGGTATGTCTCTTTTTCTGGGTCTGATGTCTATATTTGTAGTCTTGTAAATATCATGTGATCCCTCTCTACGTTCATGAAAAGAAAACACAATTGGTCTGGAATGTATCATGAATATCTCTTGCTTCTGTAATAATTTGCATGATTGTGGTAAAAGAATCATATATGTTATCTGAAGGTGGTCTGGGGTAGAATATCAATGATTGACGCCGAACGACGTTTGTTGACCAATGCTCTTAGAGATCCTGAAAATCAGCAATTTGTTTTACTCTCTGATAGGTAATCTCAGAAACTTTATTTCTCTTCTCACTGATTATTCTGAGGTTTCCCTAACCAACCTGAGTGTTTCTGGTTTTGCAGTTGTGTGCCACTTCGAAATTTTGAATACATGTACAACTATATGATGCACAGCAATGTCAGCTATGTTGACTGGTAAAGTATTTGTTCAAGTTACTGAGATTTCAGAACTATAATTAATTACACATGTTGCCAGATTTCTTCTTGACTTCTCTATACTTAAATATGATATTATTTTACTCTTCAGCTTTCACGATCCTGGTCCACATGGAACGGGCAGACATATGGACCACATGTTGCCGGAAATTCCAAGGGAAGATTTTCGAAAGGGTGCACAGGTATATCCAGTATTAAGCTTGCACACTCTGAAAATATATATGCAAGATCACTAAAATACAAAGACTCAGATATAAGAAATCAGTTCTGTGTTATCGTTGGAACCATTTGATGCGACAAAAGGCTTTTAAGTAGAACTGTTTGTGGACTAGTTATAGCAATAGCATATGTATGCTCGTATGCACCATATTACATCAGCATTTAGAAACTGGAATTTTTTTTTGAAGCCTAAATTTTTCCTTGCTAGTGATGAATTGATACTTCCTAGTATTGATATCATCAATTAAACACATTTGATCTGCATATTTGATCCATTCATCTTTATTGGGAAGCATTTTGATCAAGTTCGGCTACATTTACCGGAATTAGAGAGTTTCTCGACAAGTTTTCATCGCTTAGTCAATTAGCTTTATATCTATGCAGTGGTTCTCCATGACGCGTCAGCATGCTGTAGTAACTGTGGCAGATAATCTTTACTACTCTAAATTTCGGGACTACTGTGGGGTGAGTATGACCTAACCCTCAAAATAGATGGAAATAACCACATATTAATAGGAAGGCCATTTTTTTTTCTTCAGCCAGGTGTAGAGGGCAACAAGAACTGCATCGCGGATGAACACTATCTGCCAACATTTTTCTATGTGAGAATCCATTTTGACTCTAAATAGAAAGAAAATGTTTGATTTTTTTGTACTTTCATTATCCATAATATACCTATGGTCTGATAAATTTGGCAGATGCTTGATCCTACTGGCATTGCTAACTGGACTGTGACATATGTTGATTGGTCTGAGAGAAAGTGGCATCCAAGAAAATACATGCCTGAAGATGTCACGCAAGAGTTAATTAAGAACATCACGGTATCATCACTAAACCGCTATGATCTCTTAAAATCTTTCTTGACTATTACCTTGCTTGCTTCCATTGAGATAACTAATCAGTATGCCGTTTGATCCATTTACAGTCCATTGACGCAGTTTCACGCGTAACAAGTGAGAAAACGGTACACACTTTTAAACCCAAGTCATCTCCACCTGTAATTAGTTGCAAAGTTTCCAATTTTTTTTTTCCTTACCGAGTTGCTAATCTGCCGCTTTTTGATACCTGCAAATATAGGGAGTAGTATCATGGACGCATTGCATGTGGAATGGAATCAAAAGACCTTGCTATCTCTTTGGAAGGAAGTTTCATGCTGATACACTCGATAAACTGATCGAACTCTTCTCAAACTACACAAGCATCGCATAGGGCTTTCGAGCAATTTTGATTTATTGATGAAATGCCATGCAAAGGAGGTATTCTTTTGACTCGGATTCTTTGACCAACGTTCAGTTATACCCATGAGTCAAATTAAAACTTGATGCATTATCATGGAACCCCTAGAAGCTGTATCTTGCTGCGAGCAGAGAAAATCGTGTGATCTTGAGAAGCTTAGGAAGTGTTTTGAGGGTTTTTCATTAAGTTAGGGGACGTTGGGACATTTTAACTCATCTGTTGTCACTACATCTCATTGTTATTTATAGAATTCTCAGAGTGCCTTTTGGTTTTTCTCTCTTTTTGTTGGAACACTTTTGTTGAAAATGAAATGAAAACAAGACATGAGGTTTATACAGTTTAAAAAACTGGGCATTTGATCATATATTTGGAGTTTTATATCGATAATTAATTATACAAACTGCTATATGAAGCATTTTCCTCTTTTTATCAGACACAATTCTCTAGAACTACCCTCTTATTACTGCATATTACAAAAAAAATAATATTACAAAACCCACACGATTTGTTCATCGCCGATGTCCTAGAGCCACCACCGGAATCCTGACCTTATGCCCTCTACTACCTTTCAACTTCACCTCCCCGAAGCTGTATACTCCAGAAACCGATCTCTCGGTCATAGTGACTGAGAAGGTTCTAGAAGCGCCTGGTCTGAGTGTCATTGCTGGTGGGTTCACTTCGATGGCGATAGACGGCTGCATCCTAGCTGTTATTGTGTATGTTTCTTCTACCTCTGCCACATTCGTTACTCTCCTTGTTACGGTCTGGGTCCCCACAAGGTGAGAAACTGCTATAGATGGTGCATTAAAGTTTGAAGGATGTTTCATGTCGTAGTTACAGGGCGTGTTTGTGTAATTTCTTATCTCGTGGGCACTGATCCCTGGCGTTGTGCATAAGAATCCTAGATAGTCCTCATAACCTACAAGAGAAAATCAATTGGTCTTATCAACCAGAGATCAACAATCTTTGGTACATCATTGATAAGACATATATAAGTGATACCTGCATCAAAGATAAGACCAGGATCTAAAGCAGCACTTGGATTGACATGACCACTTCCATAATCGAAAGGAGTAGCTTTAACAAGCGTTACAGCCTCAGTGTCTGAATACTGCTGTGCTTGAAGAAGCCTTCCTGCTCTATCTATGACTGTTGAGGTTGTCATCAAAGCTGATTTGATAGCAGCTGGGCTCCATTGAGGATGCTTTTGCTTCACAAGCGCAGCTATCCCGGCTATGTGTGGTGCAGCCATGCTGGTTCCTGATATTAGCGCAAATCCTTCACCTGCTCAATATCCCAAAGAGACCTCAGTTCTGATTCAAAAGAATCGCCACATGTTAGATTCAGTACTTTGAATGCTTACCAACATAATTGGGTTCATCTGTTCCATTTGGACACCAAGCAGCCCATATTAGATACCCGGGTGCAAGAATATCCGGTTTAAGAAGATCAGCATCTTGAAAGCTGAAATCTTTGGTGTTGGGTCCTCTAGCTGAGAACAATGCCACTTGAGGTGCTGATTTGTGAAGAACGGGTGCTAAGCCATCTCCAATGCTTCCCTCGGCTTTAAAGCTTTTTACTCGTCCTGTCCAATCCCTTGATGTACTGGCATTGTAGTAATCTATCAAATCCTAAAGATGCAAAAAACAGCATTTCAGATTGAGAAATTAGGCTGAGAGTAAGTGAAAGCATCAAAACTCTCATTACCATTGACTTAGACACATCTGTAATCAGGATTCCTGGAATGGCAGAAGGAACTGGATCGAATTTGGTTCCCGGAGATACATTTTCAACAACAAGAACAAAACCAGCAGCACCAAGATGCTTAGCGGTTGCAACAACTTTCTTGATGGAAGCTGTACCAACAACAAAGTTGAATGAATATCCACATAGAAGAATGTTTCCCTCAACCAATTTCTTGTTAAAGACTTCTGGCCTCTGGCAATCAGATGGATTATACTTTGAAACAGATGAATCCAGCAGAACATCATTTGCAGAAACCAAAGTGTACAATCGATGAGGGCGAGTTGGTGCTGCAGAAAATACGTAACAACTCATCAAAAACATGAAAATATAAACTCGGTATCGGTCATGCCAAATTGGAAATAACATTCTTTTTACTTACGGGATAAGCCCATCCCAGCAAGCATTTTTCCATTCCCAAGGGTCAGATGATTTTTGTATCTGCGATCATCAATTGCAGCGGCGACAGTAGTTATCCAGGGACTATATGATACCAAAGTTTTTGGAAAGGGTCCTCCGTTTCCAGCAGCTTGAGCAACGAAAACACCAGCTTTTACGGCCCCAAGAAGAGTAGCATCAAATGGATTCAAGAACGTTGTCTTGGTAGTTGTTGGAGGACTATTTGGACCAACCGAGAGGCTCAGGATATCAACTCCATCATGAACAGCCTGTCATGAAAATCTCTATTAATATCAACCAAGGTAATGTCCATGGAAAGTAGCAGTTATAAGGTTACTACTTGACTCATTTAAAATAAAAACTGATGAAGGTAGCTCATGTTGCTGAACGAATAAAGAATATGCAGCAGGACAAATCATTTTCATCTAAGCTGAGATGCTTTTCCATGGAAATTTATGATCAGACTTTTCTAACTTATGCTAAGTTCTTACTCTTACCTGATCAATCGCAGCAACTACATCAGCAACAAAGCCTCCAAAAAGCCGGTACAGAGCCTTGTAAACAGCAATCCTGAAAGAAATTAGCCATTTAGCCTATGACGAGAAGAATACAAACAGTCAATAAAACTGCCATTTTGCACATATGCCTACCTTGCACGAGGAGCCATCCCACTCGCTTTTCCAAATTCATAACCATGCATCCTCAACTGAATACCGTTATTCCCAGCTGCTATAGCTGCTGTGTGACTGAAAATCCAGCATAATCAGATTTGCTTAGTACAACAGAATATGGGCACAATGATACGGTTCTATCTCCCCCTAACACCTGAAGACAACTTTAAAGACAAACCTTCCATGCCCATCACCATCCATTGGCGATGCATAGTCGATATCTGGGTTAAATGCCCCAGCCGCTTTAGCAGCTTCAGCAAAATGTTGGGCTCCAACGATCTTCCTGTTGCAGAAGCTCTTCTTGGTATGAGGATCTTCTTCACATTTCCCCTTGTAATGAGGAAGAGGGCCATAAGGTAATCTGTGGTGAGAGGCGAAACTCGGGTGATGTGGATAAATCCCCGAGTCAACAAACCCGATAACAATATCTTCTCCTGCTCTATCAAAACCGCCTCCTGTTGGCCAAACATCGGTTGGAAGTCCCAAAAACTCTGGTGTATGTGTGGTGAGTCTCCTAACTTTCCAATCTTTGTCTACAGATCTTACACCAGGTGCTCGACGAAGTGTTTCTGCCTACCAAATATAGTGAAATGGTGTAAGGGAACATGAAATTTAAGAAATATTTAGAAATGATCTGAAATCGATTTTTTTACCTGCTCTGGAGAAACATGAGCTGCAAATCCGTTTATAAGGTGTTTATAGCTGTAAAGCTTTTTATATGATCCTTCCTCAAAGAGCATCCCAAGAATCATATCGTGCTTCCTCTCTAAGTGACGAGCATACGATGTCACCAATTCACTAAAAAAAGTAACAGACTGTTAATCTAGCAAGCAATGTATAGACACTATTCCAAAAGTAACAGATTGTTAATCTAGAAAGAATCTTTAGTCTCTTAAACCAAAAGTATCAAGACTAATGATAGTGACCATTCACACTCTAGATTTGCTGTTTAGAATAAAATTATCCAGATGTATAGGTACTATTAAATTGAAGAAGAGAAACTATCTAAGTACCTTGATGTATCAATCTTCTCATCAGATTCAACAGCAGTTGCTTCAAAACCATTTTCTCCACCTTTGTAACTTATGATTGGATCTCCTTCCATAGTCACAATGTAAACCTCTGCTGTCACAGTAACAAGAAGCACGGAAACGACAAAAATTCTCAAACTGATATCCATATTGGTTGGCACAAATGAAGCTCCAACTTTATTTTTCTTGCTGTAGATTCAACTGCAGCATCAAAATCAAAATGAATGCATAAGCATCCTCAGACCACATAGATTTCCAAAATAAAAAGACGACCCTGATCATCTAATCTCATACACTCTTCTCAGAGCTCATAAGGACATAGTTTTGGTCTCAAAGGACAAAGCTTTCCCACAAAATGCAGACAACAACACATAATCAAACTACTGTACAGAGAAACATAAGAATCATCTCCAAAACCAAGTACACAAGAATCACCAAAAACAAACAAGGAAGAGATTCTTTCATCTTTCTCACTGTTTCACTTGAATTTATCAAGAACCAAACACATAAAGAGCAGAAACCAAACCCAACCAACCCCAAAGAAAAGAACTTGAAACTCAAATCACAGCCTGAAGACAAAGAACTTACTCCAGAGAAATTTGCCTAAACACAAGAATCAACTAAAGAAAACTCAGCTCCATCTCATACCATATATATAAAAAGCAAAACAGTATAACAACTATTGCACTTCAATTAATGAGACAAACAAAGAAGAAAGAATCTTTTAATCTCTTAAACCTATATTTTCCCAAAATTAAAATCACAACAATCAAAAAAAATATCAAGACTTAAGTAAGAATAACCCACTTTCACAAATCATCCACAAGCAAAGAATCAAACATCAAATAAAACCCAAAAAGAAAGATCCTTTTGAAACTGTAGCAGTGTTTGAATAGAGTAAATCCAAAAAGCCAATAATGTTGTACCAACTTACATTTGCTTCACGAGACGAAACAGAGAACACAAAAAAAAAAAGTTAGCTTTTTGAGAGACGAAACGATTGAATCAGAACCGAAAGGTTAGAAATTTAGTCACTACATAAATCACATTTGCAGGGGGAAAAAAAAAACTATAGAACAAGTTTATTCAGATCTCTCAGAGAAACTTTTTAGTTTCTGGGTTTGTTTGTTCGTGGAATAGAGAGATCTACCAAAGTATCCAAAGAGAGAAAACAAAAAAAAGTACGAAAGTTATGTTAAATAAATAAAAAAAAAGTTACTGCGATTTAGTGATGAATGAAGTGAGTGTGT